TTGTTAAATGTCAAAATGACATTTTTTTTTTATTTTGAGTTAATTACAATGTTACCAACTACATATTAAATTAAGATTTCGAAAAATATTTCTTGGAAATAATTAAGATAATCGATACATAACTTGAAGATTCATTTTATGTTGACTTCTTGGAAATGGTTAAACGATGAATCACGCTTGAATGAAAGTTTTTGACTTTGAAAGTTACGATTAATTTTAGTTAATTAAATTTTTATCTAATTTAAATTTAACAGTTATGTTCGTGTCATATTTTATTACATCTTGTTACATCCTGTTCGTACACACGACATTCTCGTATGTCGGTGGCCTGTCAGTGACATTCGAGTCCCTTATACGGAGACAGCAAAACCAAAGTCCCCCAACTATATCTCCATCTTCATCTTTTCCCCTTTAACTTGCATTCGTGGAGAGAGAAAGAGGGTCCCATTTAATATCTTATCACGTTTTCTTGGAAGAAAATTTTTTCTTATTAAGTTTTCTTTGCACGTTTACGTTTCCTTCTCGGATTTATCGAATTTTTTCATAAATTTTCTTATATCCATTGTATTTTGAGTGGGAAAGCAACGTGTTGATATTCTCATGGATATCAAAGTGTTATTTGTGTAGAAAACAATCTTTTTTTCGTTCCGATTTTCCGTTTGAAACATAATGAGATGATATATCAAAGCCTCGTTGTGATTCATTAACCGTTGTGTGAAGTCCATTGTTCCAAGTTCATTTTGCTGGGAAAATTTCGCAATAAATAGGCCGCAATTTCCAAACAATCTCGGTCTTTCCATCATATTTTTTTATTTTTATTTGTTTGAAATAAAATAAAATTGGGTTATAAAAAAAATTCATGCCCTGTTTATTTTACGGTTGATTTCTAAACTATTTCCTTCTTAAATTCATAACAAATTCCGCTTTCTTCATTCTTGTCTTAAACCCATTTCCTGTTCGAGTTAATAATTGTATTTCTTCTTACAGCTGCAGTTTAAATTTAAAAACGACCACAAAATTAAAAGTAATCGATAAGAAAATGGCTATGTTTTAATTTTATTCGTTTCAATTTGCATTAATTGATTTTTTTGTAGATTAAATCTCATTTTCCAGTTATATCGAAAAAAAATTGTTAAAAACAAAATAATCGTTGTAAAAGCTAGTTTAATTGACTTTATTTATTGTATATTAGTCATGTTAAAACAATTTGATATAATTGCATAATAGATGCAAATAAATTTGTAATGTCTAGGTAACAGGTAAAAATAACCGTGATTTCATAGAAATATTTTGTACTTTTTTATTAGTTATTTGATAAAACTATTTTTTTAATTTAAATCTTATCATTTGGCGTTTGTCGTATTTCCTCTGAAACGGTTAGGAAGTAAGTAATGAAACTTTTTGAGCTTATAAAATAACGTTTGAGGTTAGGTTATACCAAATATTAAATTTCCGATATCACCACTTTATTTAATATTAAATTATAAAAATCGTCGATTCAATTTGACGTTTGTTAAAAGCGGGATTTAACAAAAAAATTATTTTCTCTGAAACGGTTAGGAATTAAGTAATGAAACTTTTTGAGGTTATAATATAAAGTTTAAGGTTAGGTTATAGCAAATATTAAATTTCCGATATCACCACTTTATTTAATATTAAATTTTAAAAATCGTCGATTCAATTTGACGTTTCTTAAAAGTGGGATTTAACAAAAAAATTATTTTCTCCGAAACGGTTAGGAGTTAAATAATGAAACTTTTTGAGGTTATAAAATAAAGTTTGAGGTTAGGTTGTACCAAATTACTAACTTCCGTGATGATCACTTTATTTGGTATTAAATTTTGAAAATCGCCGATTTAATTTGACGTTTGTTAAAAGTGTGATTTAACAAAAAAATTATTTTCTCCGAAACCGTTAGGAATTAAATAATGAAACTTTTTGAGGTTATAAAATAAAGTTTGAGGTTAGGTTGTACCAAATTATAAGCTTCCGCTATCACCACTTTATTTACAATAGTAAGTTTAATAAAACTTGAAAGAAAAAAGTTATTTTCTCAAAAACGGTTAGGAATGAATAACGAAAGTTTATAGATTATAAAACAATATTTGAGGTTAAGTTATACCATATTTTCAGATTTCCGGTTTAACCGCTTTTTTACAATAGAATATTTAAAGGATATAACTTCACATCTCAGCGTTGATGCATTAAGCGTAATCTGCTTCTGTATCTTCATTAATTCTTAACAATAATAATCGACCTTCATTGTTTAAATTTTGTTGTGTTACTAATTTCGCTTAATTCCATCATCAGAGGCAAAAGTCGGCTTATTCACAAGCAATACAATTTCATTTACAAATACTGTTTTTTGAAAATAACATTACTTTTTGACGCAGTGTCGTAATCATTTCATTCTTTTTAAATTTCCTTTGAAGTACGCCTCAATTTATGTTGAGCAATAAATGATTTAAATGACATTGTGTAAAGTTATCTTTGTTGTGAAATATAATCTTAAATTTTAATTACAAACACTAATGATTCTTAAAATTTATTTGTTTTTGTTAATAAATGTCAAATTTAATGATTTTCTCTGGCAATATTTCAAATCACTTTCTCAATGTAGTGATTTTGAAACATGACAGCTACTAAACGGTCAATTAGTTAAATGTCAACCACAAAATATTAAAATAATCATGGCTGAAATTTGCAAAAAAGAATAAATAAATTTGTTGAGTAAGCAAAAATCGACTTTAAACTTTATGATTAATACTTAATTTGTTGTTTTAATCATTGTGGTGATAAATAAAACCGGAATTTCATCAAAATTGTTTACGAATTACTCATATGCATCAAGTGCAATGATAAATACAATAATGTAAAAACCAAATAATTAAAATAATCGCTAAAACAAAACTTGTGGTTTTGAATTTTAATGAAAATCGCCCTCTTGCCACATTTCACTCAGCCACGCTGCTGGAATATTCAATGACTGAGTTAGAGGGGCCCCTTTTAGAGACGCACGCACAGCCAGACACACGTCTGTAAACGGAATTTCGGAAATTCGGAATTTAAACCTTGAGTCTGCGTTTAATATTACCCCTTTCGAGGGTAAATTGATGCCGTGTGATGGTTTTAACGGTGGTTTTCGGGGTGGAAATTCTAAAGGGATGATAATATCTACCCTACGTTCATTTATTAATTCAAACTATTAAATTTTTATAACCTAAAATAAAGAAATTCTTGGAATTATCAAATATTTCAATAAATTTTTATTCAGAACCTCAATTTTTAGCCAAATTTGTAATGTATTTCAAACAAACTTCAGTGAAACCTAAGAAATATTATGAAATTTGATTACAATTTTAATTTCTATCAAAAAATGTATTAATTACCTAAATAAACTTTATCCCAACCTAACGAAAGTCAAGAAACTTCATCAAAACCTCAATTTCTAGACAAAGTTACAATGTATATCAAGCAAACTTAAACATTAATGAACATTAATGTAAATCTAGCCGATGATGATTTAAATTTTTTATTAAAGCATTTTAAATCGATTCAAATCACAGATTAATTCATGAAACCGTTTGAACTTCGTCATCGTCGATCTTGGCACAATAACAAATGGAATTGAACTAAATCCCATTGTTGCCAGGAGAATTTAGATCACCACTCTAATTATATTACATCCTGGGGTACGATCCGCGCATAAAGAAGCACTTTAATTCCCTAAGATTATCCGATTTGTACTTTATTATTAACATTACAATATTCATTTTAACCCAACTTTTTTATCTTTTTAATCACAACACATCTGCCCGGGAAATGACTCAAAAATTACTCTAATTACATTAACCCCATTAACACGAAAGAAAGGGTTGCTTTTTTTATGGTTTACACATCTGTTCCGTGTTGAAATCAATTAGATGAAGTACACGCTTCGAAAATAGACTTGACTGAGTGAGAAAAGGAAGATAATTCCCTGATGACCGTCATCACGCAATCATCCAATTGCAGAGATAGAGTAGTGTAGTTTATTGCCCTTATGGTGTAGCGCGAAACCGGACCTTACAAGCGTTGTTATAAAATGCAATTTTATTTATTGTTATTTTGCAATCAACACAACAAAAAAAAACAAAAAGGAAATTGCTGCGAGCTACGTGGTACTCTGCTATGACGCGATTTTCTATTTTTGGTACATTGACTTGACATTGATTCTATTTGAAGGCGCCTTTTTGTGTTAACAATTTGTTTTATTAAAATCTTATCGATTTAGGAGGAATTTATTATTTATATTATCGTCCTTGGATTAACTTTTTATGGAAAGCAAAAAAAAGGAATTATTTATACTTTATTCACGTCCCATGTCCTTATCAAATTCAAATAGACGAGGCTTGATCGTAAATAATTTAAAATGAGTCTTTGTTTTCGAGATAAGATATCGCAAAAATTTCGTTTCAATTCCATTCGGAACCATATTGTTATTCACTCACGTATTTTATGAATATTACTTAATAGCCCACCCAAAAGTTTCTTTCAACACAATTACACAAAATTAAAATTCTTCCATTATGATTATAACCCAATCGTGAGTATCATGTATTTAAACATAGTTTAAAAAGTTAGTTCTGGAATTTGTTCGTTGTGATTCGAATTATTTAATAAATGGCGACAAAAAAAGAATTTGATTTATAACCGGTGTTTTTTTATATCTTTAGTGTTGACGGTTGTTTGATGCTGTTAACATCCGTTGGATCAAAACTGAAAATGTGGTCTTCGATAGTCGTTTGCTCGAAATATTGCGTTTATTGCGTGTTTCCTTGTTTCAATAACGAAGCGCCCGATCAAATGGTAAGAAACCAACAAAAAAAAACTCGATCGTGTTTGATGTTCGTGAAAAATCTCCTTAATTCATCCTTAACAACCAAATTTTCTTGTGTGACTTAAAATTTAACTTAAAATTAACGTTTTTGTTTAATTTTTTAACTTAATTTTCTTTGCAGCAACTCAAAGATGAGCTATGCGAGGTCGTCTCCGAAATGGAATCGCTGGATTCGGGGGAAGACGGCAAAAACAGCAACAAAACGAAGATGATGTCGATGGGGAGAAAAAAGTTTAATATGGACCCCAAGAAAGGCATCGAATTTTTAATCGAAAAAGGTTTGCTGCAACAAACCCCCGAAAGCGTCGCCCAATTTCTTTTGAAAGGAGAAGGACTCAATAAAACTGCAATCGGGGATTATTTGGGCGAGAAAAACGATTTTAACGAGAAAGTTTTGCAAGCTTTCGTCGATTTGCACGATTTTACCGATTTAATCCTCGTACAAGCTTTACGGTAAGTCACACAACTTATTTGACCACAACTACCTTGTAAACATACCTTATAAACTACCCATGTTTATAAGGTACTTGACAGACTTGAATAATTATTTGAAACGTGAAAATTTCAAAAAACATCAATAAAATTTAATTTTTTTAGAACTTTCTAAAAAACGTAAACAAATTCCTTTTTTCGTACTCCCTCTGTCCCAAATAATGGTATACATTTCTCTAAAATCTTCAAGATTACGTTTTTTGTTATGTCCTTTAATCGTTAGTTTTTTTAAATAATTTTTTTATTCAAAATAGATGTTGGGAAATGAAAGAAAACTAAAAATGCTTTAAAATGAGTCCAAACTCGATGTATTTCCCTGTATTTGTTGTTGATATATTAATCAAATAAAGAAAATTTGACAGTTGACAGTTCTTAACCTAACTTTTTTAATTTTTAACGGAAATATGTCGAGTTTGGTATTAAATTAACGGACATTTAATGATCTTTAAGATTACGTTTTTTTGTTGTCCATAAATCGTTAGTTTTTTTTAAATTCAAAATAGATGTTGGGAAATGAAAAGAAAACTAAAAATGCTTTAAAATGAGTCCAAACTCGAAGTATTTACCTTTATTTATTGTTAATATATCAATTAAATAAAAAAAATTTGACACTTGACAGTTCTTAACCTAACTTTTTTAATTTTTAACGGAAATATGTCGAGTTTGGTATTAAATTAACGGACTTTTAATGATCTTTAAGATTACGTTTTTTGTTGTCCTCCAATCGTTAGTTTTTTTTAATAATTTTTTTATTCAAAATAGATGTTGGGAAATGAAAGAAAACTAAAAATGCTTTAAAATGAGTCCAAATTCGAAGTATGCTGTGATATCAATTAAATAAAGAAACTTTGGCAGTTGACAGTTCTTAACCAAATATAATTTTAATATCTGTTTAATATTTTGTATCTCTAAAACCGGAAGAGATGTCGATATGCGGTTTTCGCCATTAAGTTTCTTATAAAAATGGAGCCCCAGATGATGCTATCATTTTTTCTTTATCTCTTATAGAAAGAGGAGTTTCCCTTTAAAAGTGTCCAATTTGGCCCATCCCCTGTACATATTTTTAAATTAAGTTAAATTGAAGTACTAATTTTGCAAATACAATAAAGCAGTTTTCTAAGTTTTGTATACCATAATTTGGGACAGAGGGAGTATATTTTATGCATAAATTAATTAATTTTCTTAAAAAAAAACGTTTCATAAAATTGACATTTAATTTTGACAAATTGTTGTGAAGTTGGTTACAGTTGGTAACATTGAATTGGTGTCACATTGACGTTTAACTTAACCTTAGTGAATAATAGCCCTCATTATATGCTCATATAATAATTAATAATGTACTATTATTTAAAATTTACTTAATTAATTTTTAGTCAATTCCTTTGGAGTTTTCGTTTACCCGGAGAAGCCCAAAAAATCGATCGAATGATGGAATGTTTCGCAAAACGATATTGCGACTGTCAAGGTGAAAACAACATCTTCCAAAATTCCGATACATGTTACGTCCTTTCCTTCGCGATAATCATGTTAAACACGAGTTTGCACAACCCAAGCGTAAAAGAAAAACCAACCGTGGAACAATTCATCAATATGAACCGCGGGATCAACATGGGGCAAGATTTACCGCGCGAATTACTCGAAGGACTCTACGAAAGCATTAAAACCGAGCCGTTTAAAATCCCTGAGGATGACGGAAACGATTTAATGCACACATTTTTTAACCCCGACAAAGAGGGGTGGTTATGGAAACAAGGTGGGCGCTATAAAAGTTGGAAACGACGCTGGTTCATCCTTAACGATAACTGCCTATATTATTTCGAATTCACAACCGATAAAGAACCGCGAGGGATTATTCCGTTGGAAAATATTTCGGTGAGAGAAGCAACGGATCGGCAAAAACAACACTGTTTCGAACTATACGCTAGTGGCGGTGCTGATTTTATAAAGGCGTGTAAAACGGACTCCGAGGGGAAAGTCGTCGAGGGAAAACACACCGTTTATAGGATGTCGGCGAGCAGCGAGGAGGAGAAACAAGATTGGATCGCGAGGTTAAATCAAAGTATTAGTCACAATCCGTTTTATGATATGTTGGCTTCAAGGAAACGCAAAGCTCAACATAATCACGGAAAGAACTAAAACATTTTTTTATTTTGTTGTTTATGAGAAATTAGAACTGTGATCGAACGATTTATGACGACGACGACGAACATTTTTAACTAATTAACCACGTGCCTCGATCATCATCCCTCACGTTTGTATAACTAGTCGAATATCATTTATTAAGTGTAAAACAATGTTATTTATTTATTTTATTATAATTATTATTTTTTTTTCGTTTTTAGTTAAGCTAAATTTGGAAGTTTTTTGAAGTTGGTGTTTTAAATAATATCAATTTTTAAATTATTAGTTTCCTGTTAAGATTTTGACGTAGTGATTAAATTTATAGATTATTTTTATATTGGGAGGTCTAAAATGATTTATCATATTTTTTTGGGTCATGATTTCTTGCATTAATATGGTGCTATTTATTAACCTTTATAGTAATTAAGCAATAATAATGCTAGTAATTCAGATTTGACCAAATATCAGTTTATAAGAAGTATAGAAACATGAGCATCATCTTAATACACTTTTCTCAGACACAAAATCCTTGCATAACTTGTTTTTAGAATCTTGTAAGTTTTAACAGAGTCTTGAATGGAGCAAAATTTAGAGTTATGTTTTGTGGCTATGTTTTGAGTTCTACATAAATGATTTTGTCAACTGTCATTACAATCTAATCTCATTAGGATGAAAGCAAGAATAGCAGGTTCAAAAATATTTCCAATAAATCGATTGTGCTCAGATATTCTCTCCTTAATCACACTGTACAATGTATTAATGAACTGTTTCTGATATCTAAATATACAACAAGATCGATTCTCTTTCCACTACTGGGATCACCCATGACTCATGGCATGAAGTTTGCTAACGCCGCTTGTTTCTGGTCTTTGTCAAGGTACATTTCAAGTCTTCTTTTCTGCCAGTAATAGTCTCAGTTTTTTCAACGTCCTCTGTACCTTCTTTATGGAATGCTCCGCTCTGCACTTCATCTCATCCCCATTCCTATCCTCCATGACTACCATTACGTCATTGGTATACTCCACAACAATGGCCCTGACATAATATATATTCTACAAAGTTCCCAAAATCCCTGCGGAATGCCAAAGGTGACAACTCTATCCTCTCCTCCTGGTAAAATACTCTTTCTCTTCAAGAGATAAAACATAACTTTAACATAACCCAACCTAACTGAACCCAATCTATGCCAAGCATGCATGTGACGGTGTGTGAGATAGATACTGTGCAATACATTAATAAACTTTTTTTGATCTCTAAATGGTTATGCAATGAGAATTCAGATTATTCTAAGTATAAATAGAGCCTCCTATCAACGCCTCCATTTGTTGGATTGCTTCATTATTGACATCTTCTTCAAGATGCATAATCTTGTTACTTTATCATCTGGTAGGGTTGATTCATCATCGTCTGACTTGGGTTCAGAACCTATTTCAACCAGTTATTGTTCTAAAATGCACTCCCACAACTTATACTCTAATACTTTTCTCTCCTTATCTCATTCTTCCTAAACGCTGAAGTTTGGAAGTTAACGAAATCAATAACTCTAGATCATTTTGTCAGAAATATCTAAAACATATATTATGTTTCTAGCGATAATTTTGGAAGATATCATCTTTGATATCTTACTACTACCAATAATGATGTGGAGTTATATCAGAGATTATATTAGGGAAGATGTTGATGAGGATAATCTTGTGAGGTCATGATTTGGGCCGCCCCAACTATCACGAACAATACTTAAGACTTCGAAGACGTCGGTCGAGATTATTTCTTCCATAAACTTAGAAGACTTAGATGCTGAAAATCAGTAATAAAAGAGATATCAGGAATGTGATATCAAAGGCAAAATTTATAGATGATGGAGAAGATAGTAAAGAAAGCCAGGACGAGATATGAAAAACTATGCAAATCGACGTAAACTATGTTGAGGAAGATAAGATAAGATAGGAAGGTATCAATGATGAGGAAGATAGATGTTAGATACTATCAAGGACGATGCTGAAAGATATCAGTAATAACGTTGAGTGATATTGAGAATAATGCCTTTCTAAGAATTGGCACCATCGCTTAACTAAGTTCTTCAAAAACTCCTAACATTTTAGAAATGTTACCTAAACTCCCCAAAAACAATTCAAATTAAAAAACGAAACTTAATTTTTTAAAACTAGCATTATAATTGTAAATAAAGTTAGATTAAAATCATTTTAGATCTAAATCCACAACAAAAATCGTCTCGATTTATTTCAATAAATTGCGATTTGTAAATTTCAATTATAAATTGAAAACGTATCCCACAATTTTATTTAAAACATCAACTCCAAAAAAAAACCAAAAATATTTTTTTTGGTTATTAAAAACATGGTCTTTTTTAATTCATTCTCAAATCGAAATCGAGAATGACTTGTAAATAAATTCTACAATTAGTTAATTAAATTAATTAAGTAATTAAAAGCCTCCCTCCACGTTGATTAAAACATACAGTGTGTTAATTAATTCTCGTACCCGAGTATGCAACAATAATCACAGTATTGGTATTGCAATACGCATACTGTGATATTGGTTGCATACTCGGGTACGATAATTAATTAACACACTGTACAATGAATAGAAAAGAAAAAGTCGTGAAATAAAACGCCCGGTCTTTAATTTAAATTTTATTTTTTGATTCGGAAAGGCTGTGAAACGTTTCTATTTATCGTTTTTCGAATCAGTATTTAATAGTTGTATAAAAATTAAATTTAGGCATTTACAACAACAAAAAAAAAATAATTATTTCGGATTCAAAAAGTAAATTAATTAGTTATTAATAAATAAATAATTTAATTCGTATTTTTTTAGTACCTGACGAAGCAAAGTTTTTTTTATTTTTACCCCAACGAATCTAATACCGCCACACATTTTTAAATCGATTTAAATTAATTTTGTGTGTAAATATTAATATGTACATTTTTAAATCTGTATAAATATGAGATTAATTTTTTTTGTTGTATTTCTCGTCGCATTGTTTATGAATAATTGTAAATAATAAAAAATATTTGTAAAAAAAATTTTTTTTAACTAATTTTATTGCATATCAAGATCCTTTTCTAACACTTTTAGTGGTCATTGTCCATTTTGATAACGTTTTGTTGCAACAACAGGTCAAAAAGTTAAAACGACAGAAACGCGTTCTGATAACGAGATTTAATATTTACTTGGATTTCAACCGGATGATGATGGCATTTCGTTCTTAATATAAATCGGTTTCTAATCGGAATATTCCCAAATAGAAATGAAAAAATCTTTAGGAAATGATGAAAATACGTTTTTTGATTTTTTATTAACACTAACCTTGTTTTGGGTTTCAATTTGTTTAACACCATGGATTTTTTTTAGCTACATCGGTAAGTTATTAATTAATTAATTATTAAAACATTAATTTTAAAATTGTTTTTTAGCAATCCAAACTTTTCATACTTTATGGATCGCATCTGTATCATTTTTATACCCAGAATTAACATTTTTAAAACGAACAACTTTAAGGACTTTGGTTGAAACCCATCGAAATCAAGGGATTATTACCATTTTATTAACGGTGAGAGGTCCTCCGAATCCCGCATCGGTTAGAATACATTTAGAGGTAATTCAAACATAATTCTTTTATTTATTAGTTTTAAAAATCATTTTCTAGGAATTAGTTCGGCGCAAAGACAAAAACGGGAAATTAGTTTTCCCCCATTTAAGCGACTCTTTAATCCGAAGATGCGGAACTTACGCTTGGAGTAAATGCAACTTTGATTTGAATCAAAATTTAATTCTCGCGCCTTATTCGTTTCGTGGAAGAGCAATTAATGAATTAAATGTCCAAGTAAAAATAATGTTTTCTTAATTTAAGAATTAATATTATTATTATTGCATGTTTTTAGGATTGTGTAAGCGATTTAGTTTGTAAACTACTTACAAATAATGTACCACCATGGCAAATGGTAATCATCCCATCTTCTGAGAATAAACATTACATCTTATTAAGATTACATCATATTTTGTTGAGTGAAGGATTAAATATTGCTGATATGTTACCTTTAATACCACCAGTAAGAAACAATATGAGCGAGTAAGTATCTTTTTTGTTGTAAGTAACTTATAAAAACATTATAACACTTCCGCCTCGGCTCAAAACTATATTATCGCACTCGTTTTTACTAATTATAATCTAAGGAACACGATGAATTTATACAAATCGGATTTGCAGTAGCAAAAAAAATTACGCAACCATTGAAAGACTTTAAAATAAAATTTAATCTAATAAATCTTTCTTTTTAGATCGTCTCTAAACAAAACAACTTTAACATCAGTGATGAAACCAGCGAGTTATTTACCAACTTTAAAAGAACGTTTAACTGAAGATTTAACAAACCATTGGAACGAATTCATATCGAACAACGATCCTTTAGAAAAACCAGAATTGTTTAAAAGAAAACCCGATTTTTTCGAACTTTTATCAATCATCCTAATCGTTTTCGTTTCAACATTAAAAGAGACCCGAAAGAACTTTATAAAATCCCCAAAATCCGATTTAATTTCAATCCTAAAATCAATCAAAACAACGGTACAAAGAGAATGTAAAAAGCGCCAAATTAATTTTTCAACTTTTATATTTTCCATTTTAATAATGTTGCACCCGAAAAAAGTGGTAACAACATTCGCTAAAAAATCGTTAAAATGGTCTACGTGGATTTTAAGCATCCCATTTAAAATTTACATGGAATTTAAAGCTTTTCAAAGCTGCGTTAATCTAAGTTATTGCGCTTACCCCGACACAGTGGTTGGATTTTTATACAGTTACGTCCCGTTAACGTTTAAAGCTTTAAAAGAATTATTAACATTTTGGAGAATTATTTTTTATACTCCTCGAACCGTTTGGGACGAATTAACGAAAAGTTACGAAAAAATCGAAACTGTTACTTTATGCGGAAGAAAAGTCACCGCTTGGTCCGAACCTGTTAAGATCGAATCGATTCGAAAAGTTGCAAAAAACACTTCTTGCAGCGATACCGAAATTATTTTAGCAGCTGCGAGTGAGGCGTTATCACGATTTATTACCCACACAAACTCAACGATGCTTAAAGAGATCCCGATAACCGCTAGAAATATTAATTCCAATTATTTTTTGTTAACCGGGCCAAATGTTAAAGCCAACGATGCAATTGGTGGGATGTTATGTTTAAATCTACCGATTTTGGATTCGAGGAAAGATGCGAATTTACTAGAAAATTTACGCGATATCAAAGACAACACTTTGTATGCATCCGAAACGCAACAATTAACTTATTTATTAAGCGTTTTACAAACTAAATACGGATTTTTATCGAAATTTTTACCAGCGACTTTAATCGGAATTGCTTTAAAATATCTTTCTTTAAGGTATTCAGTTTCTTTTACCGAAATAACAAACAGACAACCTTTCGTGATTCAAAGCACAATTTGGGGGCAAGAAGTTTCATCAGTTATTTATTGGAGACCACCACAAGCTAATATAAGTAAGTAAAATGTAGTATTTAGTTAAAATTTGTAAAAAAAGCTTACAACATTGTAGGTGTTTCGCTTTGTGCTAATCAATATGGTAAACATGTGACATTTGGGGTCATGTGTGACGCTCAATTAGCCCCGAATCATCATTTGCTCGTTCGAGGATTTCATGATTGTATCAAAGATTTAGAAGCATCCGCAGCTTTACAATAAAAGTTATGGGTTAAGTGTTATGATATAAATTAATTGGAAATAAATTTAGTTTTATTAAATCCTTAGAAGCCTCTGAAATAATACTAACACTAATAGACAGAGAATCTTTTTTTATTTAATATTCAGTCACACTCAACTTCCCACTGGTTAGTTGCAGAAGATTTTTTATTTTTAATAATTTGGGTTTTTAGATTGGCCTTGTCGCAAGAATCTATTCGTCTTCTTCTCCTTCTTTCTTTCACTTAGGCTTGGAGTGGCTTGGATGCTTCTATTCGTCGTTATTCATCATCACTTGGTCATCTTTGACCATATTGACCATATATTTGACCTATTGATCGTGGAAGAGTTTATGAACAATTGTAAAATAGTGTTAGATACTATACACTAGTGAATTTCGATACATTTTATTGTTCTTTAATGTTCTAATCCTAAGATATCACTTGTAAAGTCGATACGAAATAATTTTAAAAATTCTCAATATCAGATAACCTCAATTTAAATTTTTCAAAATTATTTATTTAAATCTTTATCTACCCGGTTAAAACCTATTGAAAACGATAACCTTAACTTAGTTAACAAAGAAAATAATCAATATTTGTTTGAAATAATGAAATTAGGATGAAAATTTACAAAATTAATTTGAACATATTGGAAAATTTATCGTTGAAATCAGAAGAAAATGAATAGATATTTAAAAATTGATTTAAAAGAGCATCAAAATTACGAAATATCATGCAAAATTATAAATAATTTTAAAACTTTTAAATAATAATTTGACAAATTGAATTAGAGATATTTCAAATGTCAAAGTTGGTAACATTGAAAAAACTAAAGTACAAATTTCAAACCGATGAATTTAACCAATCAGGAGACGTTATTTGAAAATTTAACATTCGAAAAACGGAATTTATCAACAACAATGGTGGTTTCTGTTGTCTGAAGAGACGCACGCTTTTTTTGCACCAAAAAAATAAATAAATCAACGTTTAACGAGTGTAAAAAAAAAATCCGTTCCTACCAATGAAGAAAACAATTCATCCCGTTCCTATCGAAGAAACTAATTCGGTCCCGTATTTGAACTATCCGTTCCTGTCCACAACCGTCGAAGAAGATGGGTTCCGTTCCTGGTGGAAATCATTCTTCTGGTGAAGAGATAAATTGGTTCCCAATCCTGAATCTAACTGTTCCTGTCACGAAGAAAATATCTTGAGTTTAACCTCCGAAGTTTTCATAAAAACAAATTGGCTAAGTTAAGTTATTTTTTTATAATTTATTGTTTTTTTTTTGTTGATTCAAACTTTAAAAAACTCTTCTTACCTTCAATACGAAAAGTTTTCTTGATAAGTTCAAAATTTTGAGGTTAGGATTACAATTTCCATAAACTTGAACGTTATGGTGCTAATATATAAATAACTATTATCATCAAATATATATCATGTCATTATTTAGACTTAGAAGAAGACAATATAGCACTACTGCCTTGGGCGCCAGCAACCTCGGGTCAAAATTATATCCTGGTGGCATTGCTATTGCGAGGTTTACACCTAAAAAAAGACATTACAGTAGTAAGTAACATATCTTACTAATAGTAATTATGATCTAAGAAACACGATGAATATATACAAATCAAATTTGGCAGTAGCAAAAAAAATTTCACGGTGGTAAAAAGGTATTCCTTTAGCTCCAAATTTGTAATTTTACATTTTTTGAATTTAGTTCTTAAATATATAAAATATCTTTCGTAACACGACTAATACACACATTTCAATTTTAGCAATGACAAAAACACCTGGGTCTTTAATTTCTAATTCCGTAACTTCGATTTTTTTAAAATTTTTTATTCCTAAGTTGTTCAAAATGATCTAAGGAACACGATGAGTGTACATAATTTAAATTTGGCAGTAGCAAAAAAAATTTCACGGTGGTAAAAAGGTATTCCTTTAGCTCCTATATATATGTGTATAATATCCTTTCTATATGTGCATTTTTTTCTCTATTGTGCATTTTTAGCAATAATTCTGCGAAGTATCATCATTTTTGCTGTTTTCAATATTTGTTTTAGACGTTAAATTTTTAATTCAACGAAATTTTTCAAATAATTATTAAATTACATTCTAAAACTACATCTAATTGAAAATCAAATCTAAATTTATTTCTTATTTAATTTTTTGTTATTTCCCATTTGCTATTGACCTAAATTTTCTTCCGACAATCTGGCGTCGCGACGCTTTTAATCTCCATCAAGATCCTCCATCTCATTTTACGTTTATTATGAAAAAAGCGAACATTTCTAATACCGCTGAGTCAAAATTGCTCCATCTCCGTCTTCGACGTCACAATTCCCCCCGCGGCCCCCTTAAAAGCCACCGAATACGCAAAATCCCTGGGTTCGCCTTATAAAACGGAACGCACTGGCCTCAAAGCCTCACATTCAGTTCACGTTCGAAGGAGTGAGCGCAACGCTTACTCTCTCATTCGATAAAATATCGATTCAGTACGAGTCTGTGTAAAGTCAGTGTCTTCTATAGGTTGGGGCCCGGAAATATTTTCTACCTACTCTGGTTTTAGTTTGGAGAAACATCGGCAGCACACTTTACAATAAGATTGTGTATGTTGTATAAGGATTTTTTATGAGAAAACTAAAAAATTAATTTTTGAAGAAGAATTAATTGGGTGGTGTACTTTTTTCTTTTTTTAATAATAAAAGGTAAGATTTTATTAATTAAAAAATTTTTTGGAATTGTGTTAAAGATTTAGAATCAACACAAATCCATTGTTTTATTTACTTATATTTTTTATTATTATTTAGAAACAATATTTTTTGAAAAAAACAATCAAACAATTCAACCGGTTCAATCTAGAATTATCCGCTTCTAAAAAAACCCATTCGAACTCAGTCGCAGTGTGGTGTACAAAAATGATTTTGTGCAGGCGATTTAATCGCGTTTACAAAAACGTTTTATGATAAAACATTTAAAGTCTCGTGATCGTTTTGTTCGTTTTTATCAAACACAAAATAAATATGTAAATAAATTTTACATACAAAAATTTTCAAAAAATCCGAAAGCAACTTTCTCCTCACCGTTTTAAAAAAATTTAAAATTAAAAGAATTTCTAAAAAAGGAAATAATCGCTTTTTAAGCAAACTATATACTCGTTTTGTACGTTTTGTAATGATAAGAAAACGCATTCATAAATACTCATTGCTTTATAAGCATGTTTTAATTTTGAACGATAACAATAATTTGAAACACGCGTGTTTTTAACTACAAAAAAAAGTTTTTTGTACAAATGTTTGTGATAATTTTTTAAATCAACCGAAAAATTAGTTAGGACAACATAAACAATTAATAATGCAACTATTTGCAAAGTTAAATTTAGCTAGGAAATAATGAAACCAAAATGAGATTTATCGGTTTATTGATTGAGCTAAATTTGACTTTATGGCAAACCCCAAATTACTTTAAATCATACTTTAAGTATTCAATAACTAAAATAATAACATTCTTAAACAATTTTGCGTTACTAGACGCTACATTTGAGACTTCTATACTTTATTTTTTGCATTCGGATTTAGCCGCACGTCTCTCAAGACGGCTAAACCCGAATAATTAGATGACTAGTTCTACGTCTTGTGTTAGTTCTAGTGATTATGTAAAACTAGAACTAGAAGTATGAGTTGCTGTGGTAGGTCAGAGATTTAATCTGTTCTTCCTGTTGGATCGCTCGCGGGCGAGGCGCTACATTTTGAACTTTAAAAAATCACCCAAAGTTTGTTTTTGGGGGTTAAAGAATGAAAATTAAAGCCAAACGATCATATTTTGTGATAATCCATAACTATATGATAATTCTATAAGAAAAATTTTGAGATAAAAACTTTTGGAAAAAAAGTAAGGTTATATTGATTTTTTCATCTGTGTGAACTTTAAAAAATCACCCAAGATTTATTTTTGGAAGTTAAGGAATGATTTGTATGTCAAATTAAAGCTAAAAGATTATATTTTGTGATAATCCATAAATATATGATAATTTTATAAGAAAAATTTTGAGATAAAAACTTTTGAAAAAAGAGGGTTATATTGATTTTTTCATCTGTGTGAAATTTAAAAAATCACCCAAGTTTTATTTTTGAGAGTTAAGGAATAATTTTTATGTCAAATTAAAGCTAAAAGATCATATTTTGTGATAATCTATAAATATATGATAATTTTATAAGAAAATTTGGGAGATATAAGCTTTTAAAAAAGTAGGGTTATATGGATTTTTTAATCTGTGTGAACTTTAAAAAATCGCCCAAGCTTTATTTTTGGGAGTTAAGGAATGATTTTTATGTGAAATTAAAGCTAAAACATCATATTTTGAGGTAATCCATTAATATATTACGATTTAATAAGAAAAATCGGGAGATAAAGACGTTTGAGGAAAAAGTAGGGTTATATTGATTTTTTAATCTGTGTGAACTTTAAAAAATCGCCAAAGGTTTATTTGTGGGGGTTAGGAAATGATTTTTATATCAAATTAAAACTAAAAGATCATATTTTTAGGTAATCCATAAATATATTATGATTTAATAAGAAAATTTGGGAGATAAAAACTTTTGAACAAAAAAGTAGGGTTATATTGATTTTTTTAATCTGTGTGAACTTTAAAAAATCACCCAAGTTTTATTTTTAGGAGTTAAGGAATGATTTTTATGTCAAATTAAAGCTAAAAGATCATATTTTGAGGTAATCTATAAATATATAATGATTTAATAAGAAAATTTGGGAGATAAAAACTTTTGAAAAAAAAATTAGAAATTGAAGAAAAAGTAAGGTTATATTGATTTTTTCATCTGTGTGAACTTTAAAAAATCACCCAAGGTTTATTTTTGGGAGTTAAGGAAAGATTTTTACATCAAATTAAAGCTAAAAGATCATATTATGTGATAATCTATAAACATATGATAATTTTATAAGAAAATTTGGGAGATATAAGCTTTTAAAAAAGTAGGGTTATATGGATTTTTTAATCTGTGTGAACTTTAAAAAATCGGCCAAGCTTTATTTTTGGGAGTTAAGGAATGATTTTTATGTGAAATTAAAGCTAAAACATCATATTTTGAGGTAATCCATAAATATATTACGATTTCATAAGAAAAATCGGGAGATAAAGACGTTTGAAGAAAAAGTAGGGTTATATTGATTTTTTAATCTGTGTGAACTTTAAAAAATCGCCAAAGGTTTATTTGTGGGGGTTAAGAAATGATTTTTATATCAAATTAAAGCTAAAAGATCATATTTTTAGGTAATCCATAAATATATTATGATTTAATAAGAAAATTTGGGAGATAAAAGCTTTTGAACAAAAAAGTAGGGTTATATTGATTTTTTTAATCTGTGTGAACTTTAAAAAATCACCCAAGTTTTATTTTTGGGAGTTAAGGAATAATTTTTATGTCAAATTAAAGCTAAAAGATTATATTTTATGATAATTCATAAATATATTATTGTTTCATAAGAAAATTTGGGAGATAAAGACGTTTGAAGAAAAAGTAGGGTTATATTGATTTTTTCATCTGTGTGAACTTTAAAAAATCACCCAAGGTTTATTTTTGGGAATTAAGGAATAATTTTTATGTAAAATTAAAGCTAAAAGATCATATTTTGAGGTAATCTATAAATATATAATGATTTAATAAGAAAATTTGGGAGATAAAGACGATTGAAGAAAAAGTAAGGTTATATTGATTTTTTCATCTGTGTGAACTTTAAAAAATCACTCAAGGTTTATTTTTGGGAGTTAGGAAATGATTCTTATATCAAATTAAAGCTAAAACATCATATTTTGATGTAATCCATAAATATTTTATGGTTTAATAAGTAAATTTTAGCGATAAATATTTTTTTTTAAATAAAATTTTTTAATTCGTATAAAATATAAAAATCCAAACCTTACTCAACATTTTAATTATTTAAATCAATATTTTTGTGTATATAATTAGCAACAAAGAATAATTAATACTAACAACACAAATTAAGACTTTATTAATAAAAAATCCCATTCAAAAATTTCAAATATTTCAAACGCCAACAAAAAAAATAGCTTATTTTGTAATTTCATTTAATTCCTTTGTCGTATTTTTTTGATTAACGTGGTTTCCGCATGTATGGGTTAGATTAACCAGCTGAATCCGGTTAAAGGCGGGTTCGCACCGCTTTAAAAACTTTCAACGGGGTTACAAACCAGAAACGACCAGGTTTGAGAAGCTCTCGATGCGAAACTTTCAATCCACTTTCAATATTAGTATTTGAAGACTTTTAAAGACTTTTTAAAGAGTTTTAAAAGACTACTTTTAGATTAGAAAGTCGTCAATCATTGAGATTTTTAGTAAAATTTTTAATTATTTAATTTATTTTTCCCAGACTAATTTATTTTGGAACGGTTCCTTGCCAAGAATTTCATTGAATCAAGCCAAATCAAAAATGTACCTATTTAGTTTGGAGAGAGCACGTGTTTGTAAATGATAATAAGTGTCCCCAAGCAATGTTGCTATTTATAAAGCGTTTCTATAAATAAACCACTACATAGATTTACTTATTATCTCGAAAATGATATCGTTCCTATTTTTTGTTAAATTCTTTTTTTACTATTTATATGAAGAGCAGTAGCTTTTGTGTTTTAAGTGTCAAATTGAATAGAAAAGGTCATGGTTATTACTTTATTGATCGTTTCAAACTTGACCGACCTTTTAACTATAATGAAATTGAGTTCGATTTTTCTTTTAAAAAAGGTTAATATTTATTATTAACTGTTCTTGTTATGCAATTTCTTATCAAATAAAAGAATTGATGTGTAAAAATTAAAAAAAAAAAAAACAAATTAATTTAAATCCGATAAAATGATTGATGGGAAACAATCAGAATAAAAAAAAATATTGTCTCTTGGATGCGAATAAGGTCGTGGTGATAAGAACTTCTCCTTGAACTTGTTATATAATCAATGACGTTTAAGTACGGTTTATAAATGAGAAAAACTGTGTCAGAAACGCGCAATTCAATAAAATAATCGGAAAATTCCAAAACATGCCAGACGTTCTATCCGGTTTTGGCAACTTAAATCCGGCTTGGAACGTCTATTTTCGCCAACGAAGGCGTCGCGACGTCAACTATATTATAAAAATAAATCGACAACAAGTAACAATAATTCTTTAATTTGAAATGAAATTTAAAAAATTTCTCAAAATTTATTTTTGGGAGTTTTATGTCAAATGAAAGTTGAAATAGGTAGGGTTATATTGATTTTTTCATCTGTGTAAACTTAAAAAATCACCCACGGTTTATATTTGGGAATTAAGAAATAATTTTTATATCAAATTAAAGCTAAAAGATCATATTTTGTGATAATCCATAAATATATAATAATTTTATAAGAAAATTTGGAAAATATAAGTTTTTGAAAAAAAAGTAGGGTTATATTGATTTTTTAATCTGTGTGAACTTTGAAAAATCGCTCAAGCTTTATTTTTGGGAGTTAAGGAATGATTTTTATATCAAATTAAAGCTAAAAGATCATATTTTTAGGTTATCCATAAATATATTATGATTTAATAAGAAAAATCTGGAGATAAAGACGTTTGAAGAAAAAGTAGGGTTATATTGATCTTTTCATTTGTGTAAACTTTAAAAAATCACCCAAGGTTTATTTTTGGGAATTAAGGAATAATTTTTATATCAAATTAAAGCTAAAAGATCATATTTTGTGATAATCCATAAATATATAATAATTTTATAAGAAAATTTGGGAGATATAAGCTTTTGAAAAAAAAGTAGGGTTATATTGATTTTTTAATCTGTGTGAACTTTAAAAAATCGCACAAGCTTTATTTTTTGGAGTTAAGGAATGATTTTTATGTCAAATTAAAGCTAAAACATCATATTTTGAGATAATCTATAAATATATAATGATTTAATAAGAAAATTTGGGAGATAAAGATGTTTGAAGAAAACGTAGGGTTATTTATATTGATTTTTTAATGTGTGTGAACTTTAATAAATCGCCCAACGTTTATTTGTGGGAGTTAAGAAATGATTTTTATATCAAATTAAAGCTGAAAGATCATATTTTGAGGTAATCCATAAATATATTATGATTTTTAAAATCCCATTAAAACCTAATTTAAACTAATACCAACATAGAGGATTTAAAGTCCCAAAACTTTAAACTAACGGTTTATATTAATTTTAAGGATAGAAAAGCGCGTCGGCTTAATCACGATTTTTTTATCATTTTTACCATTCCAAAATTATCCAGTATTACCTAGACATAACTTAAATTTAACCGGATAAGATAGCGCATGACCGGTTTTTTCTAATATTATTCAAACTTGACCGCACAAATTAAAAATGATTAAACTCCTTAAAAATCTATTAATTCATTTTAACAGCAACAACAAAAACAACGTTGCAATGACATTTATATTATTTCAAAATGCAAAGTGTATGTGAAATCGATTCGTTTAAAAGCGTTTAATAAAAACAGCCACAAACATTTTCCAATTAAGAACTCGATTTCCACTCAGATGACTACATGGAAAATTAAAATATCAATTCAACAAGTTTATATATGTATGTATGTACATAGGAATGAATGAGGATTCTCGGTGAAACGCGAATGAATTTACTGTTCACAGTTATACATTATATAGCGGGGATAGAATGGAAATTTCCACTCGACCTTGTCAAGAACTCTCCAAACTCCTCACTCATTTCATTGTAAATTTTTTTTAACTGATGGTTTACTACTTGATACTTAAAAAAGATTATCGATACGGTTATCAAACTATTAAGATATCTTAATAATAGAAAAAAAGGAATATATTATGACGTGGGTTTTAAAGCCGAGTTCGGTTGGTAAACAAATACTTTAAAGAACCCAACTAAATATAGAATCAAGTTGAAAATAAACGTGTACAACAAAACAGATGCGCAAACTGGAATTAAAGTCTAATTTAGATTACGACATTTTTAATAAAAACTTTTTATAACAAATAAAAGATTTAATTGTTTATTTTAATTATAAAAAAGTAATAAAATAAGTGGCAAGTTTAGATAGACAATTTAATCTTGTTACAACGAATTAGACCTTCCAAGAAATCCAGTAATAACCGGTAGAACTTTATTTACGGTGTTTACTTTTCTGTTTGTATGCAATAACGGTTTCTTTTGCAGTTTTGGTGGAGATGTTGTTTTCAAAATCGATTATACGTTGAAAATTGCACTTTTGAACCACGTTTTTCAATGTAAATAATAACAAATTACGGAAATTATCGATCTTATCTTTCCGATTGAAATGCGCAGTTAAATAATAAACAATAAATTAAACATTAAAAAATATTACTGTGATATTATTAAATTCATTAAATTTTTGAACGAGGAATTTTAAAAAATCGCCCAAGATTTATTTTTGGGAATTAACGAATAATTTTTGTAACTACTTAGAACTAAAGGATCATATTTTGTGATTATCCATAAATATATTATGATTTAATGAGACAATTTGGGAGATAAAAACATTTGAAAAAAAAGTAGGGTTATATTGATTTTTTCATCTGTGTGAACTTTAAAAATCACCCAAGGTTTATTTTTGGGAATTAAGGAATGATTTTTATGTGAAATTAAAGCTAAAAGATCATATTTTGTGATAATCCATAAATATATAATAATTTTATAAGAAAATTTGGGAGATATAAGCTTTTGAAAAAAAAGTAGGGTTATATTGATTTTTTAATCTGTGTGAACTTTAAAAAATCGCACAAGCTTTATTTTTTGGAGTTAAGGAATGATTTTTATGTCAAATTAAAGCTAAAACATCATATTTTGAGATAATCTATAAATATATAATGATTTAATAAGAAAATTTGGGAGATAAAGACGTTTGAAGAAAAAGTAGGGTTATATTGATTTTTTCATCTGTGTGAACTTTAAAAAATCGCCCAAGCTTTATTTTTGGGAGTTAAGGAATAATTTTTATGTCAAATTAAAGCTAAAAGATTATATTTTATGATAATTCATAAATATATTATTGTTTCATAAGAAAATTTGGGAGATAAAGACGTTTGAAGAAAAAGTAGGGTTATATTGATTTTTTCATCTGTGTGAACTTTAAAAAATCACCCAAGGTTTATTTTTGGGAGTTAAGGAATAATTTTTATATCAAATTAAAGCTAAACGATTATATTTTATGATAATCCATAAATATATTATGGTTTAATAAGAAAATTTGGAAGTTAAAAACATTTGAAAAAAAAGTAGGGTTATATTGATTTTTTCATCTGTGTGACTTTAAAAAATCACCCAAGGTTTATTTTTGGGAATTAAGGAATGATTTTTATGTCAAATTAAAGCTAAAAGATCATATTTTTAGGTAATCCATAAATTTATTATGATTTAATAAGAAAATTTGGAAGATAAAAGCTTTTGAACAAAAAAGTAGGGTTATATTGATTTTTTAATCTCTGTGAACTTTAAAAAATCTCCCAAGCTTTATTTTTGGGAATTAAGGAATTTGAATATATTTATGGATTACCTCAAACTATGATCTTTTAGATTTAATTAGATATAAAAATCATTTCTTAACTCGCAAAAATAAATCATCGTTTACAATCTGTTAGACTCGATCAGATTATTGTTTTAAATTGTCCAAATACATTATGTTTCGTTCTAAATCATTTTAGATATGTCACCAATAATTAATGAAAACTTCACTTTAACATTTCAAAAGTCTTTTTGACGTCTCACACCATTAAAATAAAAAAAAATTTTTAATCTTCACAAAAATCGTAAGTTAATTTTTGATCTTTTTTTCAGGTATAGAATGGGAACATCAAGTCAATTAAAGTCGACATTAAACCTTTAATAACGAAAAAAAAAGCTATTTAATAACGAAGAAAATCTCAGGATTATCTGGCCTTAAGCTTAAACGAGTAATAAATAAAGAAAAATCGGACCAAGTCCCAAAAAACTTACCCTAACTTATTACAAAAAAGTGATCAAATTTTCCTTTTTTCTTTCTAACGGAACCAAAAAAAGGTACCGGTCATTGATGATCTGGTACGAATCACCGTCACCATTGAAGATCTCCTCATCGTCTTGCCCGAGATTATCACGTGATCCCAGATTAAGATTACAGGGTTGGTCCAAAAGGTGGATGCAACAACCATTTAGTTAAATCAAAAAGAATTTATATTAAAAAAAATAAATATAAAAATCTCGGTAGCTATTTTTACAGTATTACAACAGAGGAGAGATTAAAACTTAGCTTTAAATACTTTAAAACAAGTTTTTTTTGTTGGCTGTGAATAAGAATCAAATAAAAAATAATCAAAAAAGTTAAAAGAAATGGGGGATAAGGATCTTAAGAACGTTTCTGAGCCGCTGATTGAAAAAAAATCGAAAGGGATCATCACTACGACCGAAAATGAAACTTTAAAAGTTAAAAATGGAAATTCAAGTCCAAAAAATGGCACTTTAATTCCAGCGGAAGTCCATTTTATGGACGAAGAATCTGCGGGTTCATCAAAATTATCTTTATCCGATGACGATGAAACTGAAAGCCGAATTGTTACAAGGAGTGGGCCTAATATTCCCGATGGTGGGTGGGGTTGGATGGTGGTCTTGTCATCTTTATTACTTTCGATGATTGCTGATGGAATAAGTTTTTCGTTTGGTCTCCTTTACATCGAGTTTTTATACGAATATGGCGAATCAAAATCGGTTACGTCATGGATTGGGAGTCTTTTCTTAGCGGTTCCTTTATTAACAGGCCCAATAATGAGTGCTTTAGTCGATCGTTATGGTTGTCGTTTGATGACCATCGTTGGAGGATTAATCTCGGGATTAGGATTCGTATTGAGTTCTTTTTGTAGAACGATAACTGGTCAATACATAACATTTGGTGTAATCGCAGGATTGGGTTTGGGCTTAATTTATGTAACAGCCGTCGTTTCAATTGCTTATTGGTTCGATAAGAAACGAAATCTAGCAATTGGGTTAGGAGCGTGTGGAACGGGATTTGGCACGTTCGTTTATGCCCCGATGACTGAACATTTTTTGTATTCTTACGGTTGGAGAGGAACCGTTTTGTTATTAGCAGGGACGTTTTTTAACATGTGCATTTGCGGCGCTTTAATGCGCGATCCCGATTGGTTAATCGAAGAAAACAAACTCACAAAATCCAGCAAGAAATCATCAACATCCACAACATCCGTATCCGGGCGAAGCTTAGCCGACGATTTCCCCGACATCGAAGAACTCAGAGAGTTATTAAAAAGCGGCAAAAACACCGAATATCTTTTACAAAGTTTAGCCGCAACCGTCGATGAAAACAAAGACGAAGAAAACTTAAAAAACGTTTTGCACCGATCCGATTTGAGCCTGCCAACGTTCGTTAAACAAAACGAAAAAGTTCCGTTGGAAGTTCTTCAACATTTGGCGGCGAACAAAAAGTTTTACAACGTCATCTTGGAGAATTACCCAAGTTTGTTGTTTTCAAGAAGCATCTCAGATCACCGATTAAATAAAATCAAGGAGACCAACGATACCACGATGAACAGGGTCCCGGTGACTTTATCGATGAAATTAAAGAAAGCTAAAGATACAAATTGCGAAAAAAAGCTTGTTCATCAACATTCGATGCCGAATAATAACAAAGAATCAATGACGAGGCAAAGAAAAACTTCCCTGGAACATATCCCCACAACAAAACCAATAACAAGATCCGACTCGGTTTCCTGGTTCATGAAACAACTCGGGATGAACACTCATCATCATTTTAAGAACATTAAGTTACACAGAAACTCAGTTATGCATCGTGGCGCGATGTTAAACATCCATAAATATCGATTAAGAGCTTCGAGTTGCCCGAATATTTATAGGAATTCAATGATAACGTTGGCTCCTGAAGAAGAAGAGGTAATTTAATTTTTTGTTTGTTTGAAATGAATTAATTTGTTTGTTTTTGTAGAAATGGTATGATGAATTCGTTGGTTTATTAAAAGACATGGTAGATTTTTCTTTGTTGACCGAATTTCATTTCTTATTGATGGCGTTATCTACGATTTTATTGTTTACATGGTTTATCGTTCCTTATTTCTATTTGCCGGAATTGATGTCGGCCAAAGGGTATTCCAAGTCAGAAATATCGACTGTTATTTCAGCAATCGGATTAACAAACGGAATTGGAATGGTAAATATAAAAGCTAAAATTAGTGACATAATTAATATGAATAACTTTGACATCGCAAGTTAGAGTTAGAATATTAACGTCTTTAATTAATTAACCCTTTGTGTCCCAAGAAGTCAAAAATGTTGAATCTTTGTGACAGAATTAAAACGCTATCAAAATACACTCAATAGAGGTCTTTGGAATCAATTTTAGCAAAATATGCAATCCCCCCATTCCAGGGGGGATAATGGTACTTGAGAGTACCGTCAAGCGTTAAAATATATTTTCAGTACACAAAAACTATTATTGCTAATATAAAAATAATACATTTTTTATTACGTTAGAAAATAACTAACACTTGCTTTATCTAAATCATATTATGACATTCAGAAAAACAGTTCTTTCTTTTATTACAACATAAAAAAACATTGCACGCAGTACATTTTGAGAATTAGGCTTATTCTAAATTAAAGCTCAAAGCTTTCTCTTTACAATGATGTATAATAATTGTTGGGTTGGATTGGAAAAATATTGAGAAAAAAAATGTTGAAACAAAACTTGCATTTTCGTATAACCTAAAAATGTCAAAAAAGATGCTAATTTAAATATTCCTGGGAGCCGTATTTATTGAAATTAAGGAATGAGACTTATTCTAAATTAAAGATCAAAGCTTTCTCTTTACAATGATGTATAATAATTGTTGGGTTGGATTGGAAAAATATTGAGAAAAAAAATGTTGAAACAAAACTTACATTTTCGTATAACCTAAAAGTGTCAAAAAAGATGCTAATTTAAAAATTCCTGGAAGCCGTATTTATTGAAATTAAGGAATGAGACTTATTCTAAATTAAAGCTCAAAGCTTTCTCTTTACAATGATGTATAATAATTGTTGGGTTGGATTGGAAAAATATTGAGAAAAAGAATGTTGAAACTAAACTTACATTTTCGTATAACCTAAAAATGTCAAAAAAGATGCTAATTTAAAAATTGCTGGGAGCCGTATTTATTGAAATTAATGAGACTTATTTTAAATTAAAGCTCAATGCTTTCTTTTTGATCTGTAATAATCTATGATCACATCTGGACGAATAAGTTTAAATATACCTAAAAATCCTACAATGCGAATTGTGTCATTTTTTATACAGATTCTTTCTTGTATAGTAGAAAGTACCTACAGCTCTAAATGCGCCGAATAGATACCTACAGTTTAAGATGAGTGTTTAAAACTATCGGTACTTTAAAGTACCGTCGGGACACAAAGGGTTAAGATGAGTTAATCATTAAGGGTTAACGAAGTTTGCAAACATTTTTGATAATATGTACGGATCCCCTTTTTACCAATATTAGAATTAGTGATTATTCAAAATCACACATTGACATCATTATCTCAACACAAAACTCCTCAAAATCACCACTGCTACCCTGACATAATCAACGTCGTCCCTGGAATACTTCAACATCGTTACAATGATGTCTTTGTTGCCCTTCAACATCGTTCATAACGTCTCGAACATCACTCCATATTATTCCCAGACACACGTAATCATAGTTCCAAACATATCTTCTCTAACACCTATCAACATCGTCTTGGACACCTCAACTTAGTCCCATAAATTTATAGCAGCAGATATTTTTCAATATTATTTTAGATAAACTTCAATATTGTCTGGGACATCCCTCAATATGTTCTCCGACACCTCATAACATCATTCCAGACATAGATAATAACATAGATTCGAGGCTATTGAGTCGTCAACATTGTTTCTTCTAACTCTCTACATCGTTTAATTATTAATATCGTTCCAGATACTTTTCTATATGATTCCTGAGATCTCACAACATTATCTCTGACATCTCTCAAAATCACCTCGTGCATATTTCAACATCAACCATGATATCCTATCCCTCAACACAAACTCAAATATGCCTTAATATGATTCCAGACACACCACAACATCGTTCCAATATCAATTTGTCAACATTGTTTCGGTATTATCATCCCCAGCATTCTTCAATATAGTCTTTGATATCACATGATAGACTCTGATATCCTTGAGTCTCCTTATTCTGAACTTAATTGGCACACCTCAATAGTGTCTCGAATGTCTATTCTGATACGCTTTGACATAGTCCCAAATGAAGGTTATTTAGGCTAATTTTGTTTCTGACATCCCACTACGTCGTTTCAGATATCCTTCATTGTAGTACCTACTTAGCATACCTCAATATCGTTTTGAACATCTTTAACATCATTTCGGCCATCCCTTGAATTTGCGTTAAACATTTTCTAATATTATGCATGGCACATCTCAACATTGTGCCCAAATGCTCCTTCTAATAATATATATTTTCTTGTCTATTTAGATTGTATTGGGTTGGGCAGGTGATCAACCATGGACAAGTGTAACAAAAACTTACGGAGTTTGTTTAATTCTTTGCGGATTTTGCATTGCGGGGATGTACCTTTTCATACAAATCAAATACGCTTTATACACCGTCTCAATACTTTTCGGTTGGTTCTTTGCGAGCAGTTTTTCATTTACACCGATGATCACGGCCGATTTGGTACCATTAGATCGGTTTACAATCGGTTACGGATTAATTTTATTATGTCAAGGTATCGGTAATTTGATCGGACCACCAATTGCTGGTAAGTCATTCTCGTCATTATCTTTTTTATATATGGAATAATTTTTTTTCTCATTTTAAGGCCTTTTCTTCGACTTGACGAAATCTTGGGCCCAAACGTTCATACAATCCGGTTTTTGGATAATAATTTCTGGCATTTTAATCCTGATAATTCCGATGACAACTAATAAAAGACTCGTTGGGAATAAACCTTTAGAAATGGAAGCGAGCGAAAAGGGTAGCATTGTTTAATTTTTTTTTAATTAATCAGTATCGCAAGAAACCGAGTTGTATTAGAGAACTATGTACTTACTTTCAAACCAATCAGCACATTTCTGTACTTATCTCCCGTTTTTACTTAAAAAAAGGAAATATATAATCGCATATACTTAATGTACCTACTTAGAAATGGAGAAGAAAGGAAAATGTTGTGTTCGTTTTAAAGTTTTTTTTTTTTTTTAGTTTTTGTTGCATCGATTTTTTTTTTTGAGTAGATGGTTCTTACAAAGAATATTTATTGTCGTGGTGTGCGTACATTCCGGGATTTGAAAGAATACGGTTTCGTACTTAACGCAAAATGCAATATTTATATCTACATGACAATGTTTTTAATAAAAAAATTATTGTCGGTTGTTAAAGTATTTTTATATGCAATGAAAAAATCTTTTTTGCGCGAGGTTGTGTTCCAGTGTAGCATATGTGTCAATTTCATCTCTTTAATATGCATATTTAATAAAATAGTACTTACATACAAAAATGTTTCTTTTTTTTTATCAATTCCTTTTCCATATTAATATTAATTATTGTTGTACTTATATCTACTCCTGTTTGAAGGGAAGCAACATCTTCATTTTAATTCACTACAAAAAAAAGTTTTTGGCAAAACTTCTCTTAGGAAATACAATTTTTTTCTGCCAAATATTAGCTTGTCAGCTCATTAATTTATAATCTTTGATCGTTTATTTGAATTTGGCAATGTTGCAAAACAGCAGAACCCAGAGCAAAATCGAAATGGACAATAAATGGCATTTTGAGGAGAGAGTGGAGGAAAGGGCGCATTGTAAAATTGAGTGAATTGAAATGTGGAGACTACTGGAGGACAGGGATAGGAATAACAGAGGGGTTAGCAAAGTATTTGATGATGGAGGGGGGTGATGAGGTTGGTGGCCAGATTTAGATGTAATAACGTAGTTAGAGCCAATAGATATTGGATGGAGGATGAGGAGAGCCTGGGAGTCTTTAAACCATCTGCTGGTAGAGTGTAACGAGTTGAGGGAGAAAGTGATGGACTGGAGGCAGGTACTAGGGGAGAATGCGAGGAGATGTAGAGAGGCTAATCCACTAAAGGTAATATATACATAAAATGTCATCAGATAAATCTATTTGAGTTTGGATTAGCTATTATTTATCAAATGTTTGATTGCAATAAGTTCCTAGTTGATCTACAAATAGGAATTTGGTCTATGAATGTGTTTGGGGCATAAATTAGGGATTCAACTGGTTATGGAGCCTGACAAATTCAGATTTTTTACTACAACGACGCTCCATTGTGTGTTAGTAGAGCTTTTATGACTTATTGATTACAACTTTCTTTGTCATTGTGGAGATCTTTGGGATTAATTTGATGGATTAAATGTGAATATTGTTTGTGTTGAGTGAATTAATTTTATTTGGGAATAAAGAAATAGCAAATGGATACTATATAGATAAGAGATAAAAAAAGAATAAGAACTATTAGGAAACTATAGTTCGTTTTTTTTCTATAATACTTGTCAATGTAAATTATTTAGGGTTTCTGTTGGTATTATCAAGGACCCTTATAAAATTTATGTTGTTTTCATGATTTTTAGTAACATTTTCAGTAACTAATTAGTTGAGGTTAAAATACTAATAAATTTTTAGATAAATACGATTTTCACGAAGTACATATTTGTTGTAAAAACGTGCTACAAAGTAATTAATAGAATAAAATACCTTTTCTGGGTAAATAAATGGCAAATAAACACCCCACAACACTTTTTATGCACCTTTTCTTTTTGAATAACGAAAGTTCAAACGTCAATGTGACATATTTTCTTCAAAACATGATAAAACAAAACTCCCTGTTAATTTTGCCAACTTTACAACAATTTGACAGGTATTATAGAAAAAAAATGAACTATATGAACTATATATTCTAAACAAAAACCACAAAAAAAATTTTTTATTTATTCCTTGAAATGAAATCTCTAGTAAACGTTGGAATCGATCGTTTCGAAGCACAATTATCAAACCTAATCTCTCCTCGATTTCCGAAACGTCTACAATTACGTTTGTTGATGTGTAAAATTGAGAAATCTCGGCAATCTTCGTCTCGATATGTACACATTTTTGCACCCGGATTATTTGTATAAACGTAGTCGTAAATAGTATTTAAAATACAATTATCATCGTCGACGCATTTTACGTAAGAACTTTGATTGTCTTCGTTTGGATTTAAACGAGGAGATCCTGCCGATATCCAATAATCGAAATCGATGGAATTATTTGCGCACTTTTTTAAATCGTAACATCCGGTAACAACGTGGCAAATACACGAAATGCATTCGTGTATTGAGGTGTTTAATAAATTAGTTTCTGCAAGTTAACAAAATGAAATTGGGGAAAAAATCGGGCTGAATTACTCACGTGAAAAAGATCCTACAATAAAGATTGTTAAGAAAATAATTATTAATTTGTGATGTATCATTTTATAAAGTTTGAGAGTAAATAAATTAATCGAGAATAAATTAACCTTTTTGATCTTTGATTTATAAAAAAAAATTTATAAATTAAATAAAAAAGTAGAACCCTACTTTTTTTATTAAAGTAAGGTTAGGATCTTTGTTAAATTGGTTGCCTATACCACTTAATTAATTTTTTAAAATTTTATTTCAAAAATATTTTTTATAACTTATTAAATTTAATTATCTATTTCATATAAACTCAAATCCTTCATATTTTAAATCAGAAATTAACTGATCGGGTAAAAGAATCTCTCCGTTTATTTTAAAAGCGGTGACGTAAGTTGCCGTGTTTCCATTCAATTCCTCAGTTCTTAAAGCTACTATCACATCGTCTTTAGAAGTCGGAATGAATTTAAACGATGAGAATCCTCGTGTTGGGTGCGAATTAGGAAGCTAATTCAAAAAAGAATCAATGATTGTATAAAATTATGGTTTTTATCTCACATTTATCACTTGGATTTGGTGAAAATTCTCGTCGGCGATTAATAAAACGGAACAACCTCGGTGTTCGTCTAAAGTTTCGTTATATTTTTCTTTGCTGCATCGCCTCGGTAAGAAAAACCAGCTTTTATGGATTTCAGACCAAACGCCGCTTTCATGGATCATGTAACCAGGCCAATAAATGTTTAATGATTCTCTTAATTTATTGTATTCATTCACCCAGCGTAAATGAGTGATCTAAAATTTATTATTTAATTATAAATCATTTTTTTTTTTAATTTTTACCTCTCCTTTCGTAGAAACTTTTTTGATAAATTGAGGATTATAACTTTGGAAATCTCCGGATGCTGTGGTCCATTCTTTTCCCATCGATCCGATGTATAAATAACCATCTTTTACAGTTGCCCATTCCGATTTAAAACCTTTCGTTGATCTAAACCATAAAAAAAATGCTTAAAGGATCTTTTAGTATCTTAAATTATTTACTTTCCATCACCATCTAATAATAAAACCCACGGGGTGGCTTTATCTTGAAAAATTTCAAATATCATTCCAGTTCGGTCATCAAAGCTTAATAATTTTCCGTTAAAAACAACCAATTCGCTCAGTTCCATCCCTCGATCTTTTAATGCAAAGTTCGTATCAACCCTAACAGGGTTTTGTCGATCCCATGAAACTGTTACAATACTTTTATTGGGACTATAACTTAAGTAACCCTTTTTTAAATAAGAATACCAAGTAAATTTTTCTTTATCACTTTTTGATTTTGTATCTAAATCCGCTATAATACCTAAAAGGAATTATTATAACTTTTTAATTAAATTTTAATTAATAATTACCTATTCTAAATGTATACATCCCATTACTAAGAATAGGAGTCGTTAAGGGATACGTATAATTATAAAATTCCCCAAAAACTTTCGGCTCGGTTCGAATTTTACGAGGAAACACATAGAAAACAACCAAAACTAACAACCCAATCATTGCGACCCATAACACAAAATTAGTTTGGTTGTGTAATGTTCTATTAACAATCCGATGTGGTAATGGGGCCCTTAGAGCCTTTCTCCAATCTCTTATTACCCCCATACCGTCTTTTAAGGTATCTTGCATTGAAGAATTAAGATGAAAATTCCGTCATATTTAAAATAGTATTTTGGGTGATTTTTATCGCATTTTTCAATTTGTTAACGTGTACAATCGAATATTTAAAAATATTTAGTGCCACATAACCTATTTCCATACGTGTTTTTGTCATCTGTCAAATATGACAAATTAAAAAAAAAATTTTTGATTAATTGAAATTTTTGCAATTTAAAATAATTAAATTCCTTTATTTTGATGTAATAGATTAATATTGATGAAATTTTTAATTAAATTCTTTCATTTTACAAGTTAGTTTTGTAGTGAATGTTTGTAAAATGATCCCATCTTTTGAGAGAAAATTGAATTAAGAAAATGGCGCGATAATTTCAAAATATTAATACTTGTCAACTTAAAATCTGTTAAATTCTTTAAATCTAGTTCAGTTTTTGCATTTAAATGTTTCTAAACTATTGCATAATCAAAAAAGGAAAGTTTTGAACTAAACCCACGCAAAATGTTAAATAAGATTTTTAACATTCATCCCACGTAAATATTAAATAAACTTAAAAAATTAAAATATAGCACACATTAATTTAATCTTTTTTTCTTCCGATTTAACATCCTCAGCCTTAACCCAGATCTTAAAACATAATCTCATTAATAAAACGAAAAAGCCTTTAAAAGAGAAACTTTTTTAGGTCTCATCACCGATTAAAAAGAAATAAAAGAATAAAACACTCGGTATGTTTAATATTTTGGAACGTTACGAAATTTTGCAAATCAACTTTCTCCACTTCACAAAACCAGGAAGGAATCCACAGTTTAATGTTGTTAGTTTAAGAAGGAAGATCAACGATGAACTTTTATTGGGTTAAGATTAAAAAGAATTTAAAAAAATGATTTTAATTTTTTGACTTTTAGGTTAGTTTTTTGATTATTGTTTTGATGGAAATTGCTTATTCAACGTCGAAACCGTTTACTGACGAAGACGGTGATAATTTTCGTGGGGATGAATCCGAATCTGATATAGAAGAACGAAGAAGACGAAAAAATAAGCGAAAACCTTGCCAAAGAGTTGCAGGGGAAGAACAGAAAGGTGAAGGAGATGAAAGAACTTTTTTTCAATTCTCGTACGTTGATGTTAATTATAATTATAATTGTGGACATGGAATGAATCAAAAAGGACCTCATCATCATCAAAATCATCAAAATAATCATCAAAATCATCATCAAAATAATAATAATAAACCTGAAAATATTGAAAATGATGATGTTGTCCATGAAAATGATGATAACACCTTTTCAACAACAAGACGACCACATCGTCCGTTAGGAAATTTTTTAATGAACCATAATGGAGCGCTAATCCAAACATTTTTTGGAAATCTATTTGGTACTAATAAACCTAAAGTTGATGAATCAAACCCGATTCCGGTTCACGAAGCGATTCAAAACGATGAAACGACTAAATATGAGCCCGGTTTGTATGTAAGTGCTTATAATCCGATTAATGGGCAATATTTGCAAGGAAATTTAACAAATCCAAAACGGATTTATCGAAGGATTAATAAAGGTGTTGATTTCTTGTTAAGTCCGTTGTATGATTTAATTTAATTTATTTCTAAGATGTAATTAATAAGTTATTTTATGTAAAAAATCAACTTTACAATAACCAATATAAGTAAATTTATAAAAATTTAGGTAAAATTATTTGAATTTGACGTAAATGTCACATTAAACGTCAACTGTTATAATACTAAACGTCAATTAGTATTTTTAATTTATTATTTTTTTTTTAATTTTTCACTTTAATCAAATAATTATTATTAAAAGAATAAAATAATTAAATCTTTTTGATTAAAAAATTATTTAAACGCTTTTCAGATTGCAGCGATTGCAGCAAACTTCACGTAGAAGCGTAAACGTCATAAATCAATCAGTTTAATTTTTAAATTACAATTTAAGTGAAAAGTGTTTTTATATTCTCATTTAACTTTCAAATTAACAAATTTAACATTTATACAAACACCATTGATGGATCAAACGAGTTCAAATCTCCAAATTAAGGTAAAATTTAAAATTTTCGTTCATTACTAAAGTCGTAAATTTTTTATTAAGGAATTATTATTATGTTAAAAATATTATTTTGAAGTTAAAATCTTTCGTCTTTTTTATACGAATTATTAATCAGTTACCTTAATTAATTAACTTTTCGCATTTAACCTCACTTTCTTTTTATTGTCAATTCAATCCTTGTTGTCATCTCCATGGTAACGGATTCGTAAAGTGAATCAAAACACAATAAAAACGTAAACAAAACGATTTTTGAGGTTATGTTTATACATTATCTAAATGCAGGAAGTTTCTGTATCAATTAATCAAAATGTGGATGATTATTATAAATCTTGAGTTATGGTATAAAACTGTATAACAAATACATCATAAATTTGATGAAGATGAAAACCACTAATACAATAAATCGAATAAAAAGGTTATGATTAAGGTAAAAACTTATTATTTATATTCGATGTTATTTTTAATCGCATTTTAACCTCAGCTTCTTTTCATTGTTATTAATACATCAAATTCTATCAAATGGTAATACACGATATTTGCAAATTAAAGAATTTACTTTGATGAAGAAGGCAAAACTCGAAATTTTAAGGAAAATTGACTAAAAATTGGAATTATGCTTAATGTTCATTAATCTTGGATTCAAGAGAGGATTCAAGTTAAATTTGATGTAGCTTATCATTTAGTTAACATAGAATTAATCTTGGATTAACGTCAAGTTAACATGGAAATTAGATTAAAATAAGGCTAATCACTAAATAACATTCAATTTAGATTTGATGTAACTCATAATTTAGTTAACATGGAATTAATCTTGGATTAATGTACCATTAACGTCAAGTTAACGTGGAAATTAGATTAAAATAAGGCTAACCACTAAATAACATTCAACTCAGATTTGATATAGCGCATAATTTAGTTAACATGGAATAAATCTTGGATTAACATACCAATAACGTCAAGTTAACGTGAAAATGAGGTTAAGGTAATACTGACAGTTGTAAAAATATCAAAATAACTTGAAAATTAAGTTAATGTAGCGTTAGACGCTGATTAACACTCATTAAAGTTAAAAAAAAACATTTTTCAGTGAAAATGTAATTATTTAACACTCATTTAATGTCAAGCTAATCAAAAAGGAAATTTGTTATTAAAAAAAGATATTTATTTCTAAGATGTAGTTAAAAAAATATAACAAAATGAACTTATTTTTCATAATAACCAACTCCTCCATATCCTCCATAACCGCTATAACCACCGCCATAAGATCCATAAGAACCATAACCAGGTTTATACCCAGGATAATTTCCGCTTAAATAATTCGTGCCGTATCCCCCATAATTAGAACCTCCATACCCACCATAATTTCCATATCCACCATAACCTCCGCCATATTGACCACCTATATCACCATAACCATCATAACCCGGTTTGTAACCATCATATCCAGGTTTATAACCGCCATATCCAGGTCTATAACCACCATATCCTCCGTAACCTGGGCGATATCCTCCATATCCAGGTCTATATCCACTGGAATATCCCCCATAACCAGGTCTATATCCGGAATAGCCTCCATAATTATTGTTATAACCATCTAATCCTCCCAATAAACCATAACCTCCAGCATTTACCAATGTGATTATGGTGAAGATGAAAAGAAAAGTGATCTAAAAATTAATTTAATAAAAATGATATTGTTAGGTGATATAATCATTTGTTTTTGCTTTCAAAATAGGAATTTAAATGAACAATAATTAGTTTTAATGATGATTGGGAGTATTTATCATCTAATTAAACTAATTATTTGAATTACAAAACGACCGTTTTATTTTTCTTTTAGAACAACGTGTGAGGTCAGCAAGGAAAATTTTTCACGGTTTATAACTTTTTGATTTATCTCAAAATTTTCATTGCCATCAACAATTTTTTTTAATTAAAATTATTTAAATTTAAATACTTACGGCAAACTTCATGTTGGTATATTTAAGAATTTTAAATGAATAAACCACCTATCGGATACTATTAAAACTAAATCGTTTTTTGAAGAACCAAGCCTCATCCAGTTCGTTTATATACTACTTCTTATAACCTTGTGTTACTCATTTTTAACGCTCCCCCAGACGACACTTTTCGTAATGAAAACGAAAACGAACGCGTTTTGGGCGTGTACAAACACATTTTTTTTTAAACAATCCTTTTACACCTGCTGTAATATCCTCGGGTGATGTTTGAACGTATTCTGTCACAATAGGTCGTTAAAGGGAATAATTAAAGAAAAAGAAACATCTTAAATACGGTTACGTAAAGAGGAAGTTTATTTTTAATGAGGAGATTTTAAAATAATAATTATAAATAATTAATTTAAATAAAAATCAAAATTAGGGTACGTTCTAAAATTTGTTATGTCATTTTTTGATGTAAACGTCACTTTTTAAAACGTCAAATTTTTGACTTAATTTTTTAAGTAACAAATAAAATCAACTTGTGAATAAGAAACGCTAATAATAACACAATTTACTTGACAAGAAACGTATTGTTTATGTAATTCACGCATTGTGAATCATCACTTCTGGTATATAGATATTCAAGGTTGGAACGATCGGTATTGTTGTGCCTCAAAAATAAAGTTTTAATTTATAAATGGAAGGAAATCAAGCAGGAATTCAGGTAAATTTTATTTCTTTCTTTTAATTTGATGGGTTAATACGCTTCCTGCGGTTATCTTGTCCAATTTATGCAACGCGATTGTTAAATTATTGTTTTAAAATCTCCTTGACATATTTTGCCAAAACCAGATTTATTAAACGAAATTTACTTTGGGCGCGTAGGATGATTGGAAGATTGCGCAAATTTTATTTTTGAAGGAAAAACCAAGAATTAAATTAAAAAGAACACAATTTTATTAAATTACAATCACATAAACACAATCACAACGAAGATTAAAATAAACACAATTATTAAATATATTTTTGGGCAACCTCCGGGGTGGCAGATCGATTTCTTAGATTATATCTCATCGAAAAATCGGATTTAACATAATTTTTAACATTAATTTTTTCTTTGGCAGAATCATTTTGTTTTTTATAAATATCACAGTTTACGTCCTTAATTCGTTCATCTAAGCTCATTATTTTGTTATACATTTTTTCCAACATTAAATTATTATCAATTAAATAATTTTTGTGGCTAAAATAAGAGTATATGAATAAAAATATTAAAATTACAATAACTAAATATCTTAATAAAGAAATTATATAATAATATTTTTGATTCAAATCAAAAATATTAGTGATTCTATTCGAAATAATCGTTCCAATGACTCTTTCAATAAACAAATTTAGCATTATGGTAACTAACATATAAAATCTTGCTGCAACTGTGCGGTTTAATGAAGTAATAAACATTGTTAATGTTGAAGTGATAAAATAAAACACAAAACTATCCACCCAACTTATTTTCCCCATCAACCACGATTGTAACTCTTTAAAATTTGAGGTTAAAATATCGAAATCTTTGTGTTTCTCAGTTAAATAAACGAAAAATTCCTTCATATTCTTTTGTAATTCAATACTTTCTTTTTGAATCTTTAATAATTCTTCTAAATTAACTGCTGAATCGTGGAGTTGTTTGCCTAATTTAACTGTATTTTCGGCGATTGTTTCATGCCAAATTTGGCCCCTTAAAAAATAACAAATATTTAAAGTGTGAGTGTAAAACTCGGTGTATACATTAAATGCTCGATCGGACATAGTGCTTATACAAATCCCTCTTAAATTAGGTTTTTTATCAGCTTCGCATTTATAAATTTCATGTCCAGACATTGCTAAGAAACAATTCGTTAAATACAACGCAACTTCCGATTGAGTTTCTTCTGATAATTCTTTACATCCATCATCTACCTTCCGAATTGCGTTTTTCCAACAATCACCGTATTGAGGTAAATTTCCCCTTTCTTGTAATAACTAAAATAACATTTTATAGCGTTTTTAATAAAGAAGATTTATTTTGTTTACTTGGTATTGAATTTTTCCTTTTTGAGTCATCTCGTTCATTTCCATCCCGTAAACGTGTAAAACATCTTCGAAAGCCATCGTGCATAATAAAAACGAACTTAAAATTGTTTGTAAAGTCTTCAGGTACATTATTATTAATAAAGATTAACGATTTTTTGAACCTATTTTGAATTTGTCAGTTAAGATTTGTTTACATATTGAGGTTATGATAAATGTCAATTTGAAATGTGTCATTTGGGTTGCCTATATTAAAAGCACAAAAAGTTAAATATTATAAATATTTCCCTCTGCACCATTTATATTTGCTCTATCAATCTACATTATCAACTCAACTTATAAAGATAGAAATTTTGACGTTTTTATCAATTTTCTCTTATAATTCATTACACCACTCAAAAATAAAACCAAATTTGATTATGATTTTCGGTTATAACTTATTAATTGTGCATGATGGAGAATTATTTTTTAAACAAAAAATGTTTAAAATTGACTCATAAGATGTATTGAATAAAGATATTTATTCCATCAATCAGCATTACCACCCCAACGTAAGAACAATAGAAATTTTGACGTTTTTATTAATTTTCTTTTATAACTTATTAATTATATCTGATAGAAAAAAACTTTTCATACAAAAAAGATTTAGAATTAACCCATAAAACATATCCAATAAGTTATTTTATTTCATCGATCAGTAGTACCAACCTAACTCAAAAATAAAACCAAATTTTGATGTTTTTGATCATTTTCGGTTATAACTTATTAATTGTGCATAATGGAGAATTATTTTATTAACAAAAAATGTTTAGAATTGACTCATAAGACGTATTGAATAAAGATATTTATTCCATTAATCAGCATCACCACCCCAACTTTAAAAAAATAGAAATTTTGACGTTTTCATGAATTTTCTTTTATAATTCATTAATTATATGTGATGGAAAAAAGCTTTTCATACAAAAAAGATTTAGAATTAAGCCGTAAAACATATCCAATAAGTTATTTTGTTCCATCGATCAGTAGTATCAACCTAGCTCAAAGATAAAACCAAGTTTTGATGGTTTTGATCATTTTCGGTTATAATTGTAAACAATGTTTAGAATGAACTCATAAGACGTATTCAATAAAGATATTTATTAGTTATTGTAATAATAAGATTTTAATTTTCATTATCTTTATTATTTCTCATTAACAATTTTTTGATACAACTCATTATAATCAACATTTTGATTCGATTTATCCTTACCTGCATCAATTTCTTTTCCATTATTATTAAAATCTTGGAATTTCTCCCAATCAAAATTAACGATATCTTCAAAATCTTGATCGATTTTCCCCGAAATTTCATTATTATCATTTTTATCATTTTTTAGGGGAAACAAATTTTCCATTAACTTTCCGTATTGATTGTTTATTGAATCTTTGGAGCTTTTCGATTTCTTTAAAATCTTTTCTCGCAAATCATCTACCATATCTTTAATCGATTTTGAATTGATCGCGTTTTTATCGTCATCGATGTGCTCGGCGACGATGAAAAAATCTTTATTCTTTTCGTCGTTGTTTCCGAATCTTGATTGGATTTTATTGAGCTTTTTTGGGTGAACTACGAATCGGGTTAATCCGACTTTGTTTTTCTCGGGGTTTGAAACTCCGAAAGCATCCATTAAATCGCCGATTTTAACGTAATCATCAGTTGGGTCTGGTTGGGATTCTTCGTCTGTTAGTTCGCCGATTCTTGGTGCTATCAACATTAATTTTTCTGGAATTTTTTTATCTTTTTTGATTGCTGTTGCTTTGACGTATGGTGTGATAAATTTTGGTGTTGCGGATCCGGTTGTAACGAAAGCTTTTCGAGCGCTATGCGCGACATCGGTCATATGTTGAAGAGTTTCTTGGCCAGATTTAATGCTTTCTCTTAACATGAATCCCATTCGTTTAAAAGTATTTAAAAATTTCTCTTCTTCCGAATCATCCAAAAATCTTGAAACGATTTCGGGCGATTTTTTTTGATTCTTTAATTCACCACGGTCCATAATTTTGTATTGAGTTGGGATCATTATATCTTGTGGCGGGATTCTTAAAGCGGCTAAAATTACGTTTTTTGCTGATCCAACCATATTTCTTATGTGGAACATTGGTGCTTTATCATCTTCGAAACTATTTTTTGCTACAGTTCCAATATTTTCCATCGTTTTTGGCATATCTAACTTTACGTTTGGGTCGGCTATTAACTTTAAAAGGGGCACGGATCTTTTAAAACGTTGCAAATGATCATAAAATTTATTAGGATAATTACGTGGAGCTTGAATTATAAATGAGCTTAAATAATCAAGTTCTGATGATTTTTGAAGGTGAGGATTATAATACTTTGGTGGATAATGATGATTTTGAGGCAAATTATGATTGTTTACAATTACGTGAGTGTTGAGATGTTGTGGAGGATTTGGGTGAGAATAAAAATGGTGGGGTTTTAATGGAGGATGTAAAGGAATGGTTGGATGATGATTAATTCCATGTGTTAATGAGAAATGATGAGTGTGGGCTCCTTTATGACGACTTGCTTCAACATTTTCTGATATTTTTTGGTCGGATTTTTCAATTGGATCATTTCCATTTTCCAAATTTATTAATTTTTCTTCACCTTCACTTCCTAATTTTTGAAAACCAATAACTTTTTGATCATCTTCGTTAAAATTATCTTCATTATTGATAGCAAAATCATTTAATTCTTCAGTTTTGCTTGATTCATTTTCTTCATTTGAATCTGAATTTTTTTGGTTAACACTTTTTTGATCCAACATAAAAGGTTCGAGATCTTGCAAAATTTCTTCATCTAAGTTTGGATTCATTTCGTATAAATCTAAAAAAAAATTAAACTTCATAGTTATGTTAAAATAAATTCAGGTGAGAAAAAGCATAACTTAAAAATAAAATTTTATTGAATAAACCCAGGAAAAGACCAAATAGACATCTTCCACCTCCGAAGCACGTGCGAAATCGGCAACTCTATTAAATCGAAAAATACCCAGAAAGCTATCAGACGGGCAGATAAGTTATAAAACTTCTATTATATGACAACTAACTTAAGATTTAAAATGTCAACCTCAATTTTGACATATTTGTAATCTTCATTAAAAATCCTTTAAAATGAGTACAAACACGACGTATTTATCTTCAATATTAATGAAGTTATCGTCAACTTCCGGTTAAGAATATCAACGTGAATTTTGACATATTTGTAATCGTCGTGAAAAATCCTTTAAAATGAGTCCAAACATGATACGTTTAATTCCAATATTACTCGAGATATAAGCAACTTCCGGTTTGAAATGTCAATGTCATTTTGACATATTCTTAATTTTTATAGAATGTATTAAAATTTGTCACAAAAACGGAAATATAATAAGAAAAAATCAAAAATTAAGGTTGGTATTAATATTTAAAAATTAAATTGCTATCTTCATTGTTGCTAACTTCGGGTTTAATGTATTTTATTCTAACTTTTTTGTTTTTTGAGATAAATGCGTCATCTTTGGACTCATTTTAAAAGTTTTTTAATGAAGATGACAAATATGTCAAAATTGACGTTGACGTTTCAAACCGGAAGTTATTGTATTTCCATTAATATTAAAGTTAAATATGTCGAGTTTGGACTCATTTTAAAGGACTTTTTATGACAAGAAAATCTCTAAAAACGGTAAAATGTCACTTACGATTTAAAACGGTTTCATTTGACAAATATTTTTTAATGTTATGCATCATGGTGTGCATCAAATGATCCATACGATTCTTAAAATCCTCTTTATTCCTCCTCTTTCTAACTAAAATCGATTTAGACTTACTCATTTCTTCTTTAACGGTTTCAGTAAAAATTTCTTTTAACCGATTAAAAATTTCTTCGTTAATTGTCATATTTTTACCATTAAATTCTTCTTCATTTACGCTATCATTTTTAAAATTATTTTTTTGTTCATCTATAACGTAATAAAACATCTTTTTCATCATCTCCTTGATGTTGATTTCATCATCAGAGGGATCAGTGTTATTAATAACAAAATTATTTGTTTCGTTTAAATTAAAATCGGTTTCATCGCCGATAAAATCAGTTGGAGTTTCTTCTAATAGAAGATGATGATGTCTTGGGATTGGTAAAAGATGTCTTAATCTCGCCGTTGTTAAATCGTGTAAAGTTTTTGTTTTTAAACGATTTAAATGTAGGCGAGGTAATAATAATGAACCAACAGTTTCATTTTCAAAGCTTGCATCTTCAGCGAAGGTTTTTATAAAAATTGTGCAAAAAATTATTATTATTTGCTTCTAAAATTAGGAAAAAAATTATTTTTTGAGTAATTATTAATAAATTAAAAAGGAACTTACCATTTTGAGTCGATTGGAATGATTAAAAGAACGTTAGTCAGGATTATTTTTTTTTCTGGAACAAAACTGAGTTGCAAAAAATTTGTTTGGTGCGCAAAAAAAATGTAACAAATAATTTGTTTTTAAATTTATTTAAAAATTATTAACGTCACAATAAAATACAAACTTATTCGTATTATTAACAGTACTTAAATTTTAATTTAAAATAATTAATAATTAACAAATTCACCACAAAGTTACAAACTTAATAAATAATAAATTATAAACAAACAACCAACAATCCTAATGATTAATAATTTTTTAATTACAAATTTACAGCGTGAAAATGCACCAAATTAAAAATCTTTTATGTTTTTAAACGAAGCTTCAAAATTAATATATTTATTTATGTATTTGTTTACAAATCCGATTGATCTGGACCTAGAATAAAAAAAAATCATTTTTAATTTAAACAGTTAATTTTTATTCCGAACAAGAAAATATAAAAAAAAAATTTTAATTCTTGTTCAGACATTTCCTGAGATTGATTGTGTTTTGAACAAAAACAAATTAAATAAACTAAAATAACATGCAAAAATCAAGAATCAAAATTCTTTTTTTATTTTGGTGAAAAAAAATTTTGATTTAATAAAAAAAAAATAAAAATAAATTGCAATTTTTTTATGTTAAAAGATTTTTTGTCATGCTGTTATTAAAGAAGATGAAATAAAAGCGCTAACAAAAAAAATTGCCAAAAAAAAAGCTACAAAAACTGTGTAATAAACGAAAATAACACTCGAAAATGGAAAATGAATGGTAAAAAGATGTTTTTTTTTTGTAAGAATGAAGCAAACTTCACCTAAAATTAATTAATCGATTGAAATTAATGTTTTTAATTAAAATTATTAAAAAGGAAAAAACATGAAGTAAAAAAACGTTTCAAAAACACAAACTATCAGGAAATGTGCTGATTATGATTAAAAATGGTTGAAAATGATTCATTGAAAATTTATTTTAATAATTATTAAAAAAAAATTAAAATAAATTAAAAGAAGGTGGAGTTTACTCCATTTCATTTCGATTATTGTATTTACAAGTTTGGTTTTTTAATTTGTATTAAATTGGAGGCCTACCAAAAAAATATCTATTGTTATAGTTTTTTAAAAAAGACCTAAAGGTTAAAAAAAATTGTTTTGACTAATATTTTTTTGATGATGGGAGCAAAAGTTGATGTTTCAACTTTAAATATTTTTGCAATGCGTTTAATTACATGAGCACGTCAACAAATTATTTTTATATTATTAAATATTGATTTTGATTTTACGAAATTAAAAATCGCAAAAATTAAAATTTAATTAGAGGCCTAGATGTTACCATTTAATCATCTTGCTGGTGCTATTGCACGCTTGAGTCATCGTTTACTTCTAAAATTTACAAATTTTGCGGAAAGAAAAAGATTAATAACTCAAACAACATTTTTAAACACCCAAACTATTCATTTCTAATGATTTAAGATCCCGAAAAGTGATTTTATTACTCCAAATTAATCAAGAGTTGTTTTGACAGAAAACATAACTTAAGTTATGTTGATTTTCAATAATTGGGTGATTTATTTAACCTTCGAGCGGGCGCGCTTCCATAAAATTTATGACAATTTTCATTTTTATAATATAATAATAATAATAACGCTAAAGTATTCATGTAACTATGTATTTTGAAAGTGATGAAAAAAAAATGTAAAAGAAAATATATTGACATTGTCTTTATGGCAAAAAAACTTATAAAAATACTATAACTATATATATTATAATATAACTATTTATATTATGGATTGTATTAAGGGATATAAATGTCTACTGTTAGTTCTAGTTTTACACTATCACTAGAACTAGCACAAGACCTAGACTTATTTTTCTTACGTTGGGTTGGTACTACTGATCGATGGAATAAAATAACTTATTGGATATATTTTAGGGATTGCTTCTAAATCTTTTTTGTATGAAAAGTTGTTTTCCATCACATATAATTAATGAATTATAAAAGAAAATTGTTGAAAGCGTCAAAATTTCTATTTCTCTTAAGTTGGGTTGGTAATGCTGATTGATGGAATAAATATCTTAATTCAATATGTCTTATGAGTAAATTCTAAACATTTTTTGTTTAAAAAATAATTATCCATCATGCACAATTAATAAGTTACAACCGAAAATGATCAAAAACATCAAAATTTGGCTTTATTTTTGAGTTGGGTTGGTACTACTGATCGATGGAATAAAATAACTTATTGGATATATTTTATGGATTAATTCTAAATCTTTTTTGTATGAAATGTTGTTTTTCATCACATATAACTAATGAGTTATAAAAGAAAATTGATGAAAACGTCAAAATTTCTATTTCTCTTACGTTGGGTTGGTAACGCTGATTGATGGAATATCTTTATTCAATACGTCTTATGAGTCAATTCTAAACATTTTTTGTTTAAAAAATAATTCTTCCATTATGCAGGATTAATAAGTTATAAGTTATAACCGAAAATGATCAAAAACATCAAGATTTGGTTTTATTTTTGAGTTGGGTTGGTACTACTGATCGATGAAATAAAATAACTTATTGGATATGTTTTACGGGTTAATTCTAAATCTTTTTTGTAGGAAAAGTTGTTTTCCATCACATATAATTAATGAATTATAAAAGAAAATTGATGAAAACGTCAAAATTTCTATTTCTCTTACGTTGGGTTGGTAATGCTGATTGATGGAATAAATATCTTTATTCAATAAGTCTTATGAGTCAATTCTAAACATTTTTTGTTTAAAAAATAATTCTCCATCATGCACAATGAATAACTTATAGTCGAAAATGATCAAAAACATCAAAATTTGGTTTTATTTTTGAGTTGGGTTGGTACTACTGATCGATGGAATAAAATAACTTATTGGATATGTTTTACGGGTTAATTCTAAATCTAAAAGATATAAGATTTCAAAAATTAATCGATTTGATTTTTAATAATTGTTTAATATAAATTAAATATTTTTACTCTACCGAAATCTGTTTTAATAAATATAACGTAATTCTTATTAATACGGACCTGATGTCATAAAATTTATGACACGCGCCCGCTCAAAAGTGAAGAAAAAATACGTATTAAGTGAATTTTTCCTTTTTTAAACGTCAACTTTTTTATCAATTTCCCCCAACATCAAAAAAAGTTATAAACAAAATAAATAAAAAAAAAGGAATAAAATAATCCTATTCTTTCTTCGAAGAGTAATTTTTATTAGTTACCTTCAAGGTAACAAATCCACCCGTTTATTTTCTTCTTCACGATGTATTCGTTTCTGGTTTGGATCGGACATAACGGATCAAATTAGGATTAGAAGTGGAATAAGGAGTCGAATACGAAAATTTATCATCATCGTTATAAAAATCTTGCGGGGTCTGAATCGCAGTTGAGCTTTTTGAATCGTTAGAATCAAAAATTTCTTCTTGTAGAATCCTATAAGCTGCATTATGAAGCTTTTCAAGCGGCATTTCTCGGAAAGCCTCCCCTCGTTTACCTTTTAACAAACTCCGAACTAATTCTTTCACCAACTTATCATTAATCGGGGGTGTTAAGGAATCGATTCCGCTTGAATTAAATCCCTCTTCATCCGGTTTTAAATCTAATGTTAAACTTTCTTTGCGTTTTTGAATATTTTCTTGATTCTTTTGATTTTTTTCATCTTTTTTTTCATTTTCTTGGATTTCCTCTAACTCGCATTCGTCTTGTAATAGTTTAAAAAGGCGCGAATGCGTCGCTGCGCGTTGGTATTTCGACATTTTATTTAATTCGGAGTATTCTTCCGTATCGGAAATGTGTCTGCTTATATCGGATGTTACTCCTGAATCGATTTCTTCTTCTGAATCGGAAGAATTTTCTTCGGGTTCAATTTCTTTTTTAATTTTTTCTTTTCTTTGCTTTTCTTCTAAATTATTTTTTATTTTGTTCACTTTTTCGACTTTGTCTTGAACCATTTTGAATTCTTTCGCTTTTTCCGAGGCTATTTTTAACGCTGCGATTCTTTCTTTAATACTAGGAATTTTTATTTCTTCCTTGTTTGCATCTTCTTTCTCATTTTCTTTATCAACATCTTCATCGTCGACGATAATACTACAAACAGTTGTTTTTTTAACGATTTCACTCGAGCTATCTTCTTTTTCAATCGAAATTCCTTCCTTTTTAATGATTTTTGGGGGCTCAATACTTTCTTTAAAAATTTTTTTCCTCGATGAAACACTCAAATTTCCGTGGTAAATCGATGATCCTTCTTTAATCCGAAAATCGGTGTTATCAACATTTTTTTCTGAATTAATTAAACATTTAACATCATCTTTTTGGTACTCGTAGTTTTCTGATTGTTCTTTTGAAGATCTTACGTAGTTTTCTTCCGAATTTTCTTCGTTTTTTGGTTTTAAATTGAACGTTTCGTTGCATTGGGATTTATTTAATTTATATTTATGATCTTTTGCGCTCATCGAGACATTTTCTGATTTCTCCTCAAATTTATCTTCAAATATTTCTTTATCGTTTTCTTCGGTTATCGTCCCAGATTTTTCGTGGTTCTCGATGATGACTTCGTGGTTGTTTTGGGGTTTTGGAATTTTTATTTTGTCTTCTTGGAGAATTGTTTTCCAAAAATCGACCTCTTCATTTTCTTCTTGCTTCTTTAAGCAAATTTCGTCATCGTTTAATGGTTTTATTTCACTCCACCAATCTTTATCAAGCTTTTCGAAATCTTTTTGGACAACTTTTTCCTTCAAAATTTCTTCTTTAGCATCATCTTCAACAATTTCATCAACAGCCAACGTTTCAGAACTAGAATCCTTCACAACAAAATCACTTCTTTCACTTTCCTCAAAAATAACACTCAATTCATGAGGAATTTCTTCCGTTTGAGTTTCACTTTTTGGCTCATTTTCTTCACATTCCTCTTCAGAAACTTCGTATTCATCATCAGAGTACCCCACAGAATTTTTTTGCTCAACATTAAAAGAAGAATTTTCCGAAAAACTCTCAGTTTCGGATTCAACATTTTTTCCACTTTGATTTTCCTCATTCCTACATTCTTCCTCTTCCTCAAAATCGTCTTCAAAATCGTCGTGATACCCATAATTATACATATGATATGGATAAACTTGTTGGGGATAACAATACATGTAATAAGGGTCCCAAAATCCATAAGGAGATCTCCTCCTTTCCCGAAAATATCTTTCTTCATCCTCCTCGTAATCGCTATCGTTCCAAAACGAATTTTTTTGGGGGAATCTCCTGGGAAGTGATGAAGATCTCGATTTTTTATCATAAAACTCACTCTCATCGTCATAATAACTTCTCTTGTTCGTTTTATTCGAAGAAAAATGAACAGGAGTTGTTCGTGCACTTTTCGATTTTAATGATGGACTTGGAGACATAGAAAATTGTGGAGAATACGGTGGTGGGACGAAATATGGAGGGCAATAAGGTGGGAAACATTGCGGGGGGAATCGGGGGGCGTAACCGAAATATTGCGAATCTTGATGAGGTGCTGCTATAACATAGATAAAAAAAATATTTTTCTGTTCATTGCCAATTAGAAAAAAAATTTTTTGTCCTACTTTGATTAAAAATTGATTGCATAAAAAAGGTAGGCAAAAATAAAAAATAATTAATTAATTTTTTGATTTTAAATCGTTGTTTTAAAATTGATCTTTGATGATAAAATGATAAAGTTAAAATGAAATATACAAAATGGGGAGTGTAGGACAAAGTTTCAAATTATTATCTTTACGCGGTTCATTTAAAACTTAAAATCCCATTTGGTTTTTTGATGTGGGTTACCCGAAAATGGATTTCAAGCTGACTTACCGCAAGGATCGCCAGTCATCGCTTGTAACATCTTAAAAGATCTGCTCGGTATTTTTCCCCCTGTGTATTTTTTCGGTTCTTCAACGGTTTGTTCGCTTGGAGGAACGTAATTACTCGAAGAACCACCTTGAAAAGAAAAATACGCTACATTAATAGCAACTTGACACAAATACAGTGTGTTAATTAATTATCGTACCCGACGTATGCAACCAATATCACAATATTAGTAATTGCAATACGCGATTTGCGAATTTGGTTGCATACTTGCAATGATGACGTCGGGTACGATAATTAATTAATACAGTGTACTTAATGTGTGATTTAATTAAGAAGGCGCTACATTGATACTAACTATAACTACTTAATAACTATCAATAATGTATGGTTCAATTAAGCCGAGATGGCTTCCGACTGTTTCTCTACTTCGATACTATTATATCAATAGGAAAGCTAAACAGTTTTTGAGGTTGTGTGGCTTATTTTTTTTTTTGCTCGAAAACTATTAAATTACATCACTAAATCCTTAAAATCTAAATAAATAAACTAACCTTCAATTTGAACAGGAATCATTCTAACGTTATTGGAACTGCTGCCAACATTTTGCGATTGAGACGATTTAGGTACTAAAAATAAAAAAAATAAATATAGCTCAAAAAAATTAATAATAATAAAAATGATTTATTAATTTTTCGTGTAAGTTATAAAGAAGCGAGCAAAGAAGCTGAAAATGTTAAGGTTATTTACCGATAATTATTTTTTCTTATTTCTTTTGGGTTAGTGTGAAATCGAAAATTCCTAAAATTGATTAGTTTGAGGTCGTACCAGTGTTACCACCATCAGTCATCGATTGTAGTAGTCTAAATGCTTTGGACGGAATAGCAGCCCCACGATATCTCGGATCAGTTTCCCTGTGTAGATAAATTTCTTGATCTATGCCTAAATTTTTTTTAATTAATCAAAAATGTTAATTAAAAATGTTTTGCATTAGTTTGCAACATTTACGCCTTATTATTTATTATTTTCGAAATAAAAGCAGTGAAGTGAATCCCAATCACCAATTTAATTAATTAATTTAATAAAGAAAATAAATTGATACCACTGGCATCTAAAATCTTGAAAATACGTGAAGGAATGTGACCACCTCTATATCTGGGATTCTCTTCGTCTTTTTCAATTAAAACGACTAAAAAATCTTTATGAATTCGATTTTTTGTTAAATTCTTTTTTTGCTAACCTTGTTTAACTTTGTTCATTAGTTCTTTATCGCTGTCGTTAAGAACCATCTTTCTGGTTTGTTCTATGGGGGGTTGTTGTTGAAAATGTTGCGAATTTCTCGGGGGGTGCTCCGATGGGTCTTCATCTTCGTCTTCATCTCCGTCCGTATTCGTTAACTTTTGTATTACTTTGAAGGAATTCGATTGGGTTGGCCCACTTTGCGACCAACTGGGTTGACGATTAAAAACCCTAATAAAAATTAATAATATAAATCTAGTATAATTTTAAAAACGAATTAATCATTACGGCCCTGTTATTGAAGACGACACGTGCAAATAAACTCTGAAAAACGACCGGTTGGAATCCGACCAAAGTCTGGATAAATTTATTTTTAGACTCGACCGTATTAACCCACATTCAAAGATTTCCTCCATTATTCCGTTTATTTTTATTAGAAAATTTCGAGTTTTATTTTTTTTATTATAGGCAACCCAATTTACATGTCAAAATTTATTACCTTGCAGTTCCTGGTGTCGCAGGATTCGAATTCCCAAATTTATTACTGTCTTGTCTTTGCACATTTCCATTTGTATTACTTCCTGTATTACCACCCTCAATTTGAATCGGAATAATCCTCACATTTTCGCTTTTTTTATTACTTTGTTGTTGCATCTGTTGTTGTTGTAATTGTCTTTGTTGCATCAATTGTTGTTGCCTTAATTGTTGCTCTTTTAATTGTTGCTCTCTTAATTGCTGTTCCCTTACTTGTTGTTCTCTCATTTGTTGTTCCCTCATTTGTTGTTCCCTCATTTGTTGTTCCCTCATTTGTTGCTCCCTCAATTGTTGTTCCCTAACGTGTTGTTCTTGCATCATTCTTTGTTCTTGTTGCCTCTTTTGTTGTTCTTGCTGTATCCGCATCTGTTGTTCTCTCGCAACATTCTGTTGATCACCTTCAACTCTATTTCCTGGATGTTGCAACACAACGGGTTGAGTGATATAAACAGCTTCAGTGTTTGTATTTGGTCGACTCCCATCCATTTGAACGGGAATAATGACCCTTCCAATAACATTTCCTTGTACACCGGGAGATTGATTTCCTCTTGATGGAAATGGTTTCTCTTGTGATGGATAATTAGGAGTAATCGGGGTTTTTGGGGTTGTAACAATCGGGACTGGGGATGATCTTTGAGGGGATTCTGGGGGAGTTTGAGATCTTTGCACCCAAGCGGGAGCTTCTTGGGATGGGGGTTTCTGATTTTGCCATGGTCTTGGGGCTTTTGTTAACGTCGCGATTGGGGATTGGGGACTTCCCGGGGATTGGGGAACCGTTCTTTGGGGAGTTGGGGGTGTTTGAATCGTTCTTTCAATTACGGGTGGTGTTGCGATTCTTTTTTGATTTTGATTTTCAACCGGAGGGATATACAATGTTCCTAATTGAGCTGTACTCGTTTTTATTTCCGGTTGAGGAGGTTCCATTTGTCTTTGTTGTACCATTTGAACCAATGGTGGGGGTTGTACTGCTTGATTCATTTGGAGGATTGGTGGAGATTGATTCATCTGAACCATTTTTGGAGGTTGTACTTGTTGATTCATTTGAATTGGAGGTTGTTGAGAATATTCTTGAACCCCACCATATTGAATCCCATCCGAAACTGGTCTTTGAACCCTCGGAGTTTTCTTCAACAAAGCCATCGGATTTTCCGGAATAATCTTCGTCATATCTGGTCTTTCGAAAACACCTTCGTTCGTTGCAAAAGATTTTGTGGGGAGTGCATCCATGGGTGGTGGTGGAGGAGGTGGAGCTGGCCCCCCAGCCGGGATTGGGGGTGGTGGTGGTGGGCCGGATGGAAAAACTTGAACTGGAAGTGCAGGTTGCATAGCGGCTAAGGCTGAAGGTGGTAATGGTGGACCGGTGTAACCTCTTGGTGGTGAAGTGCGTTGCACTTCCGCGACTCCGGGGGCCATTGCGTTTCGTTCCACGCGTCTCGCAAGTCTTGGGGATGATATTTCGGATAAATCGATTCCTCCAGGGGTGTAAGTGAACGGCTTTTTGTCTTTTGTTAACATTGCGTTTTGGACTACCAGTGGTGGTTCAACTCTGCGATCTGATCCCTAACAAATAAAAAGAAGTATTTATTAAAATGACAGTTTTTGCATTAAATGTTATTTTAGACATTTATAATCTCACTTTTACACTGACATGAAGTAGCAGGAAATACAAAAAGTTCATTGGTGTCTGTCAAAATGGTTGTAATCGATTAGAAATATCTTAAGGATTCGTTGCTACGATGACAGAATAAAAAAGAAGATTTTGGTGCTTTTTTGAAAGTTTTTGAGATAGCCTTCTTGTTCGACATTTTTTTTGGGATTTACTAAAAGTGAGGTTAAAATGAATAAATGATTATTGATAAACTTACTTGTCTAGATACTCCTTGAGGTATAGCAGGACCTTGTGGTCTGAAAAAATTGATAATAATTATTTTTAAAAATAACCACCAAAAAAAATTGCAAAAAAATGACACTCTTTTTCGTAATAAAAACAGTTTAAGACTAAAGTGTTGTGAGTATCTCCGGTTTTACAAGAACGTTGTAAAACGTTTTAATACGGTATAAACCTTGTCTAGACCATATCGGGAAGTGGCAATGTCGCTTCTTGAAGACCGTTTGAGGTCGCTTTCGATTTCTTTAACCAGTAAATTGATCGTTTAAAAAAAAATCTTACTAAATTAATAACTAAATGTATTATTATTAAAATTTTAGTAAAAAATAAAACGTTGTAAATTCACCTAAAAAGTTATTTTAACCGAACAGATTCTATCTTAATTCTGAGTCGATCTCTTTCGGTGTGTATAGGAGAGGATCGTAGACAAAATTAGCGATTTTGGCATGAGATCAAAAATTTGCTTCCTACTGACGCCTGTTTTTACAAAAACTTATCGCCGCGTTTAAGCTAATATTGGGTTTATTAGTTTTCTTGGTTTGTCGCTTGTTTCATTACGCGTAATCGAAAATAAAATGAATCATTTGGGTTAATAAGGAGGTTTCTTTTTTTTATTTATATTCTCAACAATGAATCATGAATAAACTCTCTCATCAATCAGCATGTATAATTTGCGGTCTTATATCATCGTTTCTAAAAATATTTTAATCGTATTTTTTTTTATTTCCTTTCAAACACGTCAATGTAAACTTATTTGTTTATTAATTAATTAATAAGTAAATAAATTACATAAATATTAGTGATGGAATCTGGCAACTATCCGTGAAATGATCGACAATTTTTGCCGATTAAGTTTTAAAAATTCGTATAAAATCGATTTTTTGGAATATGAGTATAAAAATTTCTCGAAGTGGTAATGAAAATGTCCTCTCTCCAATGAACCAACACGTTTTTAAAAATTACTTGTAGTTTTTGAGAAAACAATATTTATTAAATCAATTATTTGAAGATAACGCGACGCTAACTCAGAGTTAACACTCGATCAACGTAAGATTAAGCATTTATCATTCACTTTAGACTTTATCAAATTTATTTTGACTTAATATAACACAAATACTGTGATTTCAATAAATAATGAATCATTTAATTAATAATCGGTTTAATTTGTTTAGGTCAGGTTAAGTATTGATTAGCATTCGATTAAGGTTATAATTCTTTTTAGTTATAACTTTTACGTTTTTTAATAAAAACGTATCAAAATAAAAGAAATTTCAAATCATATCCATTTACGTAAGATAGATAAAAAAGTAAAAATTCAGGTAATTTCGTTATATTGATAAGTTTTATTAGTCAATAAAATATTTATTTTATGTTGTAATCAGAAAACCACACACACACAATCTACATATCCACCGGGTTATAAATTCATTTCGTAACTAGAACAAGCTTAGAACCACAGAGTGGAGAAAATAGAAAAGAAAAGAATTTCTAGAGTGTCCCCGAAGGTGTAATATAACGAAATGCGTCACCCTGTCGCCACCGTACGCATTTTTAAAGCCGATTGACGAACAAAAAAACCTCTCCGAAAGGAATTCGTAAATATCAAAAATGTTTACAATCGAACAACGCGATTTTAAAACGTTTATCGTTTCGGAAATAACTTCAACATTTATCTGAACGGTTGTAAGTCTCGAATCGTACGTGACGTCACGCTATCTCAGCCAGAATGCGTTTGTGGCCAGTGAGTCATCTTTTTTCTTGAAACTGTTGAAGAAAACGATTTTAAAAAGGGATTAAAACGATTTTTTTAGTTAAATAAAAAATTTGTTTTGATTAATTCAATTTTTTTGAAATAAAAATTAATATTGATAAGATTATTATTTATAATAAAGATAAAGATAAAGAGACACTTTGCGTTATCTGGTTTTCGATTCTTTTCGTCTTCCCCACCTCTTTATTTTTACTTTGCCTTCGAACTAAGTGATATATAGACCTTGAGGACGGAACGCACAGCTGAGTCAGTATAGGAACTGGTATTTGTACACAAAGTCGTGGTTGAAATCGTGTTTTATAAAGTGTAGTGAGTTTAAATTTTAAATTTTAAACAATGAAGGATACAACAAGTAATAATAGTAATATTCAAACGAAAAAACCAACGTACAAAGATTATCAAAATTTTTTGTTGAATTACGATGAGCAAACAAAGAATGGGATGGTGATTAGCCCAGCTTCTTCAAGTTCGAGCATTCAATCCGAACAAAATGATGTTACAACGCCGAAAACTTACAACCAGTACCTTCAAAATTATGGAAATAAAAAGTTTGGGAGTGTTAGATTAAAAAAAGAAAATGTTTTGGAGAGTTTAAATGATCAAATTGATGGGGGGAAAAAAATTGTTCGAAGTGAATTGGTGATTAATATTAATCCAACGAAAAATGTTTCGGTTAAATCGCCCATCATGAACCGATCCCCTGAAATAAGGGTTTCACCCAAACCTGATAATTCAGGAGTTCCTGATCATTTGATTTATGCGAAAAGTGCCGTTTTAGAAGAATTACTTTCTAAATCCCCAACTTTAAAAAAACCCAACACAACTAGCAATATTTATAAAAGATTAGAACAGTTTACTCTTCAAAATGAATCAAAAAGTTCTACGAGAACGTTCCCACCAAAACTTCCATCGACACCTCCCCCACAACTTCCTCAATCTAATCCACCACCAATTCCAAAAACTCTTCCCCCAACCCTTCCAAAATTACACCCACCATCACTTCCAACATCTCCAACTCCAATGAGGGTAGAATTAAAAAAATCGATTTCAAATGGACCACCATCCCCAAAACCTCCAATTCCGCAAAAAAATTTCTTAATATCAGAACTAAATAATGAAGGAAAAAAAATTTATATTCCCCCAGCTCCGCCGATCAATCAATTAAACCAAATTAATAATCAGAAAATGTTATCGAATACAAGAACGGTTGTCCCAGTAACTGATGGAAACGCAGAGGTTGATAAGAACGATCCAAACGTAAAAAAGTTGATTTATAACACTTATAGAGGGATGTTGGGGGCTTATAATAATAAGGCGAATAATATGGTGTCTACATTGCCTAGGAATTTTGTTGTGCAAGATAAAGGTGTTGCAAAACAATTGGAAAGTATAAAGTAAGTATTTACTTTTTAAAATAACTTGATGATGTGGTATATGTAATAATTTTTTTTGTTTAGCGCGCAAGGATGTTTATCGAATTTGAATGGAAGGGTGAATCCAAATCCTGAGGATTAAGTTATTTCTATTTTTTACCTAGATAATATAATATTATAATTTCTCATAACATTATTTATAATCTTTTCGTTTATGAGATAAAAAAATTATTCATAAAAAAGGAATGTAACGATAATGTAATTGATATTTTAAATTAAAATATATAAATACGTTTCGCTTTAAATTAAAATTATTGTTTAAAATGATATTGTTTTTCTAATAGAAACTTTTGATAAAGATTAGATTAGAAAGAAATTTGTTTTTCCGCTTTTTTTCTAAATATAAACGTTACTAAATAGTGACGTCTATTACAAAAGCAATTATGCGATAAGGAAACAGGAAACTTTGATATGCTATGTAATCTACGCGATTTTTTCGTTAAACTTTTTTAAACTGGAATAAAATTTGTATAAAATCGATTTCTTCTTAAAATCGTTTGGAATTCAGTTTTCAGTTGTACGATTACTTTCGTGAGATTGCAACAATTTTGAAGAATTATTAATTTATTTTGTTATTTTATTGAATTCAATTTTTTTTTATTTACAAATGCGTTCAATTAAAATAATTAATAACTATGATAAATAAATTAACTCTTAAATACGATTCTATTTTAGAAATTTTGCAAAAACTATTGATGTACGATGACTTTTCGGACTGACTGTATGTAAATGTCATATTTTGACGTATTTGACTTTAAACAAGTTTTGATCTAAAATATTCGGAATTAATAAATGATTTTTTTTGAGGTTAGTTATAGAAGAAAGATTAAGCTTTAATTTGGAAAAAATTAAACATTTTCTTTATTTTTCGTTTTCCTGTAAAAAATTCCTAAACTCTACACAAAATGGGAAATGTCATTTTTTGACACTTTCGATTTTAAACAGGTTTTTGATCCAAAATACTCGAAATTAAGAAATGCTTTTTTTTGAGGTTATAAAAGAAGGATTAAGTCTTAATTTGGTGGAAAAAAGCTTCTAGAATTTTTTACTTTGCCGAAAATAATTTCTAACCTCAATTAGTCGAGGTCACTTGCGGGCGAGGTGCTAGAATTTTCTAAAATTGACGATTTCGTGTTGATATATCACATCTAGCGCCTCGCCTACAAGCAACCTCGACGATTTGAGGTTAAATGCTCTTATATGACCTTGTACGTTTATGTATAGGGTGGTTCAAATTCGATGTCCGAATTTGTCGGAAACTATAAGAGTTAGAAAAAAAATAGTTTACATGTCATGATCTCGTTTTTCGAGAAACTGTTAATGCCGAAAACCTCAAAACGCTATCGTCTTTTGTTTTTCCCCTATTTTTAGTTATAGTACCGCAATTTACAGAAAACTGTAAATTTAATTTCTTTGCTGACACTAAAAGAAAGTTTATTTTTAGCTTTATTCTAAAACAATAAGAAATAGACCTATCTAACCCCATCTTTTTGTAATCAGAAAAAAATAACAAATTTAATAAGCGAACAATCACTTACTGATTTTACGATATTTTCAATTTTGGCAAAATCGTTCCTTATATATCTTTGTAAAAGTACAAAGTCTCTAATAAGAAGACATTTACTCTCCTTCCGTCCAGGTCGCTTGCGGGCGAGGCGCTAGATTTGATATATTAATACAAAATCAGTTTTCAAAAATTCTGCTGAATGAAGGTAAATGGCTTCTTGTAAAAGAGATTGTACCTTTAACAAGCTATATAAGGAATATTTATAACTATAACAGTCAATATTTTGACCACCAAAACCGATACCTTTTAATCGAAACATTATTATAAAATTTGATTAATAACATTAAAAATAATTTTTATCTTTAGAAACCTAAATAAATAAAATTATTTTAGATACAATTTAAAACCCACGCGTATTTCCCAAAAGATCACAAAAAAAAGAGCATAACCCGGGCAAAATATCAAGAACTATTATTACAACCAGTAAATTGGCACGATCTCTTTCAACGTGAGATAAAACCCAAAACCCCACAAAACCACAATACAACAAAAAAGAATTTTTTATAATTTAAAGCTCACCTCCATGGTGCCTCCGCCATTTCAAATTTTCTTCGTCCAAATGCAAATAAGAAAGGAGCACTTTAATTTCACTTTCGATAATTTAATGAGGTTGTGTTGTGATTTCCGGGCGTCGCGACGCGTGCCCCTTCGTTACGGGAACTGTTGAGCGAACATCGTTCCCGGTTTGAAGCTTCGAGTTATTTTTGGGCGTTTTGCCAAAAATACGTTTTCGCGAAGGAAAACGGTTACACAAAAAAACTTTCTTCTCGGATTAAAGAGGCAAAAAAGTATTAAATGAAAAAAATAGAATACGTTTTTGGTTTGACCTCGTTAATTCATCGCGTATCTTTAGATTTTTTTAAAAATAAAATTAACTGTGGCGATTATTTATTGCTTTAGGGATATATTTTTAGATTCATTTCAAGGATTTTATATATATTTTTTTTTGATTTAAGGGATTTATCAAAAAAAAATTTACGAAAATAAAAAATGTTTTTATTTAATGAAATAGAGGCAACCCAATTACCAATGACATTTCCTTAATTCAACAACTTTTTTTATAAATTCTTCATGGCTCGCATACAATTCCAAATTTTTATCAATATCCATCCATTTCACATTTTTGGCATCATCCCCCGCTTTTAATGAAAGCCTCCCAACCGCGTCACCGGATTCATCATGGAAATTAAAAGCAACCGTTTCAATCCAAGCATTATCTGTATTCCTTGGATCATCGACGTAACCTTTATAAATTTCAACTCCTTGTTTAAAAAATTGACTAATTTTTTCTTTTTCTTTTATTAAATCGTCTTGAGGTAACTCCAATGAGCTCAAAGCTTCCTCCATGAATTCTCGTTTTAATGTCTCACTAACATTTTCTCCAGGATCAACCATCCCCCCTGGGATAGCCCATTCGTTATTATCTTTTCTTTGAATGGCGCAAAATTGTAATATAGGCAACATTGTTATAAGATTCTTTATAATTTCTCCATTGTTAACTTTCCAACGAGTTACAATCGGATCTGCGGCGTGATTTGGACCCCATCTTCCCAAATAACCTCGTCCACTCAATCCGGTGCGCCCCCTTAAATTTAAAGGAACATTATTTATTATTTTATAAGCTCCCTCGTGGCTTTGCCGGTTTATTGAACCATCTAATTCGTTCCATTTCGGGTTAAAACTTGGATCGGTTATGTTTTTATCTGCGTAAGGTTTATTTTCTAACGATTTTGATGTATATTCCGGGGGGTTATAATTCTTATTTTCGACGTTCCATGGAACTAAATCATCGCTTATTATTAACCTTTGTATATCCGTGAAAGGATATTTATTATTTCTACATTTATAATGAACCATCCTTTTTAATAACATTAAACAATATTAAACGTCAAATTTGATAGGTTATGTTTGTACTATTTGGGTTGGTACTTAATAAATTAATAATTTTTTTTTAAATAATTCATGATCAAGGACAGTAGAATCTAACTATTAGAATCTATCTATTATTTTAAACAATATAAAATTTAAAATAATCACATAATTAAAAAAGTTAAAATTTACTTTAAATTAATTTTGTTATTACCGTAATTAATTTTTAGGTTGGTACCAATTTGACAAAAAAAATCCGTTCATTCCATTCATTCGAATTTTATTCTATAAATGGTGTGTTTAATCACGCGTTGTTATAAAATCGACTATAATATTGAAAAAAGTACACAGCATTACTATTATTTAAGTTTAAATTAATTATTTATTAAGTAAGAGCTTGCGGGAAACTCGCGCAGAAACCGGGATCGTCCAGGATAAATAGGTCAGTAATTTTTGCCGTACTTTATTAAAACTACCCAAAAAGTTACTAATACAAATATATTTAGCAGTGCAATGAGTGGTTTCCGATCGATGAAGATAATCAGAAAATTGTTGTAATTAATATTTAGGTTGGTACCGATTTGACAGGAAACGTCAAAAAAAAATCTTTTCATTCGAATTTTGTTCTATAAATGGTGTGTTTAGTCTCGCGTTGTTATAAAATCGAGTATAATATTGAAAAAAGTACCCAGTTTTACTATTATTTAAGTTTAAATTAATTATTTATTAACCCTCTTTGTTTTGAAAAACGTAGGAGATAATCTGCACGTGCTTGCGGGAAACTCGCGCAGAACCCGGGATCGTCCAGGATAAGTAGGTCAGTAACTTTTGTCCTACTTTATTAAAACAACCCAAAAAGTTACTAATACATATATATTTAGCAGTGCAATGAGTGGTTTCCGATCTATGAAGATGGAACTCGAGGCTATTGACTTACACCGAAATTTCTATGAGACGAACAATGAAAGCTTTGTTTTCCAACAAAACGATCTCTTCCCGTCGTCTTTTCCTATCATGGAAGAAATCCGTCGACAAGGAAAACTGTGTGACGTTGTTTTAAAGATTGATGATCAATCATTTAGTGCACACAAGATCATTTTAGCCTCTACAATTCCTTATTTTCACGCTATGTTTACGAATGATATGGTGGAAAGTCGCCAACAAGAAATTGAAATACATGGAATTGAAGCTAAGTATGTTTAATTAATAATATTAAATTATTATATTAAAAGAATAATTTTTAGTGCTTTAGAAGCTTTGGTGAACTTTGCTTATTCTGGACGAGTTGTGTTAGATAAAAGTAATGTGCAAAGTATTATGATTGGAGCTTCTTTTCTACAATTAAGCAAAGTGCGGGACGCTTGTGCTAAATATTTATTACAAAGACTACACCCTCAAAACGCTCTCGGTATTCGACAATTCGCAGATACTTTAGGTTGTACAACTTTGGTTGATTCAGCCGAAAAATACATAGAGCAATGTTTTCACGAAGTTTCTTTGTCCGAGGAGTATTTAAATTTACCTGTACAGGAAGTTAAAAGTCTTTTACAACGAAACGAACTTAGAGTTGAAAGGTAAATTAATTTCTTTGTTGTTAATTAATTCATTTTTGTTATTAATTTTAGTGAAGAACAAGTTTTTGAGGCTTGCATGCGATGGGTTAAATACACGGATCAACGTACTCATCATTTACCGGAGTTATTAGCTGAAGTAAGATTGCCTTTATTGTCTCCGTTGTATTTAACTGATCGTGTCGCAACTGAGGAGTTAATCAGATCGTCTCATCAATGCAGGTAAGAAATATTTAAAAATAACTTTATTTAATTAACTTAAAATTTAAAACCTAATTTTTTAGGTTAATTTATAACCTAAAAAAATTAAAAAATAAAAAAGAAACAATTGATAGTGATTTTAAAATGGCCGATTCTCAATTTCGTCGTTTTTAGGTTAAAATAAAGGTTTTAAACAATTTATTAAGTTATTTCACCTCTTTATATTGTTTAAAATCTTTTTTAAATTTAAAACCTAATTTTTTAGGTAAATTTATAACCTAAAAAAAATTAAAAAAGAAAAAAAAACAATTGATAGTGATTTTAAAATGGTCAATTGTCAATTTCGTCGTTTTTAGGTTAAAATAAAGTTTTTAAACAATTTAGTAAGTTATTTAACCTCTTTGTATTGATTTCCAGAGATTTATTGGATGAAGCAAGAGTTTTCCATTTAATTCCCGAACGCCGCCCTTTATTGCAAAGTTTTCGGACGAAACAACGCGCTTGTGAGGTTCGGGGGCACATTTACGTGGTCGGTGGATTGAATCGCCATGGCGACTCCTTGAGTACCGTCGAATATTATGATCCAAAAACGAATACTTGGCATATGGCTCAAGCTATGTCCATGTTAAGGTTTTGATTTAACCTCAAATTACTTTGAATCGATTTATTAGTGTTTAACATTTTCGTAGATCTCGATTAGGAGTAGCAGTATTAAGAGGAAAACTTTACGCTTTTGGAGGTTATAATGGGAAAGATCGCTTGGCTAGTGTTGAAGTGTACGATGCTACGAAAAAAACTTGGTCAATGGTGTGTTCCATGCAATGTAAAAGAAGGTAATTTTAATATAATTAAGAATCATCATGTGCCTTAAAAATCGACACATTTTTTTTAATATGGTTTTTATGTGCTAATCATATATTTTTGCTGTACATAACCGAAAATCTATACCTGATGCCCTACCCCCTTTTTTAAACGTTACATTCAGATCCACCTAATTTACTGATTTATTTCAGAATTTTGTGTAGAAATTCAACTTTCAGTTAGGATAATTAAATTTTAAATTAGTGAGAATTTCACAAATGTTGGGTTGGAAATTCTGGGTTGGGTTTGTAGAAAAGAAAAAACATTACATTTGGATCCACCTAATTTACTGATCTATTTTAGAATTTTGTGTAGAAATTCGAACTTGAGTTAGGTTAATTACCTTTTTGTTACCTTAACATTCAGATCCACGCGAGTTTTTTGTGTTACATGTGGTTGTCATACGTCTATTCCTACTTGGGCAGTAAAAACAAATTAGTTTTCAGGTTCAGATTTTTCATCGTTACCAAAAATTTTTAAAATATTTAGAACGTTTTATTCAAACCGTTCGAGATCTTTCTCTTCGCCATTCATTATTCGTTGTGCTTCTTTATCTATTTCCTTTTGAGGTAATGGTTGTTTGAAACACATTCTTCTTTTAAATGTCAAGATTTATTTGAAAAACAATTGTTCTACACTTTTCCGTACTTTCTTTTTATTTTTAACGTGTTTTTTGGGTCGTTTCACAAAAAAAATCGTCGATTNTCGCTTGGCTAGTGTTGAAGTGTACGATGCTACGAAAAAAACTTGGTCAATGGTGTGTTCCATGCAATGTAAAAGAAGGTAATTTTAATATAATTCAAGAAACATCATGTGCCTTAAAAATCGACACATTTTTTTTAATGTGGTTTTTATGTGCTAATCATATATTTTTGCTGCACATTTGTTTAAAACGCATATTTTGTTTAAAATCTATACCTGATGCCCTACCCCCCTTTTTAAACGTTACATTCGAATCCACCTAATTTACTGGCTTATTTCAGAATTTTGTGTAGATATTTGACTTTGAGTTGGGATAATTAAATTTTAAATTAGTGCGAATTTCACAAATGTTGGGTTGGAAATCAAGCAAAGGGTGAGTTGTAAATTCTGGGTAGGGTTGGGTTTGTAGAAAAAAAAAACGTCACATTTGGATCCACCTAATTTCCTGATCTATTTTAGAGCTTTGTACAGAAATTCGACCATAAGTTAGATTAATTAACATTTTAACTAGTGGAAATTTCCCAAATGTCGGGTTGGGAATGAAGCAGAGGGTGGGTTTGTAACATTCAGATCCACGTGAGTAGGTAGGTGGTAAATAAAGACATTTCCGTCGTTGTGGCTTTTTGTATCAATTGACACACGTTGTCATGTATCGAAAGCCTAAGAAAAACAAGGGTATTTTATCTTTGGTAATCCATATTGCGAGTCATAAATGTATATAAAATTTAAGTATTTAAACAATTTCTTTCACGCTATAAAAATTAATGTATTCAGAACCGGTTTTGGCTAATAAGCCATCATCAACTGAATCTACAAAGACAATAAATTAATCTAAATGACAAGAACATAATAAAATAAGAACTTAAACATAAGTTATAAAAACTTAGTGTAAAACTAAAATGAAATTCTTTAAATATAAATGTAAAATATACAAAATATTGGACTTACATGATAAAATAACAAGAAAATTACTCCACAAAGACGAATGAACTGACAGTCAAAAAATAATATCTTTGACAGTAAGTTTATAATATCATTTATTTTAAGATGTTTTCTTGTCATTTAAATTAATTTAACCCTTTGTGTCCCAAAAAGAATCCGAATGTTTCTAGTTTTCTGTCTAGTGTTAGTTCTACTATTAACACAGAGTCTATTGACACACAGTCTATCTAATGACAGGTAGTCAGTCGTTATGCATCGAAAGCTTAAGAAAAAGAAGGGTATTTCATCCGAAAATATACGTTGTAATTTCACCTAGTTTAGTGAAAATAATGTTACTTTTAAGTTTATCAGATTGATTTTGTGCGTGGCTATAAAAGAAACAATATGTAGGTTAGTGTTGACTGGTTTAATAGGAAAATGCTTGGTTAACATTGCTAGTGACGTCACATCGAAACTTTAACCCTAGATTACTGGACTGTTTTCTAACAATACTGGACTATCGTAAATTTTACAAATATTTTAAATATTTATTATAAGAAAAATTAAAAATAATATTCCATTTCTTTGGTGCTGTAGCCCAACAATAATGAGATAGTATTTAGAGCATTTTTTATTATATGTTACAACATGTATATGGTTGTCATACGTCTATTCCTACTTAGGCAGTAGAAACATAATATATTCGTTTCTCGTTTTCAGGTTCAGATTTTTCATCATTACCAAAAATTTTTAAAATATTTAGTCACTGTCTTCAAAACGTTCGAGATCTTTCTCTTCGCCATTCATTATTCGTTGTACTACTTTATCTATTTCCTTTTGAGGTAATGGTTGTTTGAAACACATTCTTCTTGGAATGTCAAGATTTATTTGAAAAACAATTGTTCTACACTTTTCCGTACTTTCTTTTTATTTTTAACGTGTTTTTTGGGTCGTTTCACAAAAAAAATCGTCGATTTTTAAGCCACATTCTTGAAATTTTTTAAATTTAATCGCTCAACTCATTAATGTTTAATTTTAATAGTGCTTTGGGTGCTTGTTCACTCGGAGATATTATTTACGTCTGCGGAGGTTACGATGGTGTTACATCTTTGAATTCCGTTGAAAGGTATCATCCTGATACTAACACTTGGTTGCCAATGGCTCCAATGAATAAATCAAGAAGTGCTGGCGCTGTTATCGCTTGTCAAGGTACTTAATTATGCAGTTTTGATCGTTATAATAATATTTTTGTTTAAAGGTTATGTTTATGCTTTGGGTGGTCACGATGGCCTTTCAATTTTCGATTCAGTCGAACGTTACGATCCAAATACTAACACTTGGTCGGAAGCGACTCCAATGCTGACGAAAAGGTTTTTTTTTAAAATAATTTAATTTATTTTATTAACGATTTTTTTTTAGATGTAGATTGGGCGTGGCTATGCTAGGTGGAAAATTATATGCCTGTGGGGGCTATGATGGAATCTCATTCTTACAAACTGTAGAAGTTTACGACCCAAACACCAACAAGTAAGTGGTATTTTTTATTTCGCTAAAAATAAAAACATCCAATCACTATTTATTAATATTAAATATGAGCACCAAATTTGTTGTGGTTTTGGTGATTGATTTATTTTTTTAGATGGGCTTTTGTAGCTCCGATGAATGATCAAAGATCACGCGTTGCTTTAACGGCAAATATGGGGAAATTATGGGCTGTTGGCGGTTATGATGGTGTCTCAAATTTAACTTCTATGGAAGTTTACGATCCGACCACCGACACTTGGACGTTTGCGTCTTCAATGATCGCTCATGAGGGTGGTGTCGGAGTCGGGGTGATATCTCTTCCTTGATTAATACTGCAATTGCTGTGATTGTGAACGAATAAAAAAAAAATAAGACTGATTTTGAGGGTGCATATTTTAAAAAAATGGAAAAAATACGTGTTAATTATTGTGATTAATTTTTTGATTGTGATTCAATGAAAGGAAATCTTGAGATTAAGAAATAACTAGTTAAAAAATATAATTATAAAGTATATGTAAATAAGGATTAATATGGAATCTAAATAGTGAGAGAAAAAGAGTTTTTTGGGCGTTTGCCGTTTTAAAGAATTGAAAATTTACAAAGAATTAGAATCTCTTTCGCCTAGTGTAAGTTATTTCACTGTAATGAACCGCTTTTAATGAATATATGGAAGGTTAACTTGAATTAATTTGGTTTATTCGCAAAGTTTTTCCTTCTCTTCCTAGTAAGTAATGTATCCAATCCTAAAATTTATTAATATTTTTACGGTCTACTTCCGGTAGACAGGAAGTGGCGGCCATCTTGAAAATATTTTAGATCGAAAGTTCCGAATGAACAACCCATGCTACAAAAATTTCAAATCTTTACGAATAGTGAAAAAGTTCTAACGAATCAGTTACGTGAGACACCCTCTGTATAAAAGTCGCTTATATAAAAATGTAATGTACTTTTGAAAAAGCTATTTAGAAAAATTTCTCAAAATCCTGATGTGATGGAGCAAATTTAAAATTAGTTTCAGAATCACCATAAGAAACGACATAAACTACACGTAATAGTGTATCATCAAAAAAAATGTGTTGGGCAGTGTAATTAGCAACATATAGGCGCCTGCCAGAAATTAGTATCCTCATGATAACACTATCTAGTACTCTGCCAGCAATATCTAATCTATTTCAATTAATATCTGGTCTTGCATTAGTACCATATAGTCTTCTACAAGTAGTATATAGTCTTTAATAAACAGTATTTAGTTGTTTTCAAGCAGTATCTAACCTTTTCAGAAGTATCCAGTTTTATGTCAGCGATATCTAGTCTTTCGCAAGCGGTACCTGATCTTCCATTAAGAGTACCTTGTCTTCTGCTGTATCAGGTTTTATGGTACCATCTAGTCCTCTACTAGTAGTATCCAGTTTTCTGTTAACACTATCTAGTCTTCCATTAGCAGTATACAGTTTCCTGCGAGTAATATGTAGCTTTTAGGTCATCAGTTATCTGTTAGTGGTATCAAAACATAGATTGTGAATAAATTGTATTGGCTTGTTGATAGTAAGGGGATGCCATTTATATGAGGAATCATATGATATGAAAAGTGCCAAGGCAAAATCTAATTAATTAAAAAGTTAAGAAGATATCTACTGAAATGTTTTTTATTTAAAAGTTGAACATAAAACAAATGTTTACAAGGTTCGACGTAAGGCACGCAAACGGGCGACTTGACTAGTAAAAATATAACGTTACATGATTATATAGTTTGAATATAATGCTTGTTTCCTTAATATGTTTTCATTTTTAATGTATTCATTTCATTTAATCCTTTTAATAATAGATATAATATATTAAATTTCTTAAACGCAAAAATAGAATTAACAAAGAAAAAGGAAATAAAACTAAAACACAACGTTTTGAGAATAAATACAAAATAAATACATATTAATATGTTTATGTGTCGTGATACGCGCTATGAATCTCGTTTTCTCTAATTCCTCTCGTATTTTACCATCCCTAAGATTATGGTAGTTATCTAAAAATCGTGGAAATATTAAAATATCTTTTATTTATTTCGTATTGAAATAATTTTCGTCCGCGTATTGCTCTGTACGGCCTTGATTTAAACGTACAAAAATAATATTTACAGTCGTTTCATTTTAACATTTTTATTTCGTTTTACATAGACGATTGAGAGTTGGTGATTTTTTTATTCACTTCAGGAGACATCTAGAATAAAAATAATAAATAATTATTTAAAAAAAATTAAATTACTCATTACCCAACTTTTACTTCGTGCATTTACTCCTCCATCTGAATGATAATTTTTCTCGGGCTCTTCGTTATGAGAATATCGATAAATACTCGCTTTGCTTTCGTAACTTTTAACCTCCCGTTTTGGTTTTTCATCATCTCGCAGCCCATTAATCCGTAGCGAACTTAAAACGGGCGAAGAAAACGATTCGTTTGTTGTGATATCAACATTCCCTGTTGAGTTTATAAAAATGCTTGTTGTATAAAGAGGGTGTTGTTTTTTATCATCTTCGATCGTTGCAATCGATTTATTTTCAAGCGATTTTCGCAAATTATTAGCGCTATTATATAAAGTGTTTTGAGAGTTTCTTAATAAAACTTGCTCGGTTGTTTCGATTGCTTCTTTATTTGTACTCTCATCTTTATTTTTTGTTTCGTTATTTTTAATTATCTCATTGTTTGTAATAATTTCATTGTTTGTAATTGGTTTGAATTCAATCTTCATACTTTTAGGTGGTACAAATTTTGGCATTCTGCTAACCCAATGATCTCCTGATGATCCAACTGAGCTCGTTGAAGCAGCGCTTGAGTTTGAACTTGAATTATTAACATAAACTCCGTATCGTTTTTGATAAAACAAAATATACGCGCTATTATTAACTAATTCCGTTGTTATATCATCATTTTGGTCAGATAAATTCGTAACTTTTGCGTCATCGTATAAATACCACTTATTATCATAAGGATTTTTACAAGCAGCTGTATAATGACCGGTTTCTAAATCGCTTCCGTGGTGATAAATTACGGCGTATAAATCGTAGCTGTTATCATTACAAGTTGATTGTTTTCTGGGCCGCTTCCATGGCGACCAAGTTACATTGTTCATTATCACAGAGTTTTGGTCTAAATTGGTTAGGTTAACGTTGTGTTTCGCTAAGTGGGGGGTCATATCAAAACCGTAAACGGGAAATTCGACCATTGTGGTTAATTTTGTACTGTTTCTTCCTTTTAATGTTTGCCTAAAAAATAAATTATTAATAAATAATTGAGGAAATTATGTTATAGTTACTGTCGAAATCTCTTAAAATGAACGACTAAAATATCGGGAAGGGACCACACGTCCAAAGTCTTTATTACTGGTATGTATTGTTGGCACTGAGGGCATCTCCATGCGTCATCCATGGTTAGTGTTTCCGCTTTTGTATAGTGACGCAAACATTCTTCTAATGTTAAAGGAGCTCCACCTCATAATTAAAAGATAAATTATTAAATTAAAATAAATAAAAAAATTGAATTCATTCGCTATAACCGGTCCTCGTTATACCCGATATTTTTTACATTGCAAAGATATAACAGCAAATATGCTAAGAGAATAATTTTTGTCATTTAACATTTCTTGCTTGATTTTTAGCAAATTTCGCGATGAACACAATTTCCGATCAATTTAGTTGGAACTGCACCATATTCCTTATCTTCTATAATAACAAATATGTCAAGAAATGGCTAAAAGTCATTACCCATTTCTTTGAAAAACCAGTTTTCTTTGAATTTATACAAAGTTCGAGTTGTGCAGAACTTTTTATCAATTTAGTTTGAACTGAATCCTAGTCCTTATCATGTACAGGGTAATTCAAATTCGATCCTCACCATTGGGATCTCAGAAACCATAAGAGATACAGAAATGGTTAAATGGGGGCAAACTTAATGTTAGAAATATAAAAATATTTTAGTCGAAGAGAACGCAATTCATAATACTGAAATCTGAATTTTCAAATTTTTATTTTGGCCAGAACCCCAGAAACGCCTAATGACCGGTCTCGCTGAGACACCCCTGTGTATATGTATACAGTGCGTCCGTAAAATAACGGATATAGGTGATAAAATCATTATAAACGGTTTATGGAAAAATGAAAATTAAATTTTTTGCAATTGTTTGGTGTAGATTTAAAATTTTTTCATTCAGTAGGCCAGACTTCGAAAAATGCTTCGAGAGATGGCCATGCTGTTTAAATTTAGTCACAGCTAGGCTCATCATACTTTAGCTAATGAGTTGGCGATCAGGATATGTTGTATTAAAGAGGTCAACTACTTACTAAATCAGTTTTTGGCACTTAGGGAATTGTTTAGAGTAGTTGGTTACCATAGTTACTCATGGCTACTGCTATTTTTATCATTATACAAATTTGAAGTAATTAAAGTTTAAAATAATTTTTCTCGAAAATTTTCTTATGTAACCAATATTAATATTGACTATACTAGATTCAGAAAAAAATCCTCTTTCATATTCCGCCATAAAATGGGGGATTGCCATTTAAAAAAAATATCGATGACGCCATAACTCGTTTAAAAATGGCGGAAAAAATTTGAAATCTACAGCAATAAATTGCAAAAAAATTAAATCTTTAGACCCGTTTCAGGGATTTTTCCATAAACCGTTTATTATGATTTTATCGCCTGTATCCGTTACTTTACGGACACACTGTATATTATTATTATTATCTGTATATTAGCAAATACGAAAAATAAATTATTTTTGACATTTTCAATTTCGGCAAAAACCGGTTTCTGTGAAATTTAGAGTTGTGCAGAATTTCGGATCTATTTAATTTGAACTGCATCTTATTTCCTGTCATCTAGTGTAGCAAATACGCATTTTTCCCCGAATTTTTACAAGATTTAAGTTGAGCACAACTTGTGATCAATTTAGGGTGAACTCCATCGTATTCTTTATCAATTATGAAGTAAATAGGCACAAAATTAGTTAAATGGGACATTATAGAAGTAATAAGTCCAAAATCTGTCAATATAAATTCACAATTTTTCTCTCCTCATCCCTTTTTACATTGTGCAGTACAATTTTATCAACTGAAGTGGAACTCTAGTTTTTGAAGTTGTTATTACTTAAATAGAGTTGTGGAGAAGAATTTTCAATGCCAACCTCAAATTCTCCAACTCATGACTAAGTTCTCAGTAATTAATTTTTTACCTTGAAGCGCTTGCGTTCTTAATTGTTTAACACTCGAATGTTCCTCAATAACATCACTATCATCAGCAATAACAGCCATTTTCGTTTTTTGAATCCATTCCAACACTAATTTCATATGAGCGGGTCCCCCTTCTTCACTACATAAGGCAAGAGCTTGATCGACGGCTTCCATAAACAACGGATGTTGAAGTTGAGGATCCAAATAGCAAGGGGGTTCGTTGTCGTTCCATGCCGGGTCAGATATGCGCATTTTAAAAATCTAAAAATGAAGTAATTTGTGATAATCAAAGCGAAATTATTGAAAAATTAATTCGAAAAAAGAAAAATAAAGCGGAAAATAAATTAATTTCTTTTGTTTGAATGCTTTTATTTAAGATACCTGTTTTTTGAACGATTTAGAAGTGAAGTAGAAACTTACTCCGGAAGCTTGCGCCGATGTTAAAACATCATCGTGTAATAAAGGGGCCATTTCTTTCAATAAGAGTTTTTGTAAGTCTTCGTAACTGGTTTCTCTACAAACTTGCATTGTATATGGACTACCTAGATCAACAAAAATTGATTGATTTAATATATAGAAATATATATTAATTAATTTTACCAAAACGAATAAATTCCCCATTTTTCTCCACAACATTAATCCAACACAAAAGAACGTAAGCGCTTGTAGCCTCTTCCTCGACATCTTTTAATTGTGCCACTTCGATGCAATAAATAGGGTCGATTTCGGTGATGACATTAACACTTTGAGTGTCGGTGAATGTTCGTAAAAAACCGTTTTCGCCGATTTCCGTTAAAAGCATATCGGTTCTTGTTATTGAAGTATCCGATTCGAGGATGTCTCGTAATTCGGAGACGCTAGCTCCTGATGGGACACTCAAGCCTATTTTGACTTGACGCGGTTGTTGAGATGTATAAAGTACCTAAGAAATTTTTTTTTAATTACTTAATTAAATAAAAATTGGGATAAATAATCACAGTAACATAAATTGAATGACGATTTAATTGTGGCAGTTGAACTGAAATGCATTGAAAAGGATCGAAAGTATTTGATTGGGTTGAGCATCTTGAGCAGCTCAACGACGATCGATATTGGGCTTGGAAAACGCCTTGAATGAAGGAGTTGTTGCATCGTTTGTAATTTTCTAAGGTTTCAGCGGCTATAACCTCGTCCGGTCTTCCTGAAGTCTAAAACGACAAAAAAAAATCTTAATTAATATAGGAAGAATATTCAAAAGTGAAGTGCACAACATTTGTTCCAAGAAAACATGACATTGACTGTCTGCCAACGGAACACTTCACACACACACATACTTTAGTCGCTCGACTCGTGTAATAAAAGATGAATGTTGTTTTAAAAATAACGTTTTGGCCAAGACCACAATTTACGTTAAAGAAAAGTGAAATAAAAACGTCTTTGCGTCTATTAAACGTTGCGTTACGCAAAATCCAATTTGATTTAATAAGAAGGAGTAATTATTATTTAGTTTATTTAATGTGATAATCGACTGTGAAACGACACAACGTGTTGGGTAACAAAAAAAACTCGTGAAATCAATTAATAACGCGTTAACTAGTATTAATTGGTTCATGTATTTATTTATACTCCTTATTTTTAAGTTTAACAATTAAATTTAATAAAAATTTTCTAAAAAAAAATAAAAATAGGTTATATTAACTTATTACATTTGGTCACGCACTAATTTGTCGATAGAAGGTCGTAAAGGATTTCTTTTTGGAAGCCATATAAATATTTAAATACGTAAATACTTGAAGAGACCCGATTCTTTTTGTTAGTTTACAAAGAGATTGTGTTGCGCTGCATTAAACAATGGTAGATAGAGAATTATTAGTTTTCTTCGTCATCGTATTACATTTATAACGCAAGAACACAAAAGATTATAATTTAATCGTTTAACATTTAATCAATGTTTTAGTTGAATTGAGACATTGTTGCATTAAGGGTGAAACTAAATTTAATAGTAACATTACACATTTTTTGATGAAACTATATTAAATTATATTAAGACACAATATAATTCAGAAACGATAAAAATTTCTTTTGAAATGAAATGACTAGTTTCGGTATTACACCATGTTCAGGAATTGTGAGGGTTTCATAATTTGATAAAAAGAAAATGAATTCGTAAATTTTGAAATTATTAATTTCTATTTTAAAACAATTTAAATCATAAATTTGAATTACATACTTAATTAAGATATCAATTACTTCATTAAGATATTATATGAATAAGATATCAATTTTCGTTATTATTTTTTTATTAAAATAAAAAACCTAAATAATAATAAAGTTTCTTAGAAACACATAAATTTTGATTGGATTACATCATAGAAATTAATATCTTATCGTATTTTTCCTTTCACGCGCCTGAAACACTTTTTGCGCAAGTCCATTGATACAATTAAAAGTTGTTTTGAGTATCAAAAATTTATCGTTTTAAATTTAGATTATTTCTTAATGTATTAAAAAATTCCTAACCTAAATACCTTTTTTTATGTGTCGTTTTAAAATTATTCTTTAATATTAATCTTTATATTATTAAAAGTTAATGGATTGACCTCTAACCCAACCAGACCGGAACGCATTATCAATCAACCAAGGTTTTTTTTTCTTTTCTTTTTCATTCTTTATCTTAATTGTTTTTTTGGTTTCGTTATAATTATTTTTATATTCAATTTGCAAAAGACCTTCATACACGCGCCAGTTTTGTGAATGGGCGTATTTTTGCAAAAAGAAAGAGACAGAACTCGACGTAGAGAATTAACTGTGGAGTACTTTAGTAGGGATAATTGGGTGACGACCTTGAAACCGTTCTGGTGACATCTCTTATAAAAATGAATAAGCATCATACTTAATTAGCAAACATTTTTTTGCCAATTTTTCTATAATATGATTGCACTTTGAATAGCGAAGAATGTTGTCGAAGGATAAAACGATTAATGGCAAAGTAGGACGCGTGAACTATCGCAAAATTAAGGTCGAATTGAAAAATAGAAAGTATTCTATGTGAAACAGTTAGAATTTAAACAAAAAATGAGGTTATCTCCAAATTTTTTTTTTTCTCACCATTAAATAATATCCAATATCTAATTTAATTCTCCATTTTTTTAATCGAAAAGGAATTCGTCTAATTTCGAATAGAATATTTGTGTAACACAACTTTCCTTTTACATTATCTTATGAGTATTATGGACGGTTTAAGTGGGGCTAAAGCACCGAAATTCACAAAAACACGTGAGTCATTTCACTTATGGACTTCAAAAGCATTTAGCTGTCATTCCCGCCGCAATAATAAAGTAACATCTTAAAATGTCTTAAAAGTTGTTACTATATTACAGTAACGTAATAACGACTGTAAAGTATTACAGTTGTTATACAACCTGTTCATATGGATTGGACAAAATGATATTAAATTCTACTTGTTTTATTAAAGCAGTGTTGTTTTAATACAATATGTAGTTTTGTGCAGGTAACATCTCATCTTCTGTAAGCGGTGTATAGTCTTTAAGCAGTATCTAGACTTTTGTTGATAGTATCTAGTCTTCTTTACGCAGCAAGTGGTCTTCGTCAATAAGGATCTGTTCTTTTGCAAACAATATATAGTTTGATTAAGGTAATATGTGGTCTTTGTTAAGCTTCAAACAGTATTATAGTCTTCTTCAAGCAATATCAAATCTTCTGCAAGCAGTATCTAGTCTTCTTCAAGCAGTAGTAGTCAATATATAGCTAATGTAAGTCTGAGAAGCAATATATAGTCTTCATGCTAAAATTGCTTATGGATTATGTAGTATTGATTCATTACGATCAATTTTGATGCATAACATTATAGGTAACGATTTTTATTTTAGAAAATATGACGAATTTTTGTTATAAAAACCATCCATTAATTTGACAGTTTTACTTCATTTCTGCAAATTAGCAATAGCTAGGATAAAATTGCTTATGAATTATGTCGTATTGGTTCATTACGATCAATTTTGATGCATAACATTATAAGGAACGATTTTTATTTTAGAAAATATGATGAATATTGTTATAAAAACCATCCACTTTGAAATTTTTGACAGTTTCACTTCATTCCTGCAAATTGGCAATAGCTAGGCTAAAATTGCTTATGGATTATGTAGTATTGGTTCATTACGATCAATTTTGATGCATAACATTATAAGTAACGATTTTTATTTTAGAAAATATGACGAATTTTTGTTATAAAAACCATCCACTTTGAAATTTTTGACAGTTTCACTCCATTCCTTGCCAAATAGACTTGAACCAAATGGATTTTTAGTTTTCCCCTTTGCACTATGACTCTTGTTAATTTGGGGGGGGGGGTTCCAGAAACCTTTCTTTTACTGTATGGAGTTCCTATAATACACAATATGTCAAGATCCTATTGTCCATGTGTGGTTATTGTCGACATTGCATTCAAGATTAGGTTAAAATTTTTGGTGTTTCCTCTAAACTCTATGATTTTTGCTTCTTTGGGTTGGGTCCAAAAATCTTGTATTGTAGCCAGTTCTTTGTACAAAAAACCCTCTTCTAAATTTTTTTATGAACTCTATATATTAAAATAATTTCAAAACTATTTTCAAGGATATTCAATGAGTATTTATGAGAATTTTCAAGGGTATTTATCTCAAAAAGTTTTCCAAGGATTTCTAAAGACTTCCTTATGATATAAATATAATAATTAAACTTAATAACTTAGTTTCGTTTTTATAGGTTAGGTTGGATTTCTTTGGAATTTGGTTATCAGGAATTGGAGTATTGGTTACATATTTTGATATTCACTTCATCCAATTTAATTAATTAAATCTTCAGATACTTTTTCCAAGAGATTTTCACTAAACAGGAATTTAAGAAGAAGGATTTGAATAAAAATATGAGACAAATTAATTTAAAATTTACCTTAATTGATTTATATCTCCGTTTTGATGCCATATTTAAATCTTCATGAACTTTATCCAACAACCACTGTAAAAATTCCAAAGCGTCATGCTGTTGTGTTCCTTTATATTGAGGTCCGTGTCTTTCGACGACTTGTTTAAAGTTGGTGCTAAATTCCGGTGAATATTGACAGGCCCATAAAGCTTTTAATAATAAAGCTAGCTGTTCGGTGACTTCTCCTTTGGTCCCAAATTTTTTCGAATTTAACTTATTCCTTCTGGACATATCGATTTTGTACCGATCCAAAACGAAATATTCCGCTAAAACATCAGTATGCGAAATACATTGTAAAACGGCGTTTATAAAACATGTATTGCCGTGATTCCGGATTCCGGTAACGCCTGGAACTTGATCGGGGCCCCATGTTTGTAAATCGACGGGCGGAACTCGCGCGTCCGCGTTAGGAATTACGGGAACGCCACCGATGTGTTGAGCGATTTTATTAATGATTTTTCTAAAGGAGGGCCTTCTAAATACCTTCTTGTTCTTGTCTTGTTCGTTATTATCTCCAACGTTAACGACAACCGTATTATTATTAGGGGCGAGGTTTTGATTATTCGGTACGTTTTGTTCCTTTTTCGTTTTTCTTTTCGACATTCTCGTCACGTTAAACGAATTCCGCGTTAACGTAAATGTCCTCTTTAATTTCGATTGCTCCGTATTATTATTGTTGTTGGCCCCGTTGTTGTTTTCGACCGCCGGGGCCTGAACGATATCGCCGTTTTCGTTATCTTTACCTTTCATCGTCACTACTATTGCAGCAGCATCGTCGCTCATAATCACATCACCAGAGACTACTGTTATTTAGATCCGAAGGCGGCACTTGTTTTATTTTTATTTCGTTAAGCGGCAGCCATTACTTTTTTTTATACAATTCTTTTTTGACAGTTACGTATGCGATCAGTCTATCAAAGAAAACACGTACACCTCACCGCATCACCACCAATACTAATTATACTACGCACCACATATACATACGTGTGTGTAATTTCGCGAACGATTTCTTCGCGTACATTACCCAGACTTCGTTTTACATGATTCATACCGGTATATTAGCGACATCTATACTTTTCTCTTATTATCAAAATGAAAACCGATTAGTGAGCTACAGCATTTTTATTATAGATGGCGCCACAATATTTTATATAAATCATTGATCAGCCCCAGAGATCTTTAATAGGACTGATTGTATTTCGAAATCCCACCGTAAGATGGCATTGGCATTAAAAATCCAACTCCATATGAACACTGTTCTTATGAACGTATCCCCCCGCAAAGGCCTTGCTGTGACATCATTGGAAGAATTGACATTTCTATGTTTTTATTTATATAGTCCATTTCACTTAAGAAGCAATACACAAAAATATTAAAAAAAAGATATAAAATAAAATAAAAAAAATATTAAAATATAAAACGGTTAAAATTTTATTATTTTTAGGTTATCCAAGTTGACTCGGTTACCATGGTGATTAATATCGAAATATTGCAGGTGCTTGTCAAAATTGAAATTGAATTTAAGTTTTTTTAAGGAAAAAGTCTTATTTAATTGATTTAAAAGGCTGTATTTAACTCAAAATTGGTTGGGAATCATAAACAAGGTAAGTGGATTTTTAATTTATTTCTCTTAATTAGAATCGATTTAATTTAATTACTATTAACGAATTTGTCATGAATGCGACATAATCGTAAAGAATTCGAATTGTTTTAAAATTAATAAAAATTAGGTTCAAATCTTTGATTATATATAATCAAAGGTTCGAATTGATAAAAACATCGGAATAAAATTTTATTATTTTAAGGTTATCCAACCTGACTCGGTTACCATGGTGATTAAGATCCAAATATCAAATATTGCAGTTGCTTGTCAAAATTGACGTTGAATTTAAGTTTTTTTTAATGAAAAACACAATTAATTGGATTTAAAGGTTGTATTTAATTCAAAATTGGTAAATGGATGAAATTATAAGCAAGGTAAGTGGATTAAATCAAAATAAAATATTTTTAGATCAATTAAAATGTACAAGAATTTAGGGTTAAATATCAATTAAAACTAATACTAGACCAAGAACTAGAAAGTTTTAGGTTTAGCCGAGCGTCTTAGACATGAACTTAGAAAAGTCTGAAGACGCACGGCTAAACCTGCATGTTGGTGCAAGTGCAAAGGATATGCTTTAAGTACATTCTCTCTAATGTAATGTTCACATAGTCTTTCAAGCGTCTTTAAAAGGAATGATGAGAGACTAATTGGTCGAAAGGCTTTAGGGTCCTTTTTTCCATTCTTTGGTATAAAGGTTCCTGTACTCTTCCTCCAGCTGATGGGAACGTAATTAAAGGCTAAGCAGGCTTTAAAAACTCTTATCTAGTGTATTTTCATATTCTCTAGGCTCCATTGAAGAAGAGCAGGAAATATACTGTCGAGTCGGGTACCGACTCTACCAACTCATTCCGTACAACCTGGTTGGCTATCTGCCAGTCCTGACTGGTAGGAGAGTTGTTAAATTCCACTTGATATAGAAGCGTTGAAAAATCTTGCAAAGAACCTGGAAAATGAACATCCATTAGTAAATGCAACGATTCTTCTGGATCCTTGGAAAAACTGCCATCAGACTTTTGTCTTAATCTTGCTGTCACGACTCCTTTGGAATTCGCGTTTGGCCATCTCCATACCTATTCTGTTTATTTTATCCCAATCTTCTCTAGCTGTACATTTGGAAAGTGCGAAGTGGTAATAATCTCAATTATTTTTTGCAAATCTTTGAAGATCTTGTAAATTATTTCTCGTAATAGTGCTTGTTCTGTCCTAATCAGAAGGTTAGCTTAATTTTCTTCTCTCTACATCTTCATAGGAAGACCAGGCTACAGCTCGCGTTGTCTAATTCGTAAGTTGTAACGAATAGAGATTTTCAAGTACGGTTTTGTTTTGGGCAAAAATTTCTTAAGAAATCAATTTTTTACGATTTCAGAAAATGTACTTCTCAATATACGTTAGATAAATTTGTTATCTATTTTTGAAATAAAATATATAAACGTGAAATGAAATTTAAAGAATGTCAGGGACTTGTTATTGACAATTTCTATGACGTAATAACATAGGTACATTAACCACTTACTTAAATTGATAAATTCGACGTAATTTCTATACAATAACAAAGTTGTTATTTACTCGCTTAAAATGATTTCATTATGACGCATTTATTAAATTACAACAAAATTGTAAATCATAAAAATTCCAGGAAAAATTGATTTTTAATTCGTTCAATTTGAATTTGGCGGTTATTCTGACGTAATACAAATATAGGTCACGTGACGGGACCGCCATCTCAACGCCATCTCGATCAAGTTTTTAGTACGGTGTGTGACGTCTCGGTGAGTGGGTGTTTTGTGCTATTATCCGCGAAGGATATTTAACTTTTCAAAAGGTGAGATGTGCGTTTTTTTAATTAAAAAATTATCGGGTAATATTATAATCGATGAATCACTATCGGTTTTATTCATAGATTAACAACACGCGTTTCCAATCGGCATCTCATTAACATGTTAAGTGAATCACGATATGAGTCAAGAACAAAAACAAACTATGGCTTGATCTAAATTTTCCTATTTCACTTTTGTTTTTGTGTTTTTTTTTGTTGTTTTCTTTGGGTTCTTATTTGTTTTAGATTATATATTTAATAAATGAGATTTAAGTTAAATTTTGTTTGATTTTGGGTTGTTTTGTTTTATTTGTGACTGTTTTGTTTTAGGTTTTTTTTGTTTTAAGTTGCGTTTGTTCAATTTTTTTAACCCCCACCAAATTGAAATCTGGCGGTGTTTTAATTCGAATTTTTTTTTTAATAATATTTTTTGTGGTTTCTTTTCGGCTCGTGATGCGGTTTTACATTGTTTTGCTGGGGCCATGTGCGGCACATCTGGATTCTTCCTTTATTTTTAAGCCCCCAATTCTCGCCTACTTATTTTATTTTATTATTTCATGGCATACTCGACATTCTTGATTTTGTGAAAGCGATATCTAGTCTCGGTACTTACAACACAATAATCACCTTATTTTTTTTATCGCTTATTTTTAATATTATCTATATCACAAAAACCTGTTGCAATCATTTTTTTTGGTTATATTAATAAAAAAATTAAACAATTTTTTCGAGGTTATGAAGAAAGAATATAACAAACAGTACTTCATTTTATATTTTTAAAGTATTTGTTTATTTAAATGTGTTATTGATGGTGTGTTTTTGGATGAAAAGGTTTTTTTTCTTATGTCATATCTTTGACAAGAAAGCGAACCACGCAAGTTTTGATATGTACCATTGAGTGTTCCCTGAACGGATCGATAGTGGAGCCACGCCCTTATCCCGGGTCATTTTTCGTTTCAAAACGGGTGTAGTACGCAGGGGCGCGCCTACCTAAAACCGTGTTTTACTACTATTTTCCACGTGACACTATCAGATCTCATTGCCTTTATTTTTAGCTATAAACTACAAAAAATAAATAATAAAACATGATTACTTTTACGAGGAATATAAAATTGTTTCATTTTATTAGATTCTTCTACAAAAATCTATGATGCATTAGAAAATATTTATCTACAAATAAATATTTATCAAATATATGTATTACACTATATGCTTTGTACTTAAAACTGTGTGTTTGCCGGTTTCGTTTCATTTCCAAATCAAGTCCTCTGCAAACATAAAATGTATATAAATTTTGGGTTGAGTTCATAAATTAATATCTCAAAATCGAAGAAAGATTTTCAAATACGATTTTGTTCGCAAGAAAGTACATAACTTCTTCTATAAATCCCCAATATGTCAAGAAGATATCTTAAGAATTCGATTTTTCACGATTTTCTTAAGATAATACTAGAATATTGTGATTTTTGTAATGTCGTAAAAATTCGGGTTGAGTTCAAAGGTTATTATCTTAAAATCGAAGAAAGATTTCCAAATACCGTTTTGTTTGTGAGAAAGTACATACTTTCCTCTATAAACCCCGAATATTTCAGGAAGCTATCTTAAGAATTCGATTTTTTGAAGATAATAGAAAATTGTGATTTTTATACCTAATGTCTTAAAAATTCGGGTTGACTTCAAAAATTAATATCTCAAAAACGAATAAAGATTTTCAAATACGGTTTTGTTCGCAAGAAAGTACGTAACTTCTTCTATAAATCCCCAATATTTCAAGAAGATATCTTAAGAATTCGATTTTTTACGATTTTTTTAAGATAATAGTAAAAAATTGTCATTATGTCATAAAATTCGGGTTGAGTTGAAAAATTAATATCTCAAAAACGAATAAAGATTTTCAAATATGGTTTTGTTTCCGAAAAAGTACATAATTTCCTTTATAAATCCAGAATATTTTAGGAAGATATCTTAAGAATTCGATTCTTTTAAAACTGTTGTATAAAATTGCTAATCTACATGTTAAGACTTTTGATGTACTTTTGCAGGTACACTGTGGAGACTGAAGTTAATTCATTTGCCTCTTTTGGATAAATTTTCACTCCAATCATCCTGCTATACTGACAAAGCTCGAATTTGTTATCCACGTTTCATTACGGTGTATATAAAATATTCTCACATTTATAAAATTTTTATTTTATAATTACCTCGAAATACGTATTTTGCTTAACCATAAAATGAAAGTTATTGATTTTCCATCACCCGAGACCGTTTTGGACTAATAATAAAATATAATAGATAGTTAGGAAATTCGATATTCCGCGACGTTATTGAATTAGTATCGAATTGGGTCGTGTAATCTCTTTAGGAAAGAACGATTTTATAACTAAAAAGCTTTAGTAATAAAAAGCTTACATCGAAAATGATAATCCCTATAAAACAGTTTGTAACGACTCGTAAATCTTTCTAAATAGAGAAGTCTTTCGATCAATTTTATCGGTTTATTTGTAAATTTAATTCCAAAACCACAACCGATGTTATCATCGATCCTTAGTACCATTTTTTAACCCACTTAAATGTTATAAGTATTTCTTGTGTATCCATTTCAACGTCATAAATAGTGTAAACGTGATGTTTCGAATGATTTATACGTCCGTGAGGATAAAAATAGTTGGTAGATGGTTGGAAAAATGAGATAAGAAGCCGATAACTACTTCGGTTTTATATCTGTAAATATTTATATCGCGCGCTGCCGGTAAATATCAGAGTCCGAAAAGGGATCAAACAAACTTTGTACACTTTATACTTTTTTTTCTACTCCAATACTTTTAAGTACATTAAGTATACTTGAACCACTTTCTTTAATTAATATATTTGATACTTAACATTTCTTTTGTTACAGGACCCTTTTATTAAAAAAAGGGGTTTGCTCGAACTAAATCTTTTCAACAAAGAAATGGCGTGACAATCGCCGGATTTTAAATCCCCCGAATAACGGCGATGGGCTCGTTTACTGCAGATGATGTCTACATCGTCCCGACCCTTGCCAAGCTGCTGCACGCGTTACCACACGTCAACGTGACCTTCCAAAGGGTCAATAGTAGTTTCGACCCACAAAATCCCGTGTATTTAGAGGTAAGAACAAGAAAAAGAAAACTTTATTTCATTTATTAAGGTCTCTCTTAAATAAGTAAAATGAGTCGGGGTCGAGATCAACTCAAATTGTGAGTTTGTTCCATTGCCGACTACTTCCTCTTTATTTCCAACCAAGACACGCTTCGAAGGGGAAACCGGACCGTTTCAAAACGACCGTTTCCTGTTCTTGCGCACTCTTTATTATTGATAAATTGTCCCCGCGATGGAGGACAAATGTCATCTATGCTTGTTATGTAATAATTTCGAAATTAAAACGAATATTATGATGTGGTGAATTCTTAATAAATTATTAAGAGATGACACGTTTTGGTATAGCTAAAATAAAGGGAAAAAAATGAAAGAAAATGTTGCAGAAGTAGGTCAGCAATTGTATGCTATTGTTAGGTACAAAATAGACGTCGTCTTTCCAACATCCACCCGCGGGGTATTCATCAACGCAAACGGGGCGGATTAGCTGTTGCATTGTTGACGTGTAATCGTTATTTCTGATCAATATTAACTAACAAACGTCTTTTCTATATTATTAATTCGATTCACGTCTGTTATTGTTTTATTATGCTAATTAAATTAGGGTGGAAGAGAAAATTTGCATAATAATTACGTAATATATTTAAAAATACTTGGTGGTCATTTTTAACAAAATAAAATGCTATGAAACAAAGGGCAAAGTTCAAATTAGTTTATGAGCAAAATCATCAAATCGTTATAGTTGAAATTGAATTATTTAAGTAATTCAATTACTTTAGATCTCTGTTCATTAATTTAGTATCGGCTTTAATTGGTCTCCTTTGTATGTATGTACAGGGTGGTTCAAAGTCGATGTCCGAATAGGCTAACTCGGAAACTATAAGAGAAATTTTTTCGGTTTTAGATTTTGAGATATGACAATTTTCGTTTTTTTAAATCGAAATAACCGCTGATTATTCGCTTATTAAATTCGTTATTTTTTTCTGATTACAAAAATACGGGGTTAGATAGGTCTATTTCTTATTGTTTTAGAATAAAGCTAAAAACAAACTTTTTTTAGTGTCATCAAAGAAATTAAATTTACAGTTTACTGTAAAAAAAAAAAATAAAATAAATAAAATTTACTTTATTTTCTAATATGTAATATTCTAACCTGTTAAATTTTTCGTAATCCATCTTAAGAAACAGGATTTTTAATTTGACACTTCAGAAAATGTTTGAATACAAACAAATCTGTTTATTTGAATTAAAAAAATATATATGAGCGCCATCTATCAATAATTTATTAAGTCATTTAATAATAATATTAAATATTAATAAAAATTGTGAAATAAAGCAATCTATTCCAACTTTTATGTAAAACAAGTATAAATTGAATAGAATAGAATATCAGAAATATGTTTTTTTTTACTTTTTAGTTATAATTTACAGGAAACTGTAAATTTAATTTCTTTGACCCAAAAATATTTGTGAAATTTTCACTGATTATTTATCATTAAAAGAAAGACTCATAATATTAAAATAAAAAAAAAAAAAATATTACCGTATAGAGCTATAGATTCGTTTTTATTAATATATTATGTATAATTTTTGTTACAGAGTTTGGGAATATTGGGTTCAGCACCAGCAGCTTGGTTAATTTTAACACTATTAGTTCTATTAATCTATTTATTAACGAGATGTTGCGATCGGAAACCAAGAGCTCAAAAATCAATATCCGCACTAAAAGTAACATTAGCAGTCGTATCGGTAATGTGTTGCGCCGCAATCGGCCTCGGATTATACGGAAACGATGATCTGCACAACGGAGTTTCACAATTTTTAGCCGAAGGCGAACAAGTCGACCAAGTATTTGCCAAAATTCGTAATCAAACGGAAGCGATCGAACGGCAATTACGCTTCCAGGCGAACGGACAATTATCGCAATTGGAAGCGATTTTTATGGAACCAGGTGGGAATATGACGGCCAAATCAAATTTGTTGTCTTGGATGAATATGGCCAAAGAAAACAATACCTTAGCCGCAAACGCAGCGTCGGATATAAAAAGTCCTTTGCTCCATATAGACATTGCGAGTAAAATCGCGATCGGCGATAAAGTTGAAACGATTAGGTGGCCGTTAACGATGGGAATTTTGAGTGTGCTTCTCGTTTTATGCGTGGTGCTATTAGTTGGAGTTGCGAGGCATAATAGATGCGCGTTGATCGCGTTTTCTGTTTGCGGGTTATTAGCGGTTATAGCATCTTATGTTATGGCAAGTATTTATGTTGCATCAACGGTCGCTTTGGCCGATTTGTGTATGGCGCCGGATAAATTTCTTCAAGATCAAGTTTCGATGGAGGTTGCAAAAGAAATTTTACATTACTACACAAGTTGTGAAAAAGCAAGGGCGAATCCTTTCACTCAACGATTACGCGAAGGAAAATTAGCCGTTGAAGCAATGAGACATATGTTAACAGTAATTAATAAACCAGCACAAGAATTATTTCCCAAAAAAAATATCGATCACCGTATTAGTTCGTTGATGAACCAAATTAACGAAGGAGATATGTTGATGACTTCTTTAACGGCGTTGGTTGATTGTAAAGCTTTACACACGCATTATTTGAGAGGGGCGAGGGTTTTGTGTAATGTTGGGCTGTTGGGGTTGACTTTGATGTTGGCTTCTGCAGCTTTGGCTGGGTTTTTATTGACTGCGTTAGTTTGGATCGATTCTCATACTTGGATCTATATAAGAAAGAAGTAAATATAAAATAATTTAAATAATTTTGTCCACGACTACCTTATAATATAAGTTTTCTACAGACTAATAATAATTATTTCAAACGTCAAAATTTCAAAACAAGTCAATTTAATTTAATTTTTTTAGTATTTTCTAAAGGTTTAACATTAAAAAAACGTAAAGAAATTCCTTTTTTGGTATGATTTAAGTATTAATTAATTAATTTTCGTAAAAAAATGACGTTTCATAAAATTGACACTTAATTTTGACAAATTGTTGTGAAGTTGGTTACAGTTGGTAACATTGAATTTGTGTCACATTGACGTTTAAACTTTATTTAAAAAAATAAATTTATGGAATCAATTCAATAGTAGTTGTGGACAAAGTATTCTATTTACATATAATGAGTTATTATTGATTTGTATTAATTTTTATAATTTTAATTTTAGGAAAGATTATCACCAGGTGAACGAAACGGAATCTTTCCTCCCGGCTCCAGCGGCGTCCCAAGCCATCGCCGCACGGACTTTGCAACGCAGCCAAGGGTCGTCCTACCCCCCAGATACTCCCCCACCGAGCTATACGTCCGCTATGATGCATAATTCGCTTGCAACCGCCCCAGTGCATGAAGCAGAGTCACTCATGTATTTTTTTTATTTTCGTTTTATTTAATTTTATTTATTTCTCCATTAAATTCATTAAATTTAGCGATCCCCCGCTCTCAAATATATGTTAATTGTATCCTTAATCTTAAATTTTGATGGGTTCAATTTTTTATATTAAATGTTTTTTAAGTAGCATGCTCAATTAGGATTGAAATCGAATGATTAGATTAAACTCATTTAGATTAATTAAGTTATTACAGTAAAAGCTCGATGTAACAGAGTAACAGACCTCGTTAGAACGGACTTTTGATGTTCCTTTCCTCGTGTTAAAGCGTTATATCGAGGTTTTACTTGTTTTCTGTAATTTCGTCGGATGTGTGCAATGTTCTTTTCTCAATTTTACAGTGATGGCTGTGACATGCGCTCAGCAGAGCATCACAGAGGAGCCCATATGTCTCATCTCCGGGGCCATACTCTCGGACGATTGCCATCACACCACCACGAACAACTCGCGGGGCCTAATAATGGCAAGTACGCGACTTTAAGCAAACAATGTAAAACTTTAGAGAGTTCAGACTTTTACTGAGACAGGTATTAATAAGTTAATTAATATAAAAAAGATAAATTAAAATAAATCATTTTAGGTCTGCCTGCAAAGAATTCCCAAACTTTAAAGGTTTTAAGTTCGATCAGCAACAACAACAACACCAAAAGCTAGCACCATCAAACGACAGCCATCGAACCGCGAACATAAATAAATTTAGTTCGTTAGGTCGTAGACCGCTTCCTCAAATACCAACGGATGAGAAAGCGCGAAAACAGCCTCCAGTTCCGAAAGTACCAACGACCATCTCACAAACGGTCGGTGAAACACCGTTGAATCCAGCTAATTTCCGGTCGTTGCAACGAGGCGCGTGGCAAGACACAACCGCGTTCCATCAAAACCTACAGTTTCGATCATTGCAAAGAACCGGAGCCCCGCCGCAACATTCGCAATTTCGTTCGGCTAAGATTCAAGATCAAAATGAGGCTATTTATAAAAATGGAGATAGCGAAAGACAACTTTACGCTGTCACGGAGTTGTAAGTTGTTTAAAGAGGTTTTTTTTGTGATTTTTTGGGATATGCAGGCAGCGAGAGGTAGAAATTATTTAAAAAGTAATGAGATAGAAAAAATAACCATTCCGATTTAGATTCAGTATTTTCTTTTTTTATTTAGAATTATTTTTTTGTTCTACGTACCGTTTTGCATTTAGTATGGATGGAGGTTTTAATTCATAAATAATGTTTATTTTCAAAAAAAGGGGAGAAAAATATGTAAATGTTGATATTTAGGATTTGAAAAAGAAATTAATACATAGAAAAAGTTTACAATTAGATCTTTATCGAAATATATATGCTACATATTTAGAAAACAACCTATTATAAAGATTTAATTTGATACAGAAATTTTTAAAAAGATTTTCTAGGTTATGTTGTTGAATTAAAAAAACATTAATTTTCTTTTAACAATTATCTTAAATGGTGTTCGAATTAAAAGCTAATTAAGTTTTCCCATAAATTTGTACTTAATAATTTTTATCTTTGACAACCATAGGGAATTATAATTTTTAAATATTGGCAACAAATTTTTCATATTTTGTGTCAACTAAAACAACATAACCTGTAATTTAAAATTACTACAATTTAATCGTTATTTTTTAAAGAAATATTAAAACGTTTATTAATAATATAAATATTAATATTAACAATCATTTTTATGTGGTATTAAACGCTATTTACGTAAGTGTTATAGATTTTTAATGATTTTTATTTAAATGAGTGACATAACCTAAAAAATTTTTTTTTTATTAAAAATTACTTTTAATTCTTTCTAACGGGTTGTTTCCTGAGAAAATCGTGAGTTGTGGTGTTTATTTATAAAAAACCCGACCAAAACACTAATTACGAATGAAATCCTTCTTCGAAATGATTCAAATGTTGTCCGATGTGTATTTTCAGGAAGTTAACAGGTTTGTAAAATAATTCCTTTTCTTCTTTTAATTACATCATTCCTTAAAAAATTATGATTCGATTTAGTTTTTTTTTCAAATCCTACGTTCTGGAAGCAAAAAAAATACATCACTATATAATTGTGTTAAAATTAAATTCGAATTTATGATGAGATTAGATGATGAGTGCGTTGTTTTTATTATTATTATTATTTGGGGGTTTTTCCTCAATTTTTGAGTGTTTATTTTATATTTTTAGTTACAAAATGATAGGATTTAATTTACTCTCGTTAAGAAAGTAATAAGAAATTGTGCCATCACACTATTGTATATAGAAAAACAAACAATATAAAAAAAAATTAATTAAATTTAACAATGATGACCTTAGATACTAAAAGTGACCCTCAACACAAAATAAAAAAAAAATTTGTAGTAAATTTAATAAAAATTAATTAACTTAAAATTATAATATCAAAGAAACAAATTTTTTTAACACGATAAATTGCTCACCTTAAATAAATAAATAAATACAAAAAGATCTGTGTCAAATCTACAGGAATCTCACAATTTTTGTGTACATCAAATTTGATTTAATTTCTTTATAAAAAAAGAAAATTGTATTGATAAAAAAAATTAATGATATAAATGTTTAATGTAGATTTAGGTGAAAAAGTCTACCTAATTTTTTGATTAAATGTGATTAAATCAAACGGTAGCGAAGAAAAATGAGGATTAAAATGGTTTTAATTAAAAAGAATCATTTTGAATCCTTGATAATCCCAAAAATACATGGCCACAACTGCCAAAGAGTTCTCGATATGCACAATATCGAGTGCGTGAATTAATCTAAAAGAATAAAGAAAAAAATAAATATTATAATTAAAAAAAAAATGACACCAGATGGTGATCTAAGTGTCTATAGTAAGATTTGTATATTTCAGTACATCGATAGGTAGGCCTTAGGTGTCCGTTAATCCACCCCTCTTCTTTAATTATTCCTCCTTTCAATCTTAATTTATACCCAATTTAATTAAGATTTCTGTGTATATTATATATAGAGTGATTAACTTTTTTCCATTTACTTTTAATTGTATAACTATGTAATTTATTGATGCATTTACATAGATTGTAAGATTAATTAATTTTTTAAGTTGTACCATATGGATTTATACACAAAAAAAACACGCTGTACAAGTAAACTTTACTATTTGGTAAATTTATTGCATTTTTATTAAGTAACCATCGTGATTTTTATTTATTATTATTTTTTTAATATAAAAAATTATCTATTTACAATTTTTTTTAAAGTGTACATTTTATTTCTATCACAACTTGATTAAAAATTTACTTATACTTAAATATAATTAATAAATACAAAAATCTTTTTTTTTTAACTAATTTGGTATGATTTATGAATTTTTAGGTTCGCCCTTTGACCCAATTAAGTTAAAAATGCCGAATACAAACTGATTAACGTTTCGGAAACTGCGGAAATACTCGTAACCCAAGTCCTGCTATCCCAAAAATAAATAGATTTGATCGTCTCCGACTCCCATCCCTTTCAAAAGAGTGTGCGATAAATTCGTGAAAACCGTCGGTCCGCAAGCTGCCACGTAAACGTCTTTTTGTAAGTATCCCGTGTCTTTTATTAGATTTTTTATGGCGTCTTCTAAAATTGGACTTGATACGTGTCCTGATAAACCAGTCCATTTTGATGAGGGTTGTGATAAAATGTATTCAACGTTAAATCTAAAATAAAAAGAAAATTAATTTGATTTCTTTTAATGAGTCAGAAATACTAGATCAAATTAACTGCAAGTTTTAATTTTTATACTGTAGATAAGACAAGTTATCTGTCGTACTGAAACATAGCCCTTTCGCTTCCGTATAATAGCGAATAATATTGCTTTTCTGTAAGTCATTAAAGAAAACGTCCCAACTGATTGGGAAATAAGAATTATCTGTCCAGTCTACAAAATACGTTCGAAAAGGGTTTAGGATGCTTCCTTAAAATGTGGGGAAAGTGAGAATGATTTTTGGCTTATCACTCAGGAATGTACAGATAGAGGAAAAGCAGGCAGAAAGGAGAGCTGGGTAGGATTGAGGATGAAAGGGGAGGAATATCGATGATGAAAATGTCTGCAGACGCACGGCTAAACCCGATATTTTCTAGTTCTAGGTCTAGTGTTAGTTCTAGTTTTACACTATCACTAGAATTAACACAAGACCTAGAACTAGAATCATTCGGGTTGTCTTCTTGAAACGCGCCGGCAACATCTCAAATTTTCCTAGTGTAATTTTTGCTTAAAACTGACCAATAACAACCCTTCTTTTTGGCACTTTACTTTGAAAACACTCCTCTGAATTAAAAAATAAAGTATAGTAACTTTTCGTTTGTTCCTAAATTCACCATGATAAAAATATTAACCGTCACAAACATTTTAACATTGCCAAATTACAAAAAACGTTTAAGGGTACGTTCTTAAACTGGAAAATTATTATTATTGCAAAATCCGTTACAAATATTTACAAACACTTACTTTTAAATCTAGTTTAGTAACAAAATATTACCTGTTGTCATCTTTGTGGAGTGTATCGAAATGCGTTTTAAATAGAATATCTTCATCGGTACGATTAAAAAAGAGAAGCGTTACATGGTAACTAAAAAATAAAATAATTTTAAAACAATTTAATTATAGTATATTATTATACGAGCGTATAATGAGGGCTATTATTCACTAAGGTTAAGTTTATGGCATAATTAACTTGAGTACTTTGTCCATGACTACTATTGAAATTGATTCCATACATTTTAGAATAAAGTTTAAACGTCAAAGTGACACAAATTCAATGTTACCAACTGTAACCAACTTCACACCAAGTTGTCAAAATTAAATGTCAATTTTATGAAACGTCATGTTTTTTTTTACGAAAATTAATTAATTTATGATTTCAAACCTTTAGAAAGTCATTTATAAAGTATATATTATAAGATAGTCGTGGACAAAATTATTAATTACCTCTTTTTGACTCTTCGTTCTAACAAAAACGAAATTAATCCTAACATCGGGGTTAACCCAGTTCCGCCGGCTAATAATAAAAATAATTCCTTATTCTCAATATCTTGTAAATTAAAAGCACCAAGTGGTCGTGATATCTCAATAATATCGTATTTACTTTTCCCACAAACATATTTACTTATATTCCCATTCGGATAATTTTTAACCATCAAACAAACGTTATCCGTTGTGTATAAGGACGGTTTAAATTGTTTAAACAAACTCGCCGGAACCGGCGTGTAACTCCGCGACATTTCTTCACCTTTTATTTTCCCAAAAACCCTCACATGCTTCCCGATTGGAATCGTTAACTTGCTATTATCGACACGTTCGAGTTCAATTAAACAAGTATTTTGGTTAACTTGGATTTTATTAATAACCGTGTATTTTAATTTAATATCTAAGGATGTTGTTTCGTCACGTTTTTGAGTTAAAATCCCAAAATTTTCCCAAATACCACTTTCTAATTTCTTAAAAATAATTTCTATTTTCCCCGTTTCTTGATTAACTTTGATTTGGCACGGCCATTTAATGCCTTTATTAAACTTAATTTCATTTATAAACAATTTCGAATTAAAAGTTAAATAAATGTTGAGTGAGTTATCTTGATTTGGGGGGTTCACTTCTACTTGACAATTTGAATATGATTTTGTGTAAAAAATGATTGTTATCGAATCCATTTTTTGTATCCAATCGAATCTCGGTAAAATTATGTTATCTTCTATTATTTTATTTTCTATTTTATTTTCATCTTTGTTATTATAATTTTCGTTTTTTGGGATATTATTTGGGAATAATTCTTCAACGGTGATATCGGCCTCTGGGATTAATCGCCCCAAAAAGCATTTATTTAAAATTTGTTCGTAATTAACCCAAGGATGGACCTAAGATTAATTAATTAAATAAAATTAGTGCTTTTGGTGGGTTAAAATTTACTTGGTCAAAAAGATGAGTCGCGTCTTTTCCGGCTCCTTTCATGATTTCGTCGATTCCTCCAGGATGAAACGGTAAATAATGAGTTACGTTGTATACTCGTCCTCTTAAAGCCAACCAAACGTCGGTTTCCGTTGAATGTTGGGCTAATTCTTTTAAGGTGATCTAAAAAAAGGTTTTAATCTCTTGTTTGTTTTGAGATGTTTTATTTACTGTTAATTGCCCCGCTTTTGATCCAACACCCGTTAAATCTTTTCCAGATGATCCCAATCGAATCCAGTCCATTAAGGAATGTCCTGGTTGGAGGGCGCATTTATTTCTTGGATTTCCTGGAAAAGAAGAATCAATTCGAATTAACCACCGATTAAGGTAAGTTTAATTTATTATTTAAAGGATTTAAATCAAAAAACTTAATGCAGTGATTAATATTGAATATATTTTTTAAAACATTTTTAATCAAAATTCCATTTAATTTCTCGAAATCATTATGGGTTGGGACGATGGCACCAAACAAAGTGTTACCAAGAGCAGTCGCATCGAGGAGCTCATTTACAGTGGAACCAACCGAACAATTCCTACAAACACCAAAAAAATAAATTCATCTCAAAACGAATATTTTAAAAGCATACTTATTCGTGCAATTATGAGTGATATAATTTTGCAATTAGCATCGTCGCCCACTTCAAATTCAAGAACCAAATCCAAATCGACTCTGATTGTAAGATCGCAAATTCTAATTGCGATTTTAACGAAACTTTCAACGTAAACGTTAGCTCTTGAAATTAACTTCAAAATTAATATCTGAGGTTACTGTAGTTCCGTCGATGGTTTCGGAATATGATATTTCAGTACCGAGTGCGACATAATCACCAATATCGACGCATTTCAAATTGGCTTCGAGAAGTCCCAAGTAAAAATTAATTAATTCAATTAAAAAAAACTTATTCAGATTTTTTTTTTGTTTTACTTACCAAGTTAATAACGACGTAAACGTTTCTGTAAGCGATACATCAACGGCCAAGTCCAAACAAGCTTTAATTTGGTTATTGCAGCGGATGTCCCTGTATGAGTGGCGAAGCTAGTAGAAGCAAATAAGCCGAGAACAACCAAACATGGAGCAATTTCATTTTTGTGCTTTTTTTGTTGTTGTTTTCTTTCGAAATGCTTTTTCAAATTAATAATGATAGTAACAAACTTGCGCGTTTTTATACATGATTTATTAATCGGCTTTGTCAATTTATGAGTTAATACAATGATTAAGAAGAAAGAGAATTTCGGTTTTATCGGCATTTATTATTTATCAATTATTGCCCTTCGTCTTGTTTAATAATTAATAAAATTAATTGCATCAATCCAAGTTTAGGAACGTTCGAAATTATTCGTCGAGTTTGAACTGGTATTTGGTGAAATCTATTTAATTAAATCGTCAATATCACGTCGCGGTCAATGTAGACGCAATAAATCTTTGAAGACAACGGCTACAAATGGATTACAATGACTTTCCATTTAGAACACTGAAACACTTATTCCAATTCATATTTTTTCTTCTTCAATTAATCTCTATTACGAGGCAGCTCAAAGACAGCAAGAAAACCTTAATGTTCCGCATATAACCTCCTATTATACAGGGTCATTCTTCTTCTTACTTTCCTTACTGTCACGTTTCATAGCCTGGAGCCTGTACAACTAATATCTGTATATTTAGTCTTCTGCTTACAGTATCTAGTCTTGTATATGGAGTAATTAGCAGTATCTAGTATTTTATTGGCAGTATCTGATCTTTTTTTAGCAATATCTATACCTCTGCTAGCAATACGTAGTCTTCCGAAAGCAATATCTAATCTTCTGCAAACATTGTCTAGTCTTCTATTAGCAGTATCTAGTGTCAACAGTATAGGTGTTACTATACAACGTTCGCAGTTCGTCCAAATCGACTTGGTGAGTTCTGAGAATATTCAAACGACAGAAAAATACACCAAGCAATTTATGAAATATGCCTAATTTTTTTATGCCATTGCCAAATTTGATTTCCATGCACTTGTCGTGTTCTATAAGTCGTTCTGAACATTTAAAAAAAAAAAATCTATTCAACAATACGTGGTTCGTCCAAATTGGCCCGGTAAGTTCTAAGAACACTTAAACCGCCGAAAACGTCTTAATATGTATCGTGTTGACTTATAGAGTATAATAAGTCATTAGAGACATTTTAAGAACAAAAAAAATTCAGAAAAACCAAATTTTTACACGACCTATCTCAATAATCTAAGTATATCTGATTATAAAACAATTTAAAGTGAAGGTGACATCGTTTAAATAATATCAATAAAACGAGATGCATTTTATAACACCACAATTGTCATAAAAATATCTGATTAATGATTTTTTATCTTTTATATTTACCAGTAATTTAATTGTTTTTAATTAAAATTTTCCAATTCTACTTGTTAATTGTCTTAATTTAATTTTTAATTATAATATTAATGATAATAATCGTGGAACATTTTGGATTGATGCAATTAATTTTATTACCTCGACAAAACAAGACAATAAATTCATAAGAATTTCTTTACAAGTCGGATTAACAAAGCAAGTATAAAAACTGGCAAATTTTTCGATACCGGCATCAATTCGAAAAAAACATTTCGAAAGAAAACAACAAAAAAATACGCAAAAATGAAATTACTTTTGGTTCTTTTCGGTTTATGTGCTTCTTCTTGTTTCGCAACTCACCCCGCAACGAATACCGCAATAACTAAAATCAAAGCTTGTTTAGACTTGGCTGCAGATGTATCACTCGCAGGAAACGTTTATGCCGTCGTTGATGTGGTATGTAAAATAACAAAAAAAAAATCTCTTAATATATTTTTGTAATTGAATTAATTTTCAGTTGGGACTTCTTAATCTCAATCTTCAAGCCAATCTGAAATGCGTCGATATTGGTGCTTATGTCGCACTCGGTACTGAAATATCATATTCTGAAACCATCGTCGGAACTACAGTAACCGCAGACGTTAACCTTGAAGTTTGCGTTGACGTTGACTTAATTTCAAACGCTAATGTTTACGTTACTTTACTCGGAAGTCTCGTTAAAATCGCAATTGGAGTTTGCGATCTTACAATCAGAGTTGATTTGGATTTGGACTTGGTCCTTGAATTTGAAGTGGGCGATGAATCTAATTGCAAAATTAAACAGATCGATCATAATTGCACCAGAAAGTATGGTTTTAAAATACTTATTTCGAGATGATTATTTAATTTTTGTTTGTTTGTAGGAATTGTTCAGTTGGTAACAGTGGTAATGCGATCATTGACAGGTGTAAAGCAGGAAAGAGCACTGATATTTGCGATGATACGTACAATAAATGGAACACTGCTCTTGGTAATACTTTGCTTGGTGCCATCGATCCATAAAAACAACAAATTCGAAAAGGATTTAAATACAATGACTTGGCTAAAAAAAATGTAAAGAATGATATTCAATATTAAACAATATAAATAAATATGTTTTCCCTACTCATTTTTGCTTCTTAACACCATCATCACGACATAGTCAAAACTATAAACAAAATCTTGTATTAAAATTCAATACAAAATAATTATAAATAATGCTTTCAAACCAATGAGGCATATGCGACCATGTAATGTGATTTTGTACTTTTAAACTGGTTTTTATTTTATATAGAATTTTAGTCTAACCAGTTTCGGCCCATATTTGTAGTCTTCATTAAAAATCCTTTAAAATGAGTACAAACACGACATATTTATCTTCAATATTAATGAAGTTATGGTCAACTTCCGGTTAAGAATGTCAACGTCAATTTTGACATATTTGTAATCGTCGTAAAAAATCCTTTAAAATGAGTCCAAACATGATACGTTTAATTCCAATATTACTCGAGATATAAGCAACTTCCGGTTTGAAATGTCAATGTCATTTTGACATATTCTTAATTTTTATGAAATGTCTTAATATTTGTCATAAAAACAAAAATATAATAAAAAAAATAAAAAATTAAGGTTGGTATTAATATTTAAAAACTAAATTACTATCTTCATTGTTGCTAACTTCGGGTTTAATGTTTTTTATTCTAACTTTTTTGTTTTTTGAGATAATTGCGTCATCTTTGGACACATTTTAAAGGTTTTTTTCATCTTTTTAAAGGAAGATGACAAATATGTCAAAATTGACGTTGACGTTTCAAACCGGAAGTGATTGTATTTCCATTAATATTAAAGTTAAATATATTGAGTTTGGACTCATTTTAAAGGATTTTTTATGAAGTTGACAAATATGTCAAAATTAAAAGTTGAAAGTTCGAACTTTTTGGTTTTTTGAGATAAATGCCTCAAGTTTGGACTCACTTTAAAGGTTATTTTATGAAGATTACTGTATAATCATTAATTAATCGTTTAATTATTAAAATAGATTAAATAATACGCCGATATATTATTATAATAAAATGTGTGTCCTTAACATTAAACGTTAATTTCATGACCACCATTAAAATTGATCTCATTTCCAAGAAATTTAGACGGATTTTTTGCGGTTTCATCATCTCATACGGATGAGTTCGGTATCGATCTTTCTTAACAATCGTTTTTCTCCGCCCTTTTGTCGTCTCCCAACGTCCTTGCGGTTCCTGACCATTTTTTCGATCTCCGAACATAATGAAAGTTCCATTTAAAATTTTCCAGTCAATTTTAGTTGTAAAATGAAAATCGATTTTTCGTTAAATTTATTAGGGGCATATTTCATAAAAATGTTTGAGTTGAAAATGCGGTGGAGGCGCCGGGATATGATATTTTCACGCAACAACGCTCATCCATTGATGCGTACCGTGTTTACCTGATAAAACATGGCTTTTGAATAAATACACCTCCAGCTTAAATTTAGAATTTAGCACTTCCCACTTCAATCAACCCCATTTCATCGCAATGAATAATTTGTTGAAGCCGAATTGTTTTTTAATCCGTTTTCATTGATTAAACGCACACAACATTTTAATTAGTTTCAACCTATTGTTTGAAAAGAAAAAAAAATGTGGCAACACTTGACATGTACCCATTGTGTGGCGAGTACACGTTTTTGGAGTGTAAATTATCCGTAAGCGCGCAGTAGATTACATGAATTTACATACAAATGATGTTGATATAAAGAGGATTATATGATACGCATACTAAATAAATTGTTGGTAATAAAAATTTCTTTAAAATAATACAAAGAAACCTTCAAATTTTCCAAAAATAAACCACAACTTTTATTGTTATTTTTTTTTATCTCGATTAAACTCATTGTTCGGTGTTTATTTTAACTGGTTTATATTTTGTTTACAAATAAATCCTTTTTTTGTGTTCATTCAATTAATTGATATCTTAGAAAATCGAAAAAATCGATATAAATTTTTAAAAATTTTAATTTAACACACCTGTTACAACTCCTCTAGATTCAAAATTATCTAAAACTTCCGGTATAACATCTTCGGATTTTTTCCGGCAACAATTAAGGCAAGGCATGACGTCAAATGCGAAAACTTTCTTGAAACTAACGCGTCGGTTTATTTTTGGTTTTAAAACGGAATTAGAATTAGACGGAAACTCGAATTTTGCGAGAGGAAAACACGTCGCGCAGGAGTCCTACGGGACTAACTGTTTTATCCTGCGGGTATTCCGGCTTATATAACCTCGACTCGATGTCTCCGCCGTTTTCGTCGGGAACTGCGCGCGATTCCCTGCCCCGTAACACAGACAACAATGCACATACAACAAACAACAGAGCCAAAAACGTCGGTTTCTAAGCTAATTGGAACTCCGGTCGCGTTTGTTTACGGAATAAATTTCAAACACCTGTAAGGCGAATTTGATGAATATAAAGATAATACAAAAATATTTAGGGATATCGTTTTTAATTATTATTTATTATTATCAGCACAAATCGATTTGGTTTTAAATTTCCTTTAATTTGATACCAAACTCAACCCAATTCTAATTAAAAATGAAAAAGTTATGACTAAAAAATAATTAAAGTTATTACCTTTTTATTTAATTTTATTATCATTTATAACATCACAAAAAAAAATGTTAATTGAATAATTATAAATCGAAATTACTTTTTATTTTATACCTAACTCGGCGAATTTTTAATCGAAATTATTATTTTTATTACCTTTTTACGTCTTCATTTATTATCAATACTGAAACAGATCGATACGATTTAAAATTTCTTTTTATTTGATACTAAACTCGGTACAATTCTATTAAAAAATGTAAGTTATTACTAAAAAAAATTAAAAAGGTAATAATGATAATAACGCGATTACAACAATAAATATCTCGATAAATAAATGAGGTAAAAACACCGAGTTTGGACTCTTTTTAAAGGAAATTGATTTTTCCATCGTATAAAATCTATTTTATTTTTATGAGTGCCTTTATTACTTTTATTACCATTTATAATAAAACCTCAATAAAAAAAATTACGATTTTAATAGTAATAAATCGATGAGAGATCAGATTACTTCTCATTTTGTATCTAACTCGACGAATTTTTAATCAAAATTATTATTTTTATTACCTTTTAAGTTTTCATTTATTATCAAAACCGATATAAATCGATACGATTTAAAATCTCTATTTATTTGATACTAAACTCGGCACAATTCTACTAAAAAACGTACAAGTTATTAATAAAAAAATCAAAAAGGTAATAATGATAATAACTCGATTATAACAATAAATATCTCGATAAATAAATGAGGTAAAAACACCGAGTTTCGACACTTTTTAAAGGAAATTGATTTTTCTATCGTATAAAATCAATTTTATTTTTATGACTGCCTTTATTACTTTTATTACCATTAATAATAAAACCTCAATAAAAAAAATTACGATTTTAATAGTAATAAATCGATGAGAGATCAGATTACTTCTCATTTTGTATCTAACTCGACGAATTTTTAATCAAAATTATTATTTTTATTACCTTTTAAGTCTTCATTTATTATCAATACCGATATAAATCGATACGATTTAAAATTTCTCTTTATTTGATACTAAACTCATCACAATTCTACTAAAAGCGAACAAGTTATTAATAAAAAAATCAAAAAGGTAATAATAGTAATAACTCGATTACAACAATAAATATCTCGATAAATAAACGAGATAAAAATACCGAGTTTGGACACTTTTTAAAGGAAATTGATTTTTCCATCGTATAAAGTCAATTTTATTTTTATGGGTTGAAACCATAAATCGTTTTTACCTAAATTATTAAAGTTTGCAAGTTTGAATTTAATATATTGAGCAATCAAGTTAATCAGATCATCAAGTCTACTACATTTCTACGTGCTGCGTTATCATTTCCTTTATCTCTTTTAACTTCTTTTTCGAAACGAACTTTTCGTTATCCATGGAAAGTATTCCCAGCTAAAATATGTATTGCCTCGTATGGTTGGTAAAGCACAAGAAAGTCTGCTACTACTCTCGTCTCACGAGAACGCCAAGTAAAAACAGAATCCAGAATGACATCCAAGTTCGTGATAGTGTGGGATTTGAACAACCGTGCATTATTTTATGTGTTTATATCTAAAAGTCTCTTTTTATTGCTTTTAAAGCCACTACTAAGTTTTGATGGTGTAAAGTGCAACACGACTGTTATTAATTTGTGTTGGACATCGGTATTGCAGATGTTAAAACTAAAAAAGAAACAACCACTTAGATTAATTAAGCTATTCGGTTAACGTTTTATAATCCCTTTTTAATCACCATCCTTTTTCATCATTAAAATTTCGAAACTAAACGAGGGGAGATTATATGCCCCGAACAAAATTTCTCTTGTAGAAAGGTCCCAATTCAGAGACATCTCCCTCGCCTCCCCGCATAAAAAAAAACACCTTTGAAGTAAGCTATGTTGGATCGTATGAATAATTTATAAAGAGCGTGCTTCTAGAGAAGTCCAATAAAATGAATATCAAATTATTTAAGTGCTGGATTTTTAACAAACAAATAACTAACAGAATTATGAATCGTTGATTCATTATTTATTTAATTAATTATTCGGCAAAACTCGTTTAATTATTAATAAAGTTGTCCTGAAATTCAATTTCCTGCGGCGGGATCGCGCCGTACCGTCAGGATAAGAGTAATTAATATTGATTTCGGCTTCTATTTCGAGAGTTGCACCAGGTCTGAGTATCGATCGAATAACATTAAAAAATTTTTTGTCCAAAAACTTACCGAATTTGGGGCGATTTTGAGAAGGTAATAACAACACGATCATCGTAAATAATAAAAATTTCATTGAAAACATGATGAACTAAATTAAAGTGGGAACAAATTAAAAAAAAAATTAGATAAGAAAAGGCAAGAGTCAAAGATTAGATTTAGTTAATTCAAATTTAATTTAAAAATGTCTATATAAAAAGATTTTAATGCATAGTACATAAAATATTGGATGGTTTAATAAAAAAATTTATCTCTAAAATACGACCGATAATAAATTATCATGTCAAAACCCCTTATTTGATGTATTAATCAATAAAAACCACCCTTTTTTACTTCTTTTACTCCCCAAACTCTCAAAGGAGTTTATTAACGATATTTACTTTCACTATTTCAAAGAAGAAATTATTAGCACTAAAAACGACTTATTTATCTTCTTGAGTCAATAAGATTAATTAATGGTCCTATGCGATGTGGAAGATATAAAGTATTAGTTATTATATGGGATACAATTAAAGATTGGCCAACACTTCTTATAAGACACTTTAATGCAAAGGTAGGATGAGAAGATTTTCAAATCCAACATTGATAAACATAACACAGCAATGATAATAGACTGGTGAATTTCGCACATATTTTGGTATAAAACCACTTACAATTAAAAAGTTTGTAAATATCAATGACAGATACAAAAATGTGATTGAATTGTCAAAAACTTGACATCTGTCATTATTAAATTTTTTAATATAATTCTTTTTTAATACATAATTTTAATTTAATCAAAGTTATTATATATTATTATGTATTAAAAACACATAAATACCATTTATTATTCCTAAAGCATAATTAAAAATCAAAATTTAAAAAGAAAATCGTTGTGTTATGCAACCCAATTAACACAACGTCAACACCGCCGTTTTAAAAGATACTTGATATTGTAATAAGATATTAATTAATTAATATTTATAACCAACCTGTTGCGGAACCAGCAGCGTTAACGGCAGCGACACCCGCGGCTAATCGTCCAACCTCTTGCAATAGAGGAGGAACAAGCGGTTTTTGCTTAGAAGGGGTCAACTTAAAACTCGGCGACGATTTAAACGGATTCTTCGACCCCTTTTGATCACTCATTGTCTAATGTAGAATTAATTTACGCACATATTATGAAAAACACTACATTAACATTATTTATGATAGGGTGCAATTTATACTTTTCGATGCGCATCTCAAAACGCATCAATCGATACGCAACATAACCTATATTGAGGTTATTTACTTTTTTTGACAGGTGTCAAAGATATTATTGGATACGTTCAATGTTTTGGTGAAAATTTAAATTTAATTAATAAAAATTAATGATGTTTTTTGGGATGATACGCGATAATGTTAATAAAATTGGTGTTGGGGATTAAAATTATGAATAAAAGAAAAATAATTTGATAATTGAGTTAGGCGGGAAATTTGAAATGTTTATCTTTATTTGAACTAATTAATAAATTAATTGATAAATATTCGCGATGATAATTATAATCGATAAAAGGCGATATTATCAATGATAACCATCGTTTATTTATTTTATTTTTAGTATTTCCCCGTTTCTCTCATAACCCCACCACGAAATAAAATTTCCCACTCATCTTTTATCATATATCCAGAGAACATGCGGATTTATACAACCCATAAAAACGGTGAATATTAAACAACAATGTGACTAGTAATCGTTGCGCTCCGAACACGCTGTTTTTTTACTTCTATTTTTAAATCGGTGATGTTTTAAATTGATAGAAAAAGCGTAAAAGTCGTCACTTTTTATATCATCACAATAATGGCATCGTCATTTAAAAAGTATTCGAGAACTGTTCTCAGGGTGTTCTTTTTGATTTTCGGGTACGTGATGTCTGTGTTCTTTAAATTGGCGTATAGAAGCAGGGGCAAGAAGATGCCCCCGATTCGCAACTTGATACTTCTCGATTCAGCTACCACGTTGGCCTACAAAATTCGAACGAGAAAGGTAACGATACTAACGATGTACAATGAAATCATAAATTATCCAAATTTATTCTGTGAGATCTTTTAGGTTATAAAAATAACGATTTTAAATGAGGAAGTGTACGTCATTGTCAGTAATTTATATTCCTTTTTGTTCTCTATGAGTACAACCTCAAGTGTGTGTCCTTTGTGATAACGAAATTGATTTGAATTATTGATAGTGATATTTAAAAAGAATATTGATAAGGAATTTATTATTTAAAAAATTATTTCTGAAAAAAGTATTAATCATAATTAAGAAATTTTACGTTTTAGAAGATTAAACATATGTTGTAATTGCTTTTATCATCTTACGTAATTAACAAGATTGTTTTCAACTATATAAATGTCCGGAATTGATAATTATAATTAATTGAAGCTTTAATTTTAACATAATTGTAATTTTAAAGTTAACTTAAACGTCAAAAGTGACGTTTTTAATTTTTTTTAGGTTATGTTAAAACTGACAATTAAATGTCATTATAATTTTAATATAATTTTAGCATTAACCTAATATTTATAACGTTTCTAATCCTGAATGAACTTTAATTTAGTTAATTTATGTATATACATCTTTTTGTGCATATAAATTCATCTTTGGAGTTAAATTCAAAGTTAAGTTTGAGAAAATGTATGGAATTGTACTGGATAGATGCCATGCTTCAAATAAAAGTATGGAATTAGCTTGGTCAGGCTCAAGACTTCAAAATCAAGTCTGGAATTAGTACTACCAGACAATACACAACAAAAATTAGTTTACACTTACTCTAGGTAAAGTCTAAACTTAGTAAAGTTAAGGTCCAAACTTCAATAAACAAACTTACTGGATTCCAGACTGAAGGAAAAAGTTTTGGAAAAAGGGCAAAGCCTTTAAAATTAAAAAGTAAGTTTAGAGTACAAGATAACCTAAAAGACCTAAAAGAAAAGTAAAAACGATATTGCTGAGAATGGAAGAATGTAAAGTAAGACTGAACATAGAGGAGATGGAGACTGGTAATTACAGAAAGAGGTTTATAAAGGAACAACTAGACTGGACAGAAAGGAGGAAGACTAGAAAGGGACTGGTAATAGAAGAAATACATCTGTCATGACAAGAATAAGACAGATAATAGAAGAAAGAGTCTGGAAACAGTAAACAGATGGCGAATGGAGACTAGACAGAGAAGAAAAAACTGGATAGAGATTGTGATGGAAATAAATAGACAGCGAGCAAGAACAGAGGAGAGGAAGAGTAGAAATACTGGACAGAAAGCTCTAAAACTGGAAAGAAATGGGAAAAGACTAAGTACAAAAGAGGAACACTATAAATTGATTATCATGGTAAAACAGAGCACAGGGGAGACTTGAAACTGACTGCTATGACAAGAATGGTAATGACAGTAAGGTACTGAACATAGAAAAACGAGGTAGAAGGGAAACACTGACAAGTGAGAAAAGAGACTGGGTAGAAGTATGCGTGGACACTTGAAGTAGATTATTAATAGGAGGAAGAGAGGAAAAAGATATAATTCTAAGAGGAGGGAAACTGATAATAGAAGAAATGGATTGAACAGAGATTAGAATGAGAAGAAGAGATTGGGCAGAAAAACATTTATCACAGTATTTTCATAAATATAATTAAAATTTGAAGTTTACAACATTAATTCCATAATGTTAAGCTTTTTGATTAACTAATTTAATGCATTCCAAGATATTAACAGAAATTGCTTAAAAAAGCTTAGAAAACATATTTTTTCCACATTCAACTGGTATTTCATTTTATATATTTTTAAAGAACCGATTAGTTTTGTTATTTTTTCAAATTATATCCTTAAAATGAACTGCATCACAAAAAAGGAATAATATATATTTTTTGAACAAAATCCCCTTATCGATTACTTTGTTGTCTACAATCTGCAACAAAGGTTGCAATTTGTGTTATTTTCGAACCATTACGAACATTTCGTTTCAGTCATAAATAGACGGTGAATCATCGTTAAGTATTTACTTTTAAATCTCACACTTTAATAAAAACAATTTGTGGGATTCGAATTTATTAAAAATCAATTTTTTCTTTTCACCAAACCAGGTAACAAGTTTGGAAGTTGTCGAATCATTCATTGCCCGAACGAAAGAGATTAATCCCACGCTTAATTGCTTCGTCGACGATCGATTTGAAGCCGCGCGAAATGAAGCGAAAGAAGTTGATGAAATTATTAAAAGCGGAAGGATGACCGAGGAGGTTTTAGCGAAAGAAAAACCATTTTTTGGAGTTCCATTTACAACTAAAGACTGCATAGCTGTTAAAGGTAATTATAATAACTCAAAATTAATTATAATAATAATAAAAAAAAATTTGTTAGGATTATTACACACCTCAGGTTTATATAAAAGAAAAAATATAAGAGCAACTGAAGATGCTGATGTTATCTCAAGATTAAGAAACGCTGGAGCGATCCCGATCGGATTAACAAACGTTTCTGAGCTATGCATGTGGTATTAATCAATTTAATTAATTAATTAAGTATTAAATTAGTTTTTAATTAGGTGGGAAAGTAATAATACAGTTCATGGTCGTACAAATAACCCATATGATACAAATCACATAGTTGGGGGATCTTCTGGTGGTGAGGGTTGCGAGCAAGCCGCCGCTGGCTCAGCTTTTGGGATAGGCTCTGATATTGGTGGCTCAATAAGAATGCCATCATTTTTTAATGGAATTTTCGGCCACAAACCCTCAAAATTCATCGTTTCAAATAAAGGCCAATACCCCATCCCTAACAGTAAAGAACAAAACAGCTTTTTAGGTATTGGCCCAATGTGCAGACGAGCTGAAGACTTATTACCCCTCCTAAAAATAATCGTTTCATCACCACTAAACGAATTAAAATTAGACGAAGATGTAAACATAAAAAATATAAGATTTTTTTATCAAGAAGACGATACTGGTGGAGTTATGACATCGCCTGTTAATTTAGAGATCAAAGAGTTATTTAAAAGAATTGTACTGCATTTAGATAAAACCCACAAAATCAAAGCGCAAAAAGTTGAGATGAGGGAATTCGCAAAATCGAGCGCGATTTGGTTGGGGAATATGACGTCGCCTGGACCAAATTTCCAAGAGCAATTGAGTAATTTAAACGGGAAAATTAATCTTCCTTTAGAATTTACGAAATGGTTCCTGCAAATTTCAAACCACACGATTATCGCGTTATTTACAGCGTTGGCCGAGAAATTTAGCCCATCTTTTCAGAGCGAAAAACATCTTTACTGGGTAAATCAACGCGATGAATTTAGAAGGAAATTGGTCGATTTATTGGGCGATGATGGCGTGCTTTTGTACCCGACTCATCCAACTCCAGCTCCGTTTCATAACGAACCTTTAACTAAAGCCTTTAATTTCAGTTATACTGGAATAATAAACGTTTTGGGATTTCCTGCAACTCATTGTCCCATGGGGCTCAATTCTGATGGTTTACCAATTGGCTTACAAGTGATAGCTAACGATAAAAATGATCGATTATGTCTCGCTGTTGCTAGATATCTTGAAAAAGCTTTTGGGGGGTGGGTTCCGCCCGAAATCCAAGCGTAAATGTGATTATTTATAATGAAATCATACGTGTAAGAAGATGTATTTATTTTTTAAAGCTTTTCTGTGTGTCGCACGTTTTTTTTATTGTGTCACTTTATTTTTCTACTTAAGGAAATATATATCTATATACAGTGTACAATTTTAAATAAATATGTTTTGATTAAAAAATTAATTTTTTTTAATCAAATTAAGCTACCTATATGAAGAGAGTTGCTATTTAGACACTTAGAGTAGAAAGAACTTTGATGGAAATGTTAATGAAAATGTTTCGTGCTACTAAAAACATCTCTAGGATACTTAAAAGACATGGAAAATAGAAAAAGCTGGTTGGTGTGTGTCAAAATGGTTCTGTTCGACTAAAAATATTTCTAGAAATACCTCTAGAATACTTAATTAAGATAAAAATATAACGAAAAAAGATTGTGGTATTTTTGAAGAGTTCCAAAAGGAATAGAAAATAGAAAAAGTACTTTGCGATTATTTAATAATATTAAAAGATGTCAATAACATTAAAAATACGTTTTTTTGAAAATTTAACGACTTTAGAATATGGGAAAAGTTGATTGGTGTGAATCAAAATGGTTTTAATTGATTCAAAACAACTCTAGGATACATAACAAAGGTGAAAGGATTAAAAGAGTGATTTTGGTCTTTTAAAAAAGTGTATTGATGACACTAGAAAATAGAAAAAGCTTATTGGTGTGTGTCAAAATAGTACCAAATGATAGAAAATACACGCTATAGTTACCGAAAAGTTACTTTTACTGATTATGAGAAGACTTGACTTCCTTTCAAAGCTGTGGTGTTAATCTAATTACTGCCATTTAGTGTGATGCATGCTTAGTTAGGTATTTTGAATGTTTTTTGTGACTAAGAAGTCTATCATCAAAGTAGATTTGACTTGGTAGTTGGCCATCCTGTTCAGCCCCATTGATCTTTGATAGGAGAACTTGAGACTGATTGTATGTCGAAATCCCACCGTAGGATGGCATTAGCGTCTATACTGAAATAATTTAATTAAACCAACAGTTTTATTATTAATAGTGCGAATGATGAGAGACAGCAATAACAATTATTACCAGTATCATTCTTTTAATTTAAAAAGTATAGATTCCAATTCGTTATATTTTTTAATTTGTCGCAAACTTCAACTTTTAAAAATTTATAAGTTGAAGTTTGTTCAGAATGACAGATGAAAACGTCATTTTAAAGTGATTTATCGGTAAGAGTGTAATAAAGTAATAATGGTAGGATTAAATAATTAGATTATAATTAACATTATAGCTTTGTTTCAGCTAACGTTACAACTGGTTGGAAGCTCGTCAGATGCAATCTCACATGATGCAGTGATATTCAAATGTGGTGGCATTATTTGACAAATGTAATTGCCATAGGTAATTGCATCTGAGGAATTCCCAACCAGTCAGAACGTTAATTGGAGTTCTTCAAACAGTTATTCTGTGGTTGGAGCCAGTTTTATATATAAATCCAATCCAACCTGTATTCTAGTGGTTCGGTTCTTAGCTGAATAATTCCAAAGTATCCCCAACAGATGGCGCCACATTAAATTTATTAAACACGAAATTTTCATCATGTATTAAGTGAAATGTGATATTTTGAATGAATCAACCTCATATTTCTATAAAATTTTCACAAATTACCAAAAATTCGATAAACTTTTCACCGAAATGAACCATTTTCGAAAATACCCCCAACTTTTTGAGATAATTTTTAAAACATGACAATTCTCTCTATCAATCAAAAAACCTTAATTTTACCACCTATTTTGACGTTTTAATTTTACATTTAAAAATAGGTCCCTCAACAGTACCATTTTACCGCTACTATTTCGACCTACTCCTCGATTTTATTTTTAGGCGAATATACAAATCAACTTTACGTTTACCCCCGAAAAAATCGAACTCATCCTTGTTATTAATCCGGCCAATAATCGACGAAAGCGCTTTATCGTTAGCGCGAAAAATCCGCTATAAAGATCTTAAATGCGAACAAGTCGTTCGAGCGTTTATTAACCGATGCCAAGAAGTAAATGCGATTTTAAACGCAATCGTCGACGATAGATTTGTCGATGCAATAAATGAAGCACGCGAATTGGATTATAAGATAAAAAATGGGAATGTTACCGAGAATTATTTTAACGCGCATCCTTTGCTTGGAGTTCCTTTTACGGTTTCTGAGATGTTACCATGTGAAGGGATGAAATGGAGTTTAGGATTACTTTCTAGGCAAGATGTTGTAGCGATTTCAGATGCTAATGCGGTGGGGTTAATGAAAGAGGCTGGTGGTATTTTGATCGGGGTTACGAATATATCTCAAGTTGGGTTTTGGACGGAAACTTACAACCCTGTTTATGGATTTACAAGGAATCCTTATGAAATTTATAAAAGTGTGGGGGGATCTTGTGGTGGTGAAGCTTGTATTGTAGCAGCTTGCGGGTCACCGATTGGTATTGGAATCGATTTTGGGGGTTGCCTCAGAATCCCTGCGAATCGTTGTGGGGTTTTTACCCACAAATCTTCTCCAAAATTAATTTCAATACAAGGAAATCCCCTTTTTTCAAACTCAACGGAAAATAACATCGCGGTTATTGGCCCCATCGTGAAATATTCCGAAGATCTAAGCTTTATCATATCAATCTTAACCAAACTTGACGTCTCCCGATTTTTATTTGACGATGATATTCAATCAAGAAATATTCAATATTTTTATTCGTCTCGATCATTGTGTGGATACGCAAGCCCCGTAAGAAAAGAAGTTGAGAATAACATCAAAAAGTCTTTTCTTAATTAATACAATTTTAGTTTGCAAATAATTTTTTTTATTTTAGAATCGTTAATGAACTCAATAGGTATTCAGTAAATGAAGCAATTTCGCTCGAAATCGATGAAACCGTTGATACAATACCCATCTGGGGGTACAAACTCGCTGAATGTAACTCAGATTTTAAAGAGTTAATGCGAAATGAAAAGAACGAGGAAATACGCCCAATTAGAGAAGCAATAAATTATTTTTTTGGTAAACGTGAATACTGTCTTTACACAATTTATAACTTACTTGGTTTGATTGCTATAAAGCCAACGAATGATGACCAATTAAAACAAGTTTTAGATAAAATTAAGGATATTTTTTTGGTGATTAAAATTAATTTTGTTTTAAGGGTGATTAATTTTTTTGTTAGGATATTTTAGGAGATCACTCAGTGTTATTATTTCCAACTGAACCACTTCCTTTGGGATACCCGTACGAGTCATTATTGAGACCACACAATAATTCTTATTGCGCTTTATGGAGTGCGCTAGAATTCCCAGTAACTCAAGTCCCTGTTGGATTGATTAAAGGATGTCCAATGGGTGTACAAATAGTGGCGGGGCCTTATAATGATCATCTTTGTTTAGCAGCAGCGAGGACTTTGGAATTGTTGCTTGGTGGTTATAAAGAACCAAGTTCTTAATAACAAGAATAAATATATAAAAATGATCGAATTTATATTCTTATTTATCTGAAATTAATCTTTATAGTATTTAGACGCTCGGCTAATCCAGAACGTTTCTAGTTCTAGGTCTAGTGTTAGTTCTAGTTTTACACTATCACTAGAACTTACACAAAACTTAGAACTAGAACCATTGATAGATTGATCATAGATTGATTTTACTATCCAGAAATTAAATGGGGTATACATAGTAACTAAATAGCGTTTCCACATAATCATTCTAATATCTAGTGCATAATCTGGCATAGTTATTGGTTGCATTACTCATAATGATTGGTTTCAATATGCAATAATTAGATACAGTCACTCTTCCGAATTAAAAAATAGAGTATAAAAATAGTATATTATTATATGAGCATATAATGAGGGCTATTATTACTATATAATACTTATACATACATATAATAGCTCATTATATGCGAGTAGAATTTATTTTTTAAATAAATTTTTGAATTAAGTTTAAACGTCAAATGTGACACAAATTCAATGTTACTAACTGTAACCAACTTCACAACAATTTGTGACAATTAAAATGTCAATTTTATAAAACGTCGTTTTTGTACGGAAATTAATTAATTTATGCTTAAATCATACGAAAAAAGGAATTTGTTTAGGTTTTTTTAATGTTAAACCTTTAGAAGCTCCTAAAAAAATTGAATTAAATTGACGTTTTTTAAAATTTTAACGTTTCAAATAATAATTATTAGTCTGTTTTAGAAAACTCATACATAAGGTATATATTAAAAGGGAGTCGTAAAAGATCATTTTTGTGTTATTTTTTGCATGCTTACGCATTATTTTGATGTTTTAGCATAATTCAATAGAAACTTTATTAATCGAAATCGGTTAATTGGGAGCTAACTTCACATTATAACCTTCAATATAATTAAAATCATGTTGTCATCCACCTGTCATTAAAGCAATAATTTATTCTAAAAAAAATGATTCTTTTTGGTGGTTATTTTTTCCTTATTGATTGATAGGGTAGGAAAAGCATGCAAATAAGAATTGAAAGAAATTTTAAATATCGCGGTTGATCCAAAGTAAAGTGATTTCGATTGGCGGGGGCCCGATGCGCGCGCAAAATTTCGAGACGGCGCCGCGGCCGGGCAAAAATCGGATTTTCGTTTTATTTTCGGTCTGCATTCCGCGCGGTACAGACTCATCGTCTTCGAGTATGGGTGACGGCGTGCAGTACTTCGAGGGGGTTGAAAAACTTCTAGAAATTTGGTTCGGAACGGCGACTTCCGCGGACGGGGGCGCCGATCTCCGGAAAATCCCCAGGTTTGTCAACGGCATTTTATTTCAACACAGTAACGGCCGCAATCCCGTTGATAATCATCGTTTCGCCGGCCGCCCACGATCGATTGCCTCTTGTTGTTTTTTTTTTTGTGTCACTCATTGACAGATGAAGTTTTTCATTGACAGTTTTGAATTTTTTTTTACTTGTGTTTACAGAAATAAATTGGAAAATTTATTGAAGATTGTTCGATGTGAGATTATTAGCTTTTGCAGAAATGATAGGGTCGACGCTTATGTTCTCAGGTGAGTTTATTTTTATTTAAATTTTTTATTTTTGAAAAAGTTGCCAAAAAGATGGCAATCTTTGCCAATGCTTTTACATTGCATGAATGGAAGAATTTTTAGCGAAATTTTTATTTATTTTAATAAATTTATTAAATAAACATTTTCGTCTCAATTTCACTGATAAAAACCAAGGCCAACCTAGATTATTCACCTATACTTTTTTTTGTAAACATTACAACTATTTATAGACCATTTTCACGTCATAACTGAGTGCAACGTCGTCGCTACGATATTTTTAACCTACTTTGTTGCCAAAATATTACGCAACCTCACCGCTAGTTAATTAACATAAAAAATTTGTTATTTTTATCACTTTTACACGTCATTGTGTTTCGATCGCATGCATTCCTCGTTTCATATCAATTTTTTATTTTTTGGAAATTCCCCTAACTTTTACCCAACCTCGTATATACACATTACATTACAGGGTGTAATCAAAATTTATTAGATCATTTCCTTCCTATATTTAAATTTATATTCAAATCGAATTTTGATAAAAAGGAGGTCAACGTAGTTTAAGCGAAATTCGGTGATATATTTAGATAGGTTAAAGGTTGCATTTTGTTGATACAACTTTATAAATACTTTGTGATGATAAGAAAATGATTTAGCGAAGAGAAATCGTTTCCGTTATTTTTTTTTCTTATTTAAAAATAAAATTGTGGATAGAATTTTTTTTTGTTGTATTAAATAGGAAGTAAAAAAGTAATAACTTTATCGGAGAACTTAACCTGTAAGATTTTGAGGTTATCTAAAATCTGGGTTTATTATAAACTTTCGTATCTTGATAAAGAAGGAAGCACGTGAAGTTAATATAAATAATTTTTTTAATCGATTTCTATATCGTTGAATATCAAAAAATGTGTTTGCTCAACCTGTTTCGGATGTGGGACATCATCAAGGTCTTTACATGATGTCATTTTAATCAATTATTAAAATAAACGCTTTTGGGTACACAAAATATTCCTTTCTGTTTCTGAATAGAAGCAATTTTCGCTAAATACATGGCTTGCCCCTTTGATTTGACGTCCTATCAGACATTTCTAGTACATTTTTTAACTTTCTAAGTGTATTTTCTTCCCAGATTTAACGAGATCTTTCTCTAGGCCTTCTATTCTCATCTCCATCTCCTCCACTGATGTGATATTCTCTCTTCTATACTTGGGATAACTGGGCCGTACCCTGGTAAAAATCTTTACAAGGTACCTTTAACTGGACCAGCTTCTCGAATACTTCTGTTGAGTTGGAATCTCCTTTTTTCAATGTAAAGTATAAGTATTCGGGGGAGCAAGAAGTTTCTGTTGGGTTGGGTTAGAAATTAAGGAGGTTATTAAACGTTCTTAGTACATCTATCAAAACTTTGAACTTATTGGAACTTGCCATAATTATTTTTTTAATAGTTATGTTGGGTTGAAGAATTTTTTTGCTATATTTGTAACAATGAGCAAGTTATCAGGCGATTCCAGAGACTTTATGAGAATTTTCAAGGTATTGGAACGTGTCAGAATTCATTTCTAACAATTATGGTGGCTTGGAGAATTCTTTTTGCGACATTTGTAACAATGAGCAAGTTATCAGATGATTTCAGTATGTTTATTAGAATTTTGAGTGTTTTGGAACTTGTCAGAATTCATTTCCAATAGTTATATTGACTTGAAAAATTCTTTTTGCTACATTTATTAAAGTGAGCAAGTTATCAGATGGTTTCTGGATGTTCACCAGAATTTTGAGTGTATTGGAACTTGTAAGAATTCATTTCCATAGTTAGGTTGGGTTGGGTTGGAGAGCCCTTTTTGCTGCATGTTTATCAGAATTTTGGGCGCATTGGAACTTATCAAAATTTATTTCCAACAGTTATGTTGGGTTAAAGAATTCTGTTTGCTACATTTGTAACAATGAGCAAGTTATCAGATTGTTTTTGATTATTTATCACAATTCTATTAAGAATGTTATCAATTCCGGTCCTAATATTTATCCAAATTCTAAAGATATCGAAAATCGTCGGAATTTTTTTGGATTTTGAAACTACTTTTATTAAGAACTTGTCAAAATTTGGTTCTAATAATTCTGTGGTGTTAGAAAACTTCTTTTCACCGTTTACGGGGTCCCGTAAAGTCGATTGCCTTCTGATCTTTGATGGTAATACTTTAAGGTCTGCCCATGTTCCAGCCCTGAGCAGGGTACAAACATGCCATAATTAAAAAGCTAAATTAAAAAGTATATATACACAATATTATGTTTATCAGAACTCATCAGAGCTCTGCGCTAGAAGTATGGTTCTTTTTCTCATTAACTTCTTCCAGTCCTATTCTTTTAGCTGCGCTTTCAAGTTCCAACGCGTCCAATTTGTCATTAACGATCTTTTCACATAGTGATTTGTCTCTCTTTTTGTATATATCACTCTTATTTCGCATTCCTCTGGTATCTGCATTACAGTATTCTGATCATTTTAGAACTTAAAACTATTTTGCAATAGTTTTGGTAAAAGATAAGTTACCGCCCCCTCATCCAACATCCTCTCCATGTGGCCAAGTCATCTAAGTCTGCTTGAAGTCTAAAGTATGAGCAAAAAAAAATTACTTTGTGGCAGAACTATATTAAGTTGTGGCAGAGTAAACCCAAGTTATAATAGATCTTATAACACTTTGAGTAGTTAGTTTGGATTCTTTTTTCATTTAATAACATTTCCTTTCTTAGCAAGCTGAGGCGATGTCTCATAATTAATTAGGGAGTACCTAAATGTATTAGATTTGCTTAGAGCAAGATCGATGACTTGCTAAAATGTACTTTTTGCAAACTTGTAAGATTCCTGAGGATGACTTGATTATCGAAACCGGTTTTATGAAAGAATTAGGAATTTATAAAATACTGCCGATTCAGTTCTAATCATCACGGTATATTTCCGTCACTTAGATATGCAATTCATTTTTCAACAACAATAAATTCCAAGAATGAAATTTCTTCGTATCGATTACTTTTATACACGAGTTATAACCGTATAAAACAAAAGAAGAAAGCTATATATATAAAGCTTTTTAGTGTCTCCCTCTATGGCGATAGCCGCGTCGCAGCTGCTGAATCGATTGTTCTGTAGCCAAGGTCAAGGTCGATCTGCTTTGTTTACTTTTGTATGCAGACTCTATTATAATTTTGATTTCTAATTTTAGACATTTTTTAAAAATTTTTACTAAACTCATTTTTACCGATTTAACGGGAAAAAATTGTTTTAGTGATAACGGAAGGTCGTGACCCATTCTTTGCGATCTAGTTCAAAGGTTAAAGAAAAATGACCGTTGGACAGGTTTTCTAAGATAGATTAAAAAAATTTTTATTTTCAAAAATTATCGCTTTCTGGTATTTCTAGAATTCGATTAGTACCTAAATAATTTTTGAAATGATCCTAATTTTATTAAAGAAATTAACGCTAATTTTTATTTGTTTATGTTTTAAATAGCGAAAGTTCCATGTTCGTGTCAAAACGTCGCTTCATCTTAAAAACATGCGGGACTACTACACCTCTTCTATGTCTTGAACCTCTTTTGGTTCTTGCAGAACAATACGCTGGTTTTACCGATGTAGAAGACCTGTTTTATTCGCGCAAGAATTACAAGAGACCTGAACTACAAGTTTCGCCGCATCAGCATTTTGATGAAGAGGTTTCAATTCCAAATCTTTTTATATTATGTATTAATTTTATATTTTTTTAGGTTGCTCTTTTGGACACGCTATTCCCAGATGGTGCTGCGTATTGTTTGGGTGCCATAAATAAGGATTGCTGGTACCTGTACACTTTAAATCCGTTCCCGGAAAAAGCGGTCAAACCGATTTCCGGTTCCGAACCTGATCAAACTTTAGAGATTTTAATGACAGATTTAGATCCTGACATTATGGCTATTTTTTCTAAGGAGGAATGTTTAAATGCAGAAGAAGCCACAAAGGTAATAAATATATGTATATTCTCAACTTCGTCATTGATATTACCAAATATTAATTTTGATATCTCCCAACATCTCGGTTTCCTCTCAACGTTTCTAAACCTATCCATGAATCTAGTAATCTCTATCTAGTCTTATTGCCAATTTATGAAGATCTATCTCAAGATAATTTGTTTATTAGATGTTTTTAGGCCAAAGCCAGAATGCTAATTAAAGCTTTATTTCGAGTCGAAATTTCTGTATATATTGTGGGTAGTTTCTTTAATGATGGATTTTTAAAATATCTTTTAGTTTTTGAGATATTAATTTTTAAATATAATAAGCCATTTTCTCATTCTTCAAAATAAACAAATATCTTCAAAAAATCGTAATGAATCGTGACTTTAATAAATACTTATGATATCATCAGCATTTGTAATATAAATTATAAGCTTTCCAATGAAAGAAACGGATTTTCAAAATATCATTTAGTTTTTGAGATATTAATTTCTAAATGTAAGGCATTTTCCGCAATAAACATTCATTTTCAAAAAATCGTAATAAATCGTGGCTTTAATAAATACTTATGAAATTATCAGCATTAGTAATACAAATTATAAGCTTTCCAATGAAAGAAACGGATTTTCAAAATATCTTTTAGTTCTTGAGATATTAACTTTTACACATAAGGCATTTTCTAATTTTTCGAGATAAACAGGTTTCTTCAAAAAATCGTAATAAATCGTGGTTTTAATAATTACTTATCATATCATCAGCATTTGTAATACAAATTATAAGCTTTCCAATGAAAGAAACGAATTTTCAAAATATCATTTAGTTTTTGAGATATTAATTTCTAAATGTAAGGCATTTTCCGGAATAAACATTCATTTTCAAACAATCGTAATAAATCATAGTTTTAACAAATACTTATGAAATTATCAGCATTAGTAATACAAATTATAAGCTTTCTAATGAAAGAAACCGATTTTCAAAATATCATTTAGTTCTTGAAATATTAACTTTTCCACATAATAAGGCATTTTCTCATTTTTCGAAATAAACAAGTATCTTCAAAAAAATTCTGTATTGTTTCCTTAATCACAATGTAAAAACTTCCAAAAAAGTCGTATGATAGATGTACATATATTAATATATATATAAATTATTTTTTTAGAAATCTGGTATTGATAAATTAATTCCAAATATGGTTATAGACGATTTTCTTTTTGAACCATGTGGATACTCAATGAATGGAATCTCGAAAAATGTAAGTTATAATTATTAATACGAATTAATTTGAGTGAGTAAGTTGTTTTAAATTAATTGCATGTAGACAACCGTGGAAATATCTTCAGTAAGTATTAGTAGTCACACATTTTAATTTTATTTAAGTATTTTGTCTAAACGTTTTCCATAAAAATAATACATAGACAAAAAGGACGAAACTTGTGTAAGGAAACGCCTTATATGCTTGGTTCGGCGCGAAAGCTTTTATTTACCCGTTTCTCTTTGTTTCATTTTTTATCCAGGGATATTACATGACCATTCATATCACTCCCGAGTCCGACTTCTCATATGTAAGCTTTGAGACGAACGTGCCTGCTTCTTCCTATTGGGAAATCATTGTTAAGGTGTTGGATACTTTCTTACCTGGGAAATTTGTTGTTACTATTTTTAGTAATCAGGTAAGATTCGATTAAAAAATGATGTTATTTAATTTTGAAAAAAATTATTTGATTCTTTCAGACGTCGCAAGCGAAAGGTTCATCAAAAGAACTTCAATATCTCGGCAAAATCCGCGATTGGACTCGGCGTGATATCCAACTTTGCCAGTTTAAAAATTACGATCTTACTTACGCGTTTTATTCTAAATTCCCAAGCTGAGGGTGTCAGGCCGTGCTGCGAGCCCTCGCAGCAACCCTTTTTTCCCCCCGTTCCAAAACCTCTTTTCCCCCAAATTTCCCATCTCGTTTCTTTCGCAACAAAATGAAATCACATGATCCGCCGCCGATGGTTCTCCAATTGTACGTTTCGTTTATTCGCTCTTCGTTGGTGTTCTCGTTCACCGATTTCGCATCGCCCCTGATTTTGTTTTCATGGTGGCGCAATAAGATTTCGTGAGGGTCGCTAAGAAACTTTTAAGGCAGCGGCCGACGCAGGCCTCCCTTCAACCTATGAGGGTTAGGGTTGGCCCCCGGGCTGCCTTAAAAGTTTTGCGACCCTGGATTTATATGTGTTTATAGAAATCGGCGCGCAGCTGTAGGTACCCTCTGGCTGTTCCCCGTTTCGTTATCTTTTTGCTGTGAAGAGTGGGCCTTTATTACCCTCTTCTTTTTTTTCGTACAAAATCACCAGTCCACGACTGTGCCCAAAAATAATAAAAAATTAAATAAAATCTCGCGCTCAGTCGTAGACGTTGAGAATATCGTTAGTTTTGTATCGATTGAGGTAGTCGATTGTATCTCTCTATCTAGAAACTACCTGATTAAAATAAAATTAAACTTAAAAGAATTAGATTTATTTTGTATGTTAAGAAATGGAGTTATATCTAGTTTTTACTAAAAACACACATCATAATCAAAATTTAGGGTTTAGATTAATAGTTTGTAAGTTTGTTAGTTAATGGGATGTTTTATGTAAAAATATATATTGAAAATAAAAATATTATATTGTATCTTTTAGTTTTAATGTATTCATAATTGAAAAGTATAATATAATAATATACAGGTGCCCATTATGTATGGAATATAGTATACAGGTGTACAAAAAGTATGGAATTATAGTTCTACAGCCTAAACTTCAACTTATATTAAAAAAAGTTTTAAATAAAAGTTACTTGAAACTGTTTTCCGCATATCTTGGCGTAGAAATAAAATAAGAATGATGATGGCAGTCTGAGTTACGACATGGTGAGTGTGTTTTTTAAACGGAACAGCCTGTATATTTTAAGGTTTTTGGATTCCTTTTGACAAGGTGTTGCAAAATGCCATAAGGTAATGCTTTAAACTGCATAGTTTTCGAGATATTGAAACTTTTATTTAAGAAGATTTGACGTAGCGACAACCAAATTATAGCGTCATTATGGAATAGACAACCTAAGCCATGCAGTTTATTATTTTATTTATTATATAAATAAATAAATTTATTTATTAATTTTAAAACATTTAGAATTCTTTGCAATTATCTCGCATTCATAACAAAGTCATTAATTGTAATTAATTCAAATCGATTCTAATTAAGAGAAAGAAATTGAAAATATCTTTTTTTGATTTAATCCACTTACCTTGTTTATAATTCCCTAGATAAACCAATTTTGAGTTAAATACAGCCTTTTAAACCAATTAAATAACACTTTTCCCATAAAAAAACTTAAATTCAATTTCAATTTTAACAAGCATCTGGAATATTTGGATCTTAATCACCATGGTAACCGAGTCAAGTTGGATAACCTAAAAATAATAAAATTTTAACCTTAATATTTAGCTTTATATTTTAATATTTTTTTTATTTATATTATTTTATTTCTTTTTTATATATTTTTGTATATTGCTTCTTAAGTGAAATACACTGTATAAATAAAAACATAGAAATATCAATTCTTCCAATGACACAGCAAGGCTTTTGCGAGGGGGTACGTTCATAACAACAGCGTTCATATGGACTTGGATAACCTTATACAGTATGTTTACTCAACGGACCTTGGTTCTACTCATCTTTTGTGTCAGGTTTTTGAAGAAATGTTTGGTTAGGTGTTGATTGTCAAAGTTATTATCTCATAATTTCCGTTTAATATGCTTATCTTTTGATATGTGTGTATCATAGGAATCAAAATATCTCTGTAATGTATGTTGTTGTATTAGTTTTGATATATTTGGTAAGATTTGATCAACATTAAAAAGAAATTGTTGTCTCTGAGAGTTATAATTAAGCAGTTTTGATGTATTGAAGTCTACATAATTTAACATCTACACTAATACTTAAGTTTATTCTATTGAATACATCCTATTTATAATAGTTTACCTAGTTGACCTACAAAAATTAATAATAACCATTTAAACGTTTTACAATTATTATTTTGTGATGTAGTACAAATTATTTGGAAAAAATCTAAAGAGAGTGCTTATAATATTAATGTAAAGAGTAAAATTGTTTTCATTGATGGTTTATGATGATATTTGGTAATTGTTAATAATAACCAAACGTATAATTCTAAAAATATGAGTTAACCCTAAAAATAAAGATAAAAAGTTTTATTTTAAAATAATAAATAAAACACCTAAAAAGAGTTTATTATTAAAAAAAAAAACTTGGTGTAATAATAGATATTGATACAGATACAGAAAAGTATTTTTATAGGTTAAAATATGTAACTGTCATTTCCGCGTCTCTAAAGGAATTTAGTCGGCGCCATCTAAAGGTGAGCAACGAATACTCTCAAAAACACAGAGTTGTCAACAAAAGACGTTACGGGCAAAAGTGACCGTTTTCCCCCTTCGCGAATTCATGGTACAAACGTGTTTAAGCCGCCGCGTGTGCCCCAAGTGACACAGTGAGCCCCGCGCTATTCGGTGTCAAGTTAAATTATGAAGAGACGCAATGCTGAGTTCGGAAAAATGAGAAGACCCGTGAAACGGACCAAGATCGAGGGAATATACGGCAGGTGCGTTCAGACTGTGAGTCTGTATTCGGCACGTTTTTTAACTTGCTCACATTCTAACACACCAGCGGGACCATATGTGTCCCAAAATGGCAGGATTATCAAAATTTTATGAAATTTTTGATTTCGCCTCGGTTTTTTTTCGAAAATATCCGAGCGGGTTTAATGAGCCGATTTAAAATCGAGTGATTAATCGGCTCAAATGGCGTAACTACTTTGACAACTGTCATTTAGAATTTTTTTTAGGTTAGGGTAAAACGTCAAAATATTTACATCAAGAAATGCTATTTTTAAAAAATTAAGTAATAGGTGCTATTATTTTATTATTATAATGAGTGTTTTCTATGTTTTTTATATATAATTATTTTAAAAAATTACAGGTTTTATCATAAAATTACTTCATCAATTAATGGGATGTTTTAAATTACTTAAATTGTTTGTTTAAAACTATTAGATAAAACAAACATGAACATTAATAATAGTGTAGTGGTTTAAATATCTTGTCATTGTGGTTTGATGTAGAAACGTATTGATATTTGAGCCTTAAATTGATCGATATGATATTGGGTTGCAAAATTTTACATCTGTAATGGACTTAAATAAGGTGTCTAATGTTCCTAAAGTGCTAAAGTTAATCAAAAATTAATTAATAACGATTTTATATTACAGAAAAAAAAGTATTCATTGTGAGATGATTTTTTTGGAAATTGGAGCAATACAAATTCAAGGAAATATAAAAAAGATATTAATTAAAAGAGTTGTGCTTATGGGAGTAGTTAAAAATCCACCATTGGAAATGACTAACACCTCAAGATGAATGAAGAATAAGATCAGGGTTAATGTAAACCTTCTAAATCAAAATTGTTTTAATAAAACTGACTGGTGAAAATTGACTGGAGTTTTGTAATCAATTATATAAAGGAGTGAAAAAATGAGATCTTGTGTTTATCATCCTGGTCATAAATTATGCTGTTAATATCTGGGCAAAACAATGCATCAGACAAGCAAGTTTATTGTGAAGGTCAGGAAGAGAAGGCTACCAAGACTTACTATATCCTGAGTTGTGTGTGTTTGGAAAGAAGTAATCCAGAAGGATAAGACATGGGTTTACAAAGCAGTCATTGAGCCTATACTTACTTAAGACAGTGAAAGATAAATAGAAAAGACATCAGTAGGGTTAATTGGGTCCAACTGAAATGCTTCCAAAAATTACAGGAAAGACACAGACTATGGAATAGGCTGTATTAGAGAAGAGCTCAATATGCAGCCAATCTAGAGAATGATTGAGGATAGACAGCTATATTTTAGCCACATGGGCAAATTATAGGCTATCTTAGAAACTAAAAAGAGATACGAAAATCCCCACCTCTTTTTTCGAGACTAATCCAATCCAAGAAATACCAAACCTCTATATTCTTTTGTTTTTAAGTTATGGCCAAAAAGTCATATTTTCGTGATTTCAAAAAATTTCTTCTCATATTTCGTTTATTTTTTGAATTAAAGAAACCTCTTTGCTACACTAATAACTGCATTTAATATATGTACAGTGTGTTAATTAATTATCGTACCCGACGTCAACATTGCAAGTATGCAACCAATATCACAGTATTGGTATTGCAATACGCAAATCGCGTACAAATCGCTTATACTGTGATATTGGTTGCATACTTGCAATGATGACGTCGGGTACGATAATTAATTAACACACTGTATGTATGTATGAGACAGAGAAAAATATGGGAAGACACAGTGACGCAGTTCGTGGGCAACTGAGAGAGAGGAAAATCTTCAACGTTAACCATACCCAGTTCAGGAAGTTGCCCAAATTAGCTTATTTTGGAAATTTTCATGCTGTTGCAACATATGGTATAGTTATTTGGGGTCATTCACCTGTCTTAAAAAGAATTTTTGGTTTGCAGAAGAAGATGGTGAGAGAGCTATATGCAATCTTAAAACTACCGACAGCTGTAAAGATGTATTTAAAAAAGAATGTATACTTACCCTACCAAGTGCATACGTTTTGACTATGTACCTTGATGTATGTTTATGACAATGGAAGTAAATTTAATGCGAATGCAAACTTTCACACATACCACACAAGAGGCAAAGAAGAACTGAGATTACCGTTACATAGGATAGAAGCGACTAAAAGATATGCTGATTTCTGGGGAGTTAAATTTTTCAACAAGTTGCCAGAAGAAATCAAAACTATGGAACGAGGACACTTCAAAAAATGTGTGAAGTCGAATCTGGTCAAGAAAGCCTACTATGTATGGTCTGATTATATGCAAGATCAATTTGTGGAGTAACAAAGTTAATTTGTTTTATTACTATACTTATTATACATACAGGTGTCTCAGCGAGACCGGTCATTAGGCGTTGTTGGGGTTCTGGCCAAAATAAAAATTTGAGAATTTAGACTTAAGTATTAATATTACGTTCTCTTTGACTAAAATATTTTCAGATTTCTAGCACTTCCGGTTATACCGGTGACCTACTTTATTTTTTTAAATGGAACACCTGTATATTTTTACATATTTGGATTTGTCTGCTTTCAAGGTTTATAAATAACTTTACTTTTTGCAATTTGATACGACCATTCTCGAGTTGTTCGAATTTTTTTAGAAAAATCTGCTCCAGCAGACATTTGTTCAAAAAATCAGAGAACACTCGATTTTTGGGATATCAATTTAGAATTCAGAACATGCTTAAAACGTACACATACATTATTTACGTTATTAATATACATTTTAACTGGTTTTAGACTTACAAGCATCAAATAACGTAAATCAGACTTTGACGTTTGTCAATAAGTCATTAAACATTTGTTTTCCATGGCACGCTAGGTTAATATCGACATGATATGTGTGTATTTTTCAAAAATATCCCAAAAATCGAGTGTTTTCTGACCTTTTGAACAAATGTCTGCTAGAGCAACTTAGAGCAACTTAGAGAATTATTCATAAACCTTGAAAATAGACAAATCCAAATATGTAAAAATATATAGGGCATTCTATTTAAAAAAATAAAGTAGGTGGCGATTTTCGGTATAACCAGAAGTGTTAGAAATTTGAAAATAATTTAGTCGAAGAGAACGCAATTGATAATACTTAAATCTGAATTCTTAAATTTTTATTTTGCTCCCTAGAAACGTCTAATGACCGGTCTCGCTGAGACACCTGTATATACACATTTCTTTTTTGTATTAGTACATTGCTTTTGACTTTTCACTGTAATACTGTATTACTTACGTGAATAAACATTATTATTACCCCAATGTCACCTTAGGGGTTCGCTGGGGTTAGTTATTATCTCATCCTTGACCACTAAACTAATTCTCAAAATGTTAAAATGCGCTGTGAAACTTAATAAATTATAAAGAGGCTATTTATAGAAATTAAGAAATCATTTTAGAATCAAATTAATGCTGAAACGTTCCTCTTTAATATAATAAAGTTTTTATTACTTTAATCAAAATGTTTAACATCAATTTGATTTTGTTTGTTTCAGTGCTTTCCTGTACGTGAAGTTGTTAGTGTTGTGGGTATTGGTAATACTAGCAGACTTCATCCTCGAGTTTCGTTTCGAATTCTTATGGCCGTTTTACCTATTAATTCGGTCGGTATACGACTCGTTTAGATACCAAGGTCTGGCGTTTTCGGTGTTCTTTGTGTGCGTCGCGTTAACATCCGACATGTTGTGTTTCTTTTTCATCCCGGTGCAGTGGTTGTTCTTTGCGGCCAGCACGTACGTGTGGGTGCAGTATGTGTGGCACACGGACAAGGGGGTCTGCGTGCCGACGGTGGTGCTGTGGGCGGTCGTCGTTTACTTGGAGGCGGCGGTACGGTTGCGCGACGTCAAGCACATGCCTGGACATCTCGATTTATGTCGACCGTTCGCCGCGCATTGCATCGGGTATCCAGTTGTTACACTCGGGTTTGGGTTTAAATCATACATCGGGTTTCGGATGCGGCAGAGGAAGCAACGGGACGTAGCGAAAGAAAACGAATTTTATATGCAATTAATGCAACAGGCTTTACCTATGGATACTACACCACAGGTAATAAAATAAATCTATTTTATTAAAAATACATCTTTTGACGACTTTTTATATTAGGTTCAAGAAAATCCTTCAACCACAATAGTCGCATTAAACCATTCAGTACAAAAAGAAAAGAAAAAAGAGGAAAGAAATGGGCATGTTTCAAATGGAACCCTAGCGAACGGAGTCCACAGTCAGAAGTCGCAAAGAAAATCGGTGGAAAAATTCAAAGAAGAGAACCATGAGAGGCACGAAAAACGAGATAAACCTAGTCACGCACACACAAACGGACTCATTACTCAAGAAGAGTCCGTGCCTCATCCTCCAATCGTTGAAGCAACAGAACAGAAGCCTCCAACGACGAGGCGGAGAGAGAAAAAAGAACAAGATAAAGATCGGGAGGCGGCCGAATGCCTACAAAGGTTAGAATTAGAAGCGAAACGATTAAGAAACGAGTTGCAATGCTCGCGGTCGAGCGAGCAAGATTTAAGGTTGCAAGTGGCCGCTTTAACAACCAGCGAAAAAGTATTAAGGGGTGATATACTCACGTTACAGCACAACGTCGAGGACTTACAAAATAAATTACAAAGTTCGCAGAGTACTAAAAACACAGACCGTCAAATGATTAGTTATTTAGAACGTAAGGTTCAAGAGGAGAAACGAAACCGACAGAATTGTGAGGCACAAATAGCTCAAGAACGAAAAAGTAGGAAACAAGAAGAAGCTAGAGCTGCGCAGGTACTTTTTATTATTTTAAATCATAAAATAATCAATTATTTTATAATTAATTTTGATTAAATAGGTTGCGGCACAAAATAACAGGGGCGAATGTACAGAGTCGTGTAAATCGCGCAGGCGCGAATTAGAAAACGACTTACAAGAGTGTCGAACGACGCAACGATGGACTGAAGAACGTATGGCAGCTTTAGAACGGGAGAACACATTGTTAATTGAGAAATTACGCGACACCGATTTGCTTAGGTCCGCGCTCGATACGTTGCAAGACCAAAACACCCACCTTGAGAATTCACTCTCCGCCGAAACGAGAATCAAACTCGATCTATTTAGCGCTTTGGGTGAAGCGAAAAGACAATTGGAGATACGCGACAGTAAGATGTTTTTAAAATTTTTAAATTAAAAAAAGCTGTATCTGATGATGCACGGCTATACCCGAAACTTTCTAAGTCTAATGTTAATTTTAGTTTGAGTTCAAAAAATCACTGCGTCCATATTTTTAAGAGATAGAAAATGATTTATGTCTCAAATTGAAGATTAAAGATTCTATTTTCAGATGATATATGTAGGGTGTTTGATTAAAAGAATTTTATAGATAAGGGCGTTTGAAGAAATATTGCAATTACGTTAAGTTTGAAATTGTCAAAAAAGTTAAAAATTTCAAAAAATCACTGTTTCCATATTTTTAAGAGATAAAAAATGATTTATGTCTCAAATTGAAGATTAAAGATTCTATTTTAAGATGATATATGATATGTAGGGTGTTTGATTAAAAATTTTTTTAGAAAAGGACGTTTTAAGAAATGTTGAAATTACGTTAAGTTTGAAATTGTCAAAAAAGTAAGAATTTCAAAAAATCACTGCGTCCATATTTTTAAGAGATAAAAAATGATTTATGTCTCAAATTGAAGATTAAAGATTCTATTTTAAGATGATATATTATATGTAGGGTGTTTGATTAAAATTTTTTTTAAAAAAGGGCGTTTGAAGAAATGTTAAAGTTACGTTAAGTTTGAAATTGTCAAAAAAGTAAGAATTTCAAAAAATCACTGCGTCCATATTTTTAAAGAGATAAAAAATGATTTATGTCTCGAATTGAAGATTAAAGCCTCTATTTTAAAATGATATATTATATGTAGGATGTTTGATTAAAATTTTTGTTAGAAAAGGACGTTTGAAGAAATGTTGAAGTTACGTTAAGTTTGAAATTGTCAAAAAAGTAAGAATTTCAAAAAATCACTGCGTCCATATTTTTAAGAGATAAAAAATGATTTATGTCTCAAATTGAAGATTAAAGCTTCTATTTTAAGATGATATATTATATGTAGGATGTTTGATTAAAATTTTTTTTAGAAAAGGACGTTTGAAGAAATGTTGAAATTACGTTAAGTTTGAAATTCTCAAAAAAGTAATAATTTCAAAAAATCACTGCGTCCATATTTTTAAGAGATAAAAAATGATTTATGTCTCAAATTGAAGATTAAAGTTTCTATTTTAAGGTGATATATGATATGTAGGGTGTTTGATTAAAAAATTTTTTAGAAAAGGACGTTTTAAGAAATGTTGAAATTACGTTAAGTTTGAAATTGTCAAAAAAATAAGAATTAATACACTAGCGCTGAATAACAACTAAACCTAGAACTAACACTAGACCTAGAACTAGAAGAATCCGGGTTTAGCCGTCTTAAGAGACGTATGGCTAAACCCAAATGTTTCTAGTTTAATAAAAATATACAACAATGGTGGTGAATTACAATTAAAACTAGAACTACCGTCCTTGATTTTTACACCATATAGATATTTAAATATACTGATTTATTAAATTGATAATATTAATAATAATATGTTTTGTGTTAGGTCAAAATCGACTCCAAGAAAAAGAAATCGAAGAATTAAAAAGTAAAATTGCCCAAGTTTTGGCGGTGATGCCAAATGATACGTTTGGAAGTCCGACACCCTCCAGCGCGATATCGAGGGTGAGACTGGCTGAAAGTCCCCCTGGTTCGACGTTGGATCCAAACGCGACGGCCTACACCCCGAAAGGCTCGCTGGTGGCGTCAACAGAGGCTTGAGAGAGGCGGAATCGTCGAGTGGCGACCCAAAATTATGATCGGTTTCCGACAGCAGCATCAGTCCCTCCATCGAGCCCCCCAGGTTGTTCTCCCCCGGCTTTTCGTTAGCTTGTTCAATGTGATATAATTTATATTTACTACTGTGAAAACGGCACTGGAGAGGTATTTTTTTTTTTTTTTGATCTCTAGCGTTTTTATTTTCTGTTTTAAGGATATTGTTTTGGTTTTGCGCCGGAATCTGGAGCGCTTTTTCAGTTGGTTTATTATTAATTTTTTTTTAAACATGTTTCGTTCCTATCATTTGTGATTATTTAATTTTTGTGCCCCGGCATAAATTATTATTGAGAATCCCAGTTTTATTTTAAATCATTAATTCATTATCCTAGGTTTATTTTTGCGTATTTTACGTCCTAGTCGTTCTACGCAGTATTTTTTTATTTTTCAATTTTTAATCGGTTGTGTAACGGAGGCCGGCTTTACTTAAAAGAAAAAAAAATAATTTGAATCTCGAACGAACCCATTGATTTCTTCTTGTACTTAATTAAAAGAAAATAATTATATTTATAATTCGACTCGAAATATCCTTCACTTCCGTCGCTTCCCACTCCGGATCCAAGCTTATCCCTTTATCACCACCAACATGAGAAAAAAATTAAGGGACTAAGCTCATGTTTTTACTTTTATCGAACGTCACGTCGTTAAATCAGAGAACTAATGTAAAAAAAACTTGCAAAAAGAGATACTAGGATAGGTAAAAAAGTGTGTCGCGAAGCAGAAGCCATACGATTTTCGCTCTCTATATGTTACGAGACCGTGAAGTATTTGACAGTGAAATTATCGAGAAAAAAACGTAACAAGAAATAAAGTGCATAAATGATTTAAATTGTTTTTTTCTCTTAATGGTGTTAAACTTTCCCGTATATTACTAAAACTACATCTGTTTTGAGCATATCTTATGGATTCGTTTAGGAATAAGAAAGGATGATCATATAAACATTTTTTGTAAATTGTAATATTCTGGAATGATGTTATAGTACAATATGGAGAACATCAGATTAAGGCACTATTCTTGAAACTGCATATAATGAAGGAAAAAGAAATTTGTTGACTAATTGGAGATATTCTCTGGACATCGGCGCTCATTGTTGCACTAAACTGTCGCTTAAGGGCTGTGAAGTGATCGTTGGTGAAATTCTTGACTTTTCTGTTGCCCAATAGCGGTAAGTTTGTTTATTTACAGTACTTCACAAGTTACAGTGAGCTTCATCAGACGAGAACAACACACCGGAAACGGAAATGTCCTGAAGAATGTTTCCATACACAACTCTGCATAGCAGATTAAGTATGCAACATATAAGCATTAGATTAAATATGCAATATTTAAACCTTTTCTTCTTCATCAACGACGAATAAAAAGTTTAATGCCGAGGTCGCTTGCGGCCGAGGCAGTAGATTAAGTATGCAACATTTAAATTTTTTCTGCTTTATGTCAATGACGAACAGAAAGTTTAACGCCGAGGTCGCTTGCGGCCGAGGTATAAGATTAAGTACGCAAAATTTAAGCCATTTCTGGTGTATTAATGACGATCAAACAAGTTTGAAGCCGAAGTCGCTTGCGGCCGAGGCAGTAGATTAAATGTACAACATCTACATTTTTTTTTTGCTTTATCAATGATGAACAAAAAAGTTTAACGCCGAGGTCGCTTGCGGCCGAGGCAGAAGATTAAGTATGCAACATTTAAATTTTTTCTACTTTATCAATGTCGAACAGAATGTTGGAAGCCGAGGTCGCTTGCGGCCGAGGTAGAAGATTAAATACGCAACATTTAAGTCATTTCTGGTGTATCAATCCTGGTGCATCCTTATTCTACTGCCTCGGCCGCAAGCGACCTCGGCTTCAAACTTCATTGTTCGTCGGCAATAAAGCAGAAAAATTTAAATGTTGTGTACTTACTCTACTGCCTCAGTCGCAAGCGACTTCGGCTTCAAGCTCCCTTGTTCGTCGCTAATAAAGCAGAAAAATTGAAATGATGTTTACTTACTCTAGTGCCTCGGCCGCAAGCGACCTCGGCTTCAAATTTCTTTGTTCATCGTTAATAAAACAGAAAAATTTTAATGTTGCATACTTAATCTAATGCCTCGGCCGCAAGCGACCTCGGCTTCAAATTTCTTTGTTCATCGTTAATAAAACAGAAAAATTTTAATGTTGCATACTTAATCTAATGCCTCGGCCGCAAGCGACCTCGGCTTCAAATTTCTTTGTTCGTCGGTAATAAAGCAGAAAAATTTAAATGTTACTTACTCTACTGCCTCGGCCGCAAGCGACCTCGGCTTCAAACTTTTTTATTCGTCGTCAATAAAACAGAAAAAATTTAAATTGTGTTGCAGTGCAAGGAAAGTTTCTTGAATACCGTGAAAATTTGAATAAATAAATAATATAATCTATAAACACTTTATTTGTAAGATAATTACATATTATAGTAAAATATTAGGGAAGATTACTTCAACATAATTTGTTACCTATATTTACTTTTTCATTTTTTAAACTTTATTTAGAAATTATCCATTATTACTGCCACCGACTTTTCTTTCTTGTTGGTTGTGTTGGAGTTTGCGATTGTGGAACATCCGAACTAGCTGTGAACTGTTTCCATAAAAAGAAAATAAATAAATCAGTAAAAAATTTAATAATAAAAAATAATACCTGTGTTTGGTATTGTGCTCTAAAAGCAGCTTTCATCGCCGACAACCGATCAGTAGCCGGCCCCCTTGACGCTTGTTGTTGTTGACCCCCCGATGAAGAAGACGTCGAAGCATTTTGCGCCTGCGGACGATTTACTTTCTCTTTAAAACCTAAACCAAGTCCACCTATATTTGGATTTTGATCTTTTCTCTTAAACCTACAAAAATCAAATCAATAAAATAATTTTAACTTTTTAATATTTCTAACCTTGCTTTTCTAAACCAACTACTTTGTAATGCTAAATCTAAAACTTCTTGCGGAACTTCTTGATGTGCCGCTTCCAAATTTCTCACAATATGCCCAGCGAATTCTTTATCTTTATCGGTAAGTAAAGTGTAAGCATCACCATGTGTTCCAGCTCGACCGGTTCTCCCAATACGATGTGTATGGGTATCAATATCTCTCGCAATATCAAAATTGATAACAGTTCGAACATGGGGGATATCCAACCCTCTTGCTGCAACATCCGTCGCAACCAACAACGAACAATCCTTCTTTTTAAAACTCATAATCACTTTGTTTCTGTCGGCTTGTTCCATGTCGCCGTGTAAGAGCAAACATTCAAATTCTTTTACTTGTAAATCTTTTGCGACTTGTTCCGCATCTAATTTTTTCGTTACGAAAACTAAAACAGAACCAGCTGACAATAATTCAACTAATTTATCAAATAACCATTCTCGTTTAGCAAGTTGATTTGGAAGGAGTAAAACGTGCTGAGTTACATCTTCATTTGCTTGGCCTAAAACTCCTTGCGAAATTTTAATGGGATCATTTAAAGCATCTTTAGCTAATTTCTCGATTCTTTTTCGAAACGTTGCGCTAAATAACAACGTTTGTCGATCAGGTCGAACATGATTACAAACTGACCGGACTTGCGGTTCAAAACCTAATTCAAACATCCTATCGGCTTCGTCCAAAACCAAAAACGTCACCCTTTGCAAATTAGTAGCTCCCCCTTTAATATGATCGATTATTCTTCCAGGAGTTGCAACAATAATTTCAGCCCCTTCTTTTAACGCTTGACTTTGTTCCCATTTTGAACCACCTCCATAAGCGCATAAAACCCTTACATCATAAACGCGAGCAAATCTTCTCGCTTCGTTGTAAATTTGCAGAGCTAATTCACGAGTTGGAGCTAAAATAAGTCCGATGGGGCCTTCTCCGGCTTCTACGGGAGGTTGGGCGGCTACATGCATTAATAATGGCCATAAAAAAGCGGCCGTTTTACCTGAACCAGTTTGAGCGATACCTAACAAATCTCGCCCGAGTAAAGCACAAGGAACAGCTTGGCTTTGAATCGGGGTTGGGGTTATATACTCAGCTCTTATAATTGCTTTTAAAAGTTTCTCGTCTAAATTAAAATGGGCGAAAGCTGCTACAGGGCTCGGAGTTGAATTTCCGGAAACTGTTAACCCTAAAGTTTTACGTAATTCGTTGACTTTCGATGATGTTAGATTTTCTATTTCGGGGTGGAGTTTGTAAAAATCTTTTTCAAATGGGGGGTAATTTATTGTTGAGTGATCGATTGGGGGGAGTGGATCGATTATTTTCTTTTTTTCAGGGGGAATTGGGTTCCCGTCTTCATCGTATTCTATATCTAAATTGTCGTCATCAACCGGGAGTAAACCGGCGTTTGGATTTTCTTCCATGTAACGATAATAAGATTCTTCATCGTCTTCTTCTTCTAAATCGTTTCTTACCCCTGTTTTTTGAGGCCGATTCGAATGTTTCTCAACTTGCATCTAATATAAATAAAGAAGAATTAACTTCAGTATAAATCTAGTAAAGATTTATTAACCCTAGAAAGCTAAACTGTTCAAAAGTGACGTTAAAGCTAAACTATCGTAAAATTTACGACTGGAAAAAAAATTTAATAAAAAATACTCTTTTCTAGATACAAATTTTGACATTAATGAATAAAATTACTCAAAATATATCATTGAAAACATATTTAGGTCAAATTTGGAAATTACAAGTCCTCAACGCAATCGACACAGCACTTTCCGCGATATTGTCACAAATTGTTCGTGGTGTTTTGAAGAAGGGCCCTTTCTAGAACCGAAACTTTCAAGATATCCGTAATAGATTGCCGGAGTTTGCGAGTCAAAGTTGGGTACTGTAGCCGCTTTTGAATGGTTCGATAAGAATGTGGTGTATTTGCATGGAAAATTTTCTTCTTGAAACCGATTTCTGACTTTTCACAACATTAGTGACGTAAATGATTCACAAGTACAATGTTCAGAAAGCCATGTGAGTCTGAAGACGCACGGCTAAACCCGAAACTTTCTAGTTCTAGTTTTATGTCTTACTCAGTGCCAGATTGTTGTATAATATATCTTTATTGAACTGACTGACACACTAGACTTAGAACTAGAAACATTCGGGTTTAGTCGTCTTGAGAGACGAGCGAAAAATCATTAAAAAGTTTCTGGACAGGGCTGGATTAACCAGTAGGCGCTTGAGGCGCGCGCTTCAGGGCCCGGTTCTGGTTTGATATTGCATAGGCACATAATATACATAATACTTAAATGGTAATATTAGACTTCTTTTGGGGCCCACAAAAGGTGTGATTCGGCTCTGGAAATCTTTATAACTGACTAGAAAGCGTTTAAACACTATTTGATAATTATAGAGACCATTAGAAGGTTTCTGGACACTTTTGGACATCTTTAAAGTCCCCTAGTTTATTACTAGACATAGAACTAACATTAGACCTACTGTTAAGTACTAGTGACAGTGTTAAGTAGCGCTAGTAAGCACTAGATAGTGCTAGATTGTATGTTGTTATTGAACTAAAACTAGAATGTTTCTAGTTCTAATGTTACTACATTACATTGAATGTAATTCTAATGTTAGTTCTAGTTTTATTTATTATTTAGCTATTGTATATCTTTATTGAACTCGTAATTATTACGATAATTTAGCTTTTGAGGATTAACCTGCTGTTGTATTCCGGCCATATAAGCATCGAGGGGGTCATCTTCTTCATCGTCCTCCTCTTCAACCTCATCTTTTTGTTCTTGTTGGACAGCCGTAGGACTTCCAGGTGCAGGGATATAAGCGAGAGCGGGAGTAGCATCTTCCTCATCCTCTTCAAAATATCTACAGAGCCCCCATTACAATCCAAGTGGTCTCAATTTGAACCCCATTTTCTAAGTTTGTTTTGTACTTACTCGTCTTCTGTGACCGCCCGTTTTCTGCTGCCACCCCAAGCGGCGGACATTGCGTTTTGGCTGATTGCATTCATCGTGGAATAACCTTGTTTGCTTACTCCAGAAGACGGCGGAGGAGGAACCGCGTTATGACTTCCTTTGGTTTTGCCCATTTGGAAGCCGGTATAGTTAAAACTGCTCATTTTTATGGGTTATGGTGAGTTTTAGTCAAGCACTAACACTGTTTTTAATTAAATAGAAAGGGTTTAAAGTTTAAATTGCATTTTTTCGCATGAATATTGAAATAAATGCGGTTATGCGGTAAAAATTGACAGCAAAAAAACTTCATAACTAATATGAAGTTAGTTGCGATGATATTTCAATCGAATCGACGAAAGATATTTTAATTCATAACTACACATTTTTGAGTTAATTATTACCCAAAATATTAATTGATAATATACAATAAATAAATAAATTAAAATATAATAAGAATAGATTTTTAAATTTTTAATTTCCCACTAGCGCCATCTTCTGTTGTAATACGAATGTGAACTGACAGAATCAAAGTGAAGTTAGTTTTTATTTATCATCTGTCACTTTAAAACGTGTTAAGTGCCGAATTTTGATAAGATTAAAAACATGGATTTTTTAAGTAGACAAAAAGAAGTTTTTACGGTAAATATCGCATAAATAAGCACTCATACACGAAATCAACTTGTTTTTAGAATCCGAATAAGAAACCTTTAAATGAGTTAGAATTAGAGTACTCCTTCGTAAGTAAGGTTAGGAAATCTACGTCTGGGAAGCAAAAAGAAGCGGATAAAAAAAATTACGTTTTAAAAAAAGATCGAATCGCCGCATTGGTAATTATATTAAATAAAGACGATTAAAAGTGTTCATAAAAGTATTTTTAGGATGAAAAATGGATTCAAAAAGAACATTCTTATCACGAATATCAACCATATTATTCTGAAGTATCACCGGAAGAAAATAGCTTGTTTTTAACAAAAAATAAGTTATTTTTGGATAATTTGACTTTTTTATTGCAATGTAATTACCACCAATTTTGGAATTATATGGTTTATGAGCCTAGAATCAAGTCGATTTTGCATGGGTTTTTAGAAAATCCTGTAAATTGGTATGAAATTAAACATTTGCAAGGGGAATACCTTAAATTGTATAATCAGATTTATGAGAAGGTTGCAAATGTTTATTTACGACTTTTAACGTTTAAAGAATCTGATGTAAGTAAATATATATATAAGAGTTTTTATTGTTAACTAAAAGTTTACAATTTTCTGTATAATACAGACTAAATTTAACTTCCCTTATCACCCCCTCTTCATCTATTCTGCACCTGGTTTCTTTTCTTCTTTTCTCAGCTCACTACATCCCCTCAATATATGTTATAGCATCTGAAATCTGGCCACCAATCTCTCCCTTCCTCACTCCCCTCCTTCACCAAGTATTTTGGACGCTCTTTTGTCATTATGTCCCTATATCTTTCATTGTACCTTCCCTCTCTTATCTGCGTTCTTCTTTCCTGTCTCTGGACGTTCCTAACCCTGTCGCGTATCTCCCCCCATATCTCCACCCCTTCCCTTCTTCTGTTATATATCTCTCCTTTACCATATCTAATCTTCTCTTCCCTAACTTCTTCCCCCAGATCCCGTCTTCTATGATTTCTTCATATTTAACTGCTCCTTTGCTCGCCTCCACCTCCATTTCATCAACCTTCACTTCCTTCCTCACAATATATTCCGGTGTTTCCCTCGCCAGTCCCAGAACCCACCTCCAGTACTAATTCTGTACGTCTTCTAAAATATCCTCTTCCATCTCCAAATACATCATTGCACTCCTCACCAACCCATTAAACATAATCTTTCTCTTTCTGATGTATTACATTCACCTCCAACCTCTTCGCCCTGAAATACCTCTCAAAGTGTCTCACCATTCCTCTCATTTCCGCCACAACCACCATGTCTTCGCGTTTGCTAGTACGTGAATCTTTCTCCCTCATTCCAGCACTCCTCCCATTTGCCCCTTCTCCAGCCTGCCTTTCAAATCCGCCGTATACAGGACAAAACGACTGGGGCTCAGTGGACAACTCCTTTCTTATCCAACTCTATCTACTAGATGTTTTAAGGTAAATGTCAATCTCTTCCTCCAATCTTCCCAGCAGTATCTTCGCATAACTCTAGTATGATGAGTTGACTAGGCTGGATCTTGTGCACTGAGCATATTATACCCATCCTCCAACGTTTGGACACCCTTTCCCCCTCCACACATTCTTCAACGTCTCTAATAGCTTTCCTCTCACCTCTCCTGTCGCCTCCAACCATGCCTTTTTCTGTACGAACATACAGTGTACTCGATTTGCATATAGCAATACCAATACAGTGATATTGGTTGCATACTTGCAATGATGACGTCGTGTACGATATTTATTTATACGTTATTTATTTTTTAGCATGAATACATGAAAGAAAAAACAGCGGTGAAGTTAATTTTAGAAAATAAATTAATAACGTATCCCCTCATAATAAATTTTTGTTTGTTATACAACAAAACGTGTCGGGTATTAGTTAACATGATAAACGAGATTTTTTTCGATATAAATCAAAAAGTTATTTATGAGAAGGAGTTGGCAAAAATTTTTGAACACGCTTTATTAATTATCGAGATGATTGGGGGTTATATTTGCGGGTTTGAAGAAAATAGTGTTAAAATTCCAATCGGTATTAGGCCTAAACCCGCTAAATTCGACCCCCAATGGGTTGAAGAAGTCACGATTTATCTCTTGGACACTTCAGCATCGTTAAACGCATTTTTATCAAGTTGCAATAACGCGCTTAATGTCGCGTTGGAAATGGGGATTCCATACAGATTAACTTATTTTTATAACAATGTTTATTCCGTTTTATATGGAATGCTTGAAGATCGTTCTGAGAGTTTATTTGATGATCATCCCGGGTTAAAAGATCGGATCTTGGAATATATCGGGATTGGGAGGAGCGAATTTGTTAATGTTTTCCACGTTTTTATTACTTATTTAATCGATAATATTATTCAGAGTTTGTAAGTAATTAATTTTTCGCGATATAATTATATATCACAAATTTTTTGTTTAGAGGGGATAATGAAAAACAAGATAATTTCATGGAAAATTATTTGAAATTAATCTCGAATGCGTTAGAGGATGAATTTTTTATTTTCGATTATCAAAACGCCCACAAAATCGATGTCCAATTACAAACAATTTCCGATTTTCATCCTCACATGTAAATATTAAATAAATAACTAATTAAGTTTATTAATTAATTAATCATTGTAGTGACGAAACGAGGGTTAATTACATAATGGAATGTTTAAGCACTTTACCTACGATTGAAAAAGTGTTATCATTAAAATCTGATGTTAGTAAGCCAAAAAAAGATTTATTGAAACTTCCGGAAATCGAACCAACCCCTGGGACTTCCAAACAATATACCCCACCGAATGAAACCGAAATTTATGAAATAGCTAAATCAGTTTTAGAAACTTTACCCCATCTAGGCGATGGGTTCATTGTCGAATGCTTAAAATCGTTTAATTTTAATTCCGAACAAGTAATTGCTGCGATTCTCGACGAAAAATTACCGCCTCATTTAAATAAATTAGACAAAAATATGATTTATGTCCCCCCAGAACCAGAAGAACCACAACCAGTATTAGCCTATAAAGGAAAAAAACCCGCTTATAAAGACGCCAAAGAATTACTAGACGATAAACGTGATTTAAAAGAGATTAAAGATTTTGTATTAAAAACTAGTTCAGTAACTTACGATAACATTTACGATGATGAATATGATGACCGATACGATGATGAGCCGGGTATTTCGTTTTACGAGAAAGATGATGATGTTAGAAAGCCGGTACAAAATCGTTTTGAAGGTTATGAATTAGTTAGTGATCCTCCAAGTAGTTCGGAAGATGATGGGGAAGAAGAACGTCCTCAAAAAGCGTCGAATGCTTTTTGTGAGGATCCGGCGGTTTTAAGAGCTAGGCGGGAAGCTCAATTTAAAGGGAAAAATCCTCGAAAAAATGATGTCGTTGGTAAACCGAAAGGACAAGGGCAGGATAAAAACGTTTTGCAAAATAGGGATAAGAAAGGTGTGCATAAATCGAGTCGGGCTAATCATAATAGGAAGAGTGGAGCTCAATGGAAAAGAAATAAAGGTATGATTCCAATGTGATACTGTTGGAGATTTACAATGAAGATTTAATAAATTATTTTCAATAAAATGTGTTGAAATTATTATTATTCCTTTTTAAGTTTTAATAATTACAACCATATAAATAATCCTTACAGCTTTGAAGAACATTAAATGTTTAAATTTTAACGAGTTGCAAGTGGAACAAATAAGAAGAGTCGAAATTTAAATCGGATATTATTGAAAAAAGAAATTGTTGATGAACCAGGAACTAATACATTCAAGGAAGCAGCAACAATGAATGATAAGGTAATATTTAAACTATTATAAAGCCTTTTCAATTATTAATCTGTTAGTTACAAACAGTTACAGATTGGCAAATCTATCTTGGCTGGTTAGTTTCCTAGAAGTAGTAGGATAGTAAATCGTTGAAGTGAGATAGGTCAACATTTTTTTTTGCTACGGCGCATTTGACGTTCACCGGCCAAAATAGATTTACCAAGAAGTATTTCTACCTGTACTTATACAGCCCACAACAGAATACTGCTTCTGGTTTTTAAAATGAGTTTCTTTTTATTTCTTAAAAATCGCTCTCTTGGCAGTGACAAGAGGGCACTGTTATTAACACTTGGGGAAATTTTCAAACTCATATTCCAAGAAATTGATTTTATACGAATTTTTAAAACTTAATCGGCGAAAATTGCAAAATTCGAAAAAATTGTCGATTATTTCAAAAATGTATTTCTCAAGAACTAAAAGTGATTTTTGAAAACGGCTTGTTGCATTAAAAAGAGGATACTTTAATTAATAATTGGTGATATTTCCACAAGTATCCTCCAAGAAATCAATTTTATAGCTAATTTTGAAAGATATCGACGAAAATTGCAACATCGAAAATTTTATCAAAACATCAAATATTGTTTTCTCAAAAACTAAGTTATTTTTCAAAGCGATTATTGCTTACTTTACAGCTATGATTATAACTGATATATCTAGGAATATGTTTTAACAAAGGATAATAATATAATTCTTCTTTATACACTTCGTATATGTGAGAAGTGAAAATAAATTTCATATATTTTCGTTAATAATTAATTACATTTCAAAAGGATTAGAATTTTTATCAACATCATTTTTAAAAGGATTTTTATCATCATCTTCATCATCACCGCCTTCAGCAAAAGGATCTTTCGATTCGTCATACTCCTCAAAAGGATTCGTGCTTTGTATGACGGCCTTTTTCGGTGGCTCTTTCCTTGTCATAATTGGAACGGAAGTGTTTACCTCCATAATTGAAGAAATATTTTTCTCTTGTAACCGAATTCTTCCCTCACTAACGACTTGAATCATCGGGGAACCCCTGGCGTTTTCGATTTGTCGGATTTTCGCTTCAGCTCCGGGGCCGTAATTTCCATAACTTGAAGTATTCGAAACTTTTTCAACCGGTTTTATTTTATCTAGAACGTTATCGACGTTATCGGTGATTATTTTAATTTTATTAAAAACGCCTCTTCCAAAATATTCCGCAGCCAAACTAACCCCGTCGCTGCGTTTATCTAGTTCGGAGTGAAAAGTTTCGTTTAAATCTTTCGTGTTTTCTTTTGCTTTTAAAAGTTCGATAATCTTTTTGTTTTCGGGTTGACACGCGGGACATTCTTTTTCATTTTCCGAATAACTTTGGAAACATATTTGATGAAAACTATGTTGACACAAAAAATGAATACTCGGCAATTCTAATTGATGAGTACAAGCGGCGCAACGAGACCCTTGAATAACAGTCGGACCATTTTTTAACGTTTCCAATTGATCGCGTAAACTTTCAATATCTTTGTTATATTTACGCGTTAACTCGGAATCTGAATCTATGATATCTTGTTCTTTTTTAAATTCAGACATTATGTATGATGAAATGTGACCTAAATTTATGTTGGCTTTACCAGTTCCGATTGCTTCGATTACAAATTGTGGGGAAAGTAGTTGTTCTTTTGCTATTGCTGATAATACCTTAAAATGTTAGAGTTAAAAATAGTGATAAGTAGTGTTAAAAATAATACTTCTGGTAAAATATCCAATGGGGGATTTTCTTCATTTTGAACGGAATAAAATAAAGCATATGTCCATAATGAAGGTTCTTGTTGGCCGTAGCGTTTGCAACATGATAAAATGGCGTTTGTATCGCCTCGGGACATATGATATCTAAAAATATATCATTAATTAAAAATTTTTAATTAAAGATATAGGTTAAATAATGAAATATCTGGAGATTAATCTCCATGCGACACAACTATGAGGTTGCCTGAGTGGAACCTTGAGTTATCATCTGCTATAAATAAAAGCCGGATAGTTAAGGACGTGGAAATTGCGATGGATAAGTATAACTTCTGCATGGAGATGCAAGACAAAAATGATATTGGCTGAGAGGTTGACAATAATAGAGGATTCATTTAAAAGACACATAGACCACAAGTCTCGTCAACCCAACCCAACTGAATCCAACCGAACCTAGATATTTGCTCGAGTATGGATTGGCTAATAACAATACACGTATATTAAAAAGTTTGTACCAAAAATGGTTCCACCAAAGAAATGAACCAAAGTACTGAGTTAATTCATCCCACTGGAGATATTTGAAGAACCAAAAAAGGTTTTACAACGATTGTGCTGAAAGTATCATCGCAAGCAGAAACGATGAACATTAAAATTTATGGTTTTAATTGTTCAAGGAAGGACAAAATCAAATTTTAAGTATGGACAGTGACTTTAAAGCTAATAACTAATAAATAACATTTAGAAAAATTATTTTTAAAGTTTATTAAGCATAGAAATTGATTTGGAAATGGACACCAATCCACCACACCAAAGAGATCCATATCCACCAGTGAGGTTCAAAACACAATTAATGCGCTAAAAAACGGCATTGATAGCATACCATCGGAAATACTCAAAGTGGCAACTCTACAAGCTCCTAAAGTACTTTCATATCCCAGCAAAACTGATACGGCTAATACAAAACACCCTGACATGTACTGAAGCATGCATATTGGTTGAAACAGGGAGAGATCAATATCGAGCCTGCAACAATGGACAACATAGAAGTAGTGCTACTTTTTGTATACCTCAAAGTGAAATTGGACCGCGTTATACATCACTTGACTAACATTCGGGTTTAGTCGTGAAAAAACTTTCAGTTGTCAATGTCAACTTTAATTTTATTATTATATTTGTAATCTTCATAAAATAACCTTTAAAGTGAGTCCAAATTTGACGCATTTATCTTAAAAAACCAAAAAGTTCGAACTTTCAACTTTTAATTTTGACATATTTGCCAACTTCATAAAAAATCCGTTAAAATGAGTCCAAACTCGACATATTTAACTTTAATATTAATATTCACTTCCGGTTTGAAATGTCAACGTCAATTTTGACATATTTGTCATCTTCATTAAAAAACCTTTAAAATGAGTCCAAAGGTGACGCACTTATCTCAAAAAATAAAAAAGTTAGAATAAAAAAAACATTAAACCCGAAGTTAGCAACAATGAAGTTAGTAATTTAATTTTTAAATATTAATACCAACCTTAATTTTTTATTTTTTTGTTATAAAATTTATGTTTTTGTGACGAATATTAAGACATTTTATAAAAATTAAGAATATGTCAAAATGACATTGATATTTCAAACCGGAAGTTGCTTATATCTCGAGTAATATTGGAATTAAACGTATCATGTTTGGACTCATTTTGAAAGATTTTTCACGATTACAAATATGTCAAAATTGACGTTGACATTCTTAACCGGAAGTTGACCATAACTTCATTAATATTGAAGATAAATATGTCGTGTTTGTACTAATTTTAAAGGATTTTTAATGAAGATTAGAAATATGTCAAAATTGAGGTTGACATTTTAAACTTGAAGTTAGTTATCATATAATAGAAATTTTATAACTGAAGTTAATCTAGTGTTATTCACTTTTCCGCACTTTGTAAATTAGCTTTTTTAACAAAACAAAAAGAAATATTAAGAAACTTGTTTGTAAAATGGATAAAATGAGAGATGTTAATCTATTTGTAGAGTCTCTGAAGATGGTCAAGTGCCGAAACTGGTTAGACTTAAATTCTATATAAAATAAAAACCAGTTTAAAAGTACAAAATCAAACTCTAGATTATTTTCTTCAAAAAATTTTATACGAATCATCATTTTGTCTCTAGTTTTAGTGATAAAATTTATGCCACGACTTACAGAAACACCCTGTATGCCTTCTGTGCTTGTGATAGCTGTCATCGGTGTTCTGTGATAAAAATGGACAGACATCATACAATTTTCAATAGTTTGAGCTTGTCTATTCTGAGAAGTCTTACATTTTTAGAGAGATAAAAATCCCGTTTTTCTCAACATTATTTATTTATCGCTTAGTCAAGTGATGCATAACGCGGTCCAATTATTAAAACTGAATGCAAAGGAAAGAAGTTAACAGAACATTATTTTGCATTAACACCAGTGTTTAAGATGAGCTGGATGAGATAAAAATGGGAGAAGAGAGAATACCTAAGCGACTAATTGGTTGAAAGATGAGATATTTCATTATAACCTCAATATTAAAAAAAAAGAACTGACCTTAAAATTTGTTGATACAACTTTTGTTCTTCATACAAATACAAAATCCCTTTACTAAAGCCATGCATATGACACAGAACTAAAGCTTGCGGTTTATCGCATTTAGTATCGGAGTTTTGTAAAAGTTTCAAAATTTTTTGCGACCATTTCTCCTTTTCGGGTCGCTCTTTCTCCGCGCCCCAAACGTGTAAATAATGTTCTAAAAGCGTATCGTAAACCGGCGAACTCAAAAAACAATCCTGTTGAATTAAATGTTCTAAAAATTCAACCAGACGCGTCGAATTATTCAAGAATAAATGAATGTAATCTTCGGCGTCCGCTTTTTGAACTCCCTCCAACATATCGATGGTCGATATGGTCTCCGTTGCGTTATAATTAGTACATAATCGTTTTAAAAATTGTGTACTTTCGTAAGGGGCGTTTTGAATTAAAATACTTCCATATTTTTTCATGAAACTTTCGGCGTCTTTAAACGATAAAGTTGAAATGTACTCAACGACATCGTTGTATTTTTTATGATCTTCGATTAATAATTTAATGTACCAATCGTGACGTTTATGTTCTTTGGCTAATAATAAAGCTTCTTGTGGGTTACCCTGTCGGCATACTTTAATCGCTATATCAACATCGAATTTAGCTTCCCCATCTTTCATTAAAATAAATTCTTTTAAACTATCAGTTTTATTTAACTTAGTAAAACAATTTAAAAGTAACGTTGTGTGATCTTCGTTAGCTTGTCCTTGTTTGTGGATAGCCTCTAAATAAGTTGTTAACGACTCAATATGTTGCGAATCGACAAATTTCCTTATTACATAACTAGGTTCTAATTTCCCAATCGTTTTTATATACTGCTCAATAGCACTTGAATGCGCACCCTTCGAATATAAATGATCACCGTATTGTTGGAAAATATTAACCAATCCATCTGAATCGTATTGCTCCGATTTCGCAACTCTTATTGCAAAATCGTATAAATTCTTTTTAAATAAAAGCGATAATTTAGTTTGTAAATCTTTTTCGTCTAAATGATACACATTGTGTTCGGAATCTAAAATGTACAAAGCCCCCCATTCATTAAAAACAGCTTTAACCGCTTTTATATTAGCCGAAAAAATAATAAATTTATTTTGAATATCGTAAACGGTGATTGAGTGTGGCTCAATATTCGATAAATCGTTTTGAGGTTTATTTGATTTTGAAACGATCACTAAATAACTTCTAAACCATTCTAAAATTATTTTTTCGCCATCAACAGCATAACAAGGACCTTTTCCATCGGAAGTATAAAAATAAACCGCTTTTTCCGCGGCTATTACAAAATGACTTTCTTGTATTGATTCGGCGAGAACACTACAATTTTTCGAACAACCAATTGTGTCTAAATGAATTTTGTGTTCTTTATCTTTTTGTGTAATGTTATAAACGAAAACGGAAACTTCCGTTGCAATGAATAGTAATATAGCGGATGATGTTGATTTAAAAGAAAGACCGGTAACGGGAGGTCCACCATCTTTTAATATTTTTCCTTTCGAACTTCTATCGCGAGTTATATCACCTCGATAAAGTAATATTGATCCATCGGCAAAACCAACGACTAATAACTGCCGATTTTCATGGACACATAAAGCGTTTGCTTGTACTGGACGATTATTTGGAATGGTTCTTGTTACGCGACTACAAAACGGGGTGTCTGTTTTATCGGAATGACTTAAATCCCACACTTTAAGGGTAGGATTTATCCCAGGTTCGTCATCCTAAAATTATTTTATTAAATTTCATGGAAAAATTCAAGAATCATCATGTGGCTTAAAAATCGATGATAACTAAGCTATAAATTGTTTATTCTGTAGCCATGCACAAAATCAATCTGATAAACTTAAAAGTAAAGTTATTTTCACAAAACTAGGTGAGATTACAACGTATATTTATTTACTGATGAAACACCCTTGTTTTTCTTAGACTTTCGATACATAACGACTGACTATCTGTCGTTAGATAAACTGTGTGTTAATACTAGAACTAACACTAGACCTAAAACTAGAAACATTCAGGTTTAGCCGTCTTAAGAGACGCACTAGGAAGTCAACAGTCTCAAATTAGTTAACACATTTACCTTGTCATCCCTGAATCTGATTTTCACCAAAATTTGGCTTCGCCGGATTAAAAAAAATCAATAAAATGTTTTAACAAATTTAAATCGCAACTTCACGTAGTTAAAACTGTCAATTATTGATAAAAACAAAACGTAGTTGCCTGATTTACCGACAACTATATTTCTTTTCATTTATTTGTTTTCAAATTAAATATTGTTATAAATTATTGAATGCAATGCTTAATTTAACAACCCCGGAATCGTTTCATAAAAGTTTATTTCACAACATTATTTTTTAATGATTTTTTCGCTGTTTTAAGAAAAGTTTGAACTGTCAATTTGTAATTGGGACACAACGATATAAAAATTATAGATCGACTTTTATTTTGGTAGATATTTTTGAGCGATTTTTTTTTTATTTATTAATAATAACGGTTTCAATTGATTTGTTTAAGTGTAAATTAATAACGTGTGAATTAATTTTATAAATTTAAAAACGAATTAACGAGTTAATTTTTTTAGTATTCCGTAAAATTTTATATCTACGTGCTTGAGTATCAAATGAAATAAGTTTTTGAATTATTTTAATTTGATTTTTTTAATCAAATTAGTTAAAACATTTGTCATTCCTGAAACTGATTTTCACCAAAATTTGGATTTGCCGGGTTAAAAAAAATCAATAAAATGTTTTAACAAATTTAAATCTCAACTTCACGTAATTAAAACTGTCAATTGATAAAAACAAAACGTAGTTGCTTGATTTACCGACAAGTATATTTCTTTTCATTTATTTGTTTTCAAATTAAATATTGTTATAAATTATTGTGTTTTGTGTTAGTTCTAGTGATAGTGTTAGTGTAAAACTAGAACTAAGGTCCCTAAATTATCAAAGTACCGCGGTTTGCCGGCATTTCGACTCGAAAATCAAGCGGGAAATTTAAAACTATATCGTTCTGTTGATAAAATTACGCCAAATTTAATTTGTTTTTTTTTCTCGTGGTACTCTAAAGAGTCAAAAACCCTTCTTACTGCTATTTTTGCAACTCCAAAGGCAGCAAAGAAGTCTCTTTGACAAACTGTCAAACCGCCATTTTGTGGAAAAGTGGAATTCTACACAAAATTTTGAAATAAATCAATAAATTAGGTGGATCTGAATATGTTTGAAGAAGGAGGTAGAGCAACAGGTATAGATTTTATGTTATCTTTAGTTTATAGATGATAAACAAGGACATTTTGCCCTACTAGGGTGATTTTCCATCAATTTCTCTCGATTTGTAAGCGAGATGATGATTCTTGAATAATACCAATATCCTTTAAAATAAATTCAATTTACCCCAATTGTAATTAAATACGGTTCATTTTTAAGTTGATAAGCTAAATGTACTTTTAAAGCATACGCTTTAAACGTGGTTACAATCCAAGATCTTGATATTAAATAAATATAACCTTTTGTGTCTCCCAGAACTATTTGGTTATTTCCACTTGTCCAAACGGATATTTCTACATCCTAAAATATATGTTTAATAATAAAATTAGTTTTTTATGAAAAGGGAGATTATCAAAAAACCTTTAATGCGATTGATAATTTTCCATCGTCCGCTTTTTCTTTTAAATCGCAAAATGTGAATTTCCTCCACTGCAAAAATTAATTTGTAAAGAAATTATTTAAAAATTTGATTTTAATCACCTCTAGAAAAGGCATTTTCCGATTTTTACTATCGATTGACAGATAACATAACCTAAAAGTGTTTGTTTTGACTTTTGACAGATTAGCGACTAAATGAAACTTAGAGTGTTTGTTTTTCAATGGTTGGTAAGGATGATTAATAACAGCTATTTAATAACAGATGTCGTTTTAGGGTTGATCATTTTAGATCATTTTTTTAATTGTCGTTTTAATTAAGCAAAATCAAATTAAGTAAATTAAAAGAAAAAGAGGCGACTTCTATTATAATTAATAAAGAAACGCAAAAATATAAACTTAGTTGTTTAATTCTCCACCAAACCGTTTTTAATTTAAAGTGGCGACTCGAAAGTTTAAATTTCTTATTAGTTTTATTTTCGACCAACATTTTCAATTTTATCTAGTTATAATACTTGGCACTTTGATTATATATAATATGGATTGAGCTAACTGAATATATCTACTAGCAAAAATGTGGCTCAAGGTGAATAGACGCAGATGGAAAGCGATAATGTGAAAGTGTAACAAAGATAGACATAAAACGGTACTAAACAGACGGGCGCATGCGCACAAAAGTGTCAAACCTCTTCCATTTGACGTTTATCGTTTTGTTGTGTCACAGCCAGTCACACCGTTATGTTTAAAAATGTATTGTTTCGTGTGCAAAGTTCGCGATAATACAGTTTCACATCACCTGTAAGTATTATAAATAATAAGGAAATTTTATTTTATTTTATTTTTTCATTTATTAATTTTGTTTTATATTTACCGCCAAAATTAACGCACGCCCATTATATGTCAGTACGCTTCTATGTCTATCTCGGTTCGATCACCATGCGCAAGCTATCTCTCTCGTTGGCTCAATCCATATTATATATAATCAAAGACTTGGCAATAAATTTAAAATAAAAAACGCATTAAAGTGAAATATTAATTTATTTCTGACGAAAAAAAAAAACAATATTTAAAGGTACACAAATTTGTTATGTGACTTAAAAAAAATGCAACACAATCATCTTAGGTACGCGAGAAGTAATGAAACTTTCAAGAAACAAAATTAATAATTAAATTAATCGGTGGGGATGTGGTGGTTTTTTCCTTTCTTTCTGGTGAGATGGTTACACATACATACTATACAGGTATTAATACGATATCGCAATAAATAAAATACAGACGTTTTCGCTTTTTTTATACAGGGAATATCACTTTAGAAAATACTATACACAACTATTAGGTTTACTACTAATCTAGACAAGGTTTCTTTAATTTACTTTCTTCTAGAAGGCCATCAAGTTAGTTCTTTAGCGAAGAGTGCTTCGCGGAGATTAAAATTTAGTTTTTGCAAAAACGATTACGAATCAATGAAATGAAATGCAAACTCTACAAACTTAATTAACAACATATTCGTTTTTTTTCGATTAAATACTATGTTAATTAATCTATTAATTAATTAATCGATTAATAATTAATTTATAATAAACGCTATTATTAATAATAATAATAATAGTTTTATATACAGGTTATTTTTTTGTTTAAATAATTTACTTGCCTTTTTGTCAGTTAAGGTTTCTCTTTTTACTCTTTTTGGGGAATGTCCTTTGGTATCAAATAATTGGTAAAGTTTTGTTAAACTTAATCTAAACTTAATTATCATACATTTTCGTTTTATTTCATTATTTTTTTTTAAATATAAGTTAAAACTAAAAAAATACTTTGTTTAAGAAACAAAAAAAAAATAGTTAATATATTTGTATACATAAAGTGAAAAATACTATTTTGTTTCAAAATAAAAAAAAATTAACTATTAATAACAATATCACAAAATAAAGCAGAAAAAAGACATAAAAAATCAAAAAAAAAGTGATTGATTGCGTTTCGTGCTAAACATTAGTGCAACGTTAAATGTAACGTTAAATGCGACGTTAAGTGCAACGTTAATTGACTCATATTTAACATTTTATTACGAATTAATCGTAATTGATTATTTTAAATATTAAAATAATAATTACTTCTTTAAGGGACAAAATAATATAATCGGAAAATGATATTCCGGTTATCACTTATACAACTACATTTGCACTTAAGGGAGATGATTAATAAATGTTGTTTTGTTTATTAATTTTTGATAATAATGTAACATTACTTTTTTTATTCGTCTTGCTTACTATTTAGCCCGCTTTATATTGGAGACATGTCTCCACCCGGGCTATAATCCTTTAATAGATCCCGTAACCTCATTATTTCTTTCGTTGCGGCCGCTAAATCTCCTTGAAGCATCAATTCTTTTTCACGTAACCTTTTTATATCTCTCTGACAACTCTGAAAAGAAAAGGATATAGTTATTATTACTGAAAGAGACTAATAATAAACTGTTTTGTAATTCGCGACGGTAATGAAAGCTATTACAGTACTCAAACGGGTGCTGTAATGAGACTCCTTACAGCATGCGATATTATTCTTTATTTTTGAGTTAATTCTAAATCTTTTTTGTATGAAAAGTTTTTTTCCATCAGATATAATTAATGAGTTATAAAAGAAAATTGATGAAAACGTCAAAATTTCTATTTCGCTTACGTTGAGTTGGTAATGCTGATTGATGGAATTAATATCTTTATTCAATACGTCTTATGAGTCAATTCTAAACATTTTTCGTTTAAAAAATAATTCTCCATCATGCACAATTAATAAGTTATAACCGAAAATGATCAAAAACATCAAAATTTGGTTTTATTTTTAAGGTGGGTTGGTACTACTGATCGATGGAATAAAATAACTTATTGGATATGTTTTATAGATTCATTCTAAATATTTTTTGTATGAAAAGTTTTTTTCCATCAGATATAATTAATGAGTTATAAAAGAAAATTGTTGAAAACGTCAAAATTTCTATTTTTCTTACGTTGGGTTGGTAATGCTGATTGATGGAATTAATATCTTTATTCAATACGTCTTATGAGTCAATTCTAAACATTTTTTGTTTAAAAAATAATTCTCCATCATGCACAATTAATAAGTTATAACCGAAAACGATCAAAAACATCAAAATTTGGTTTTATTTTTGAGTTGGGTTGGTACTACTGATCGATGGAATAAAATAACTTATTGGATATGTTTTACGGGTTAATTCTAAATCTTTTTTGTATGAAAAGTTTTTTTCCATCAGATATAATTAATGAGTTATAAAAGAAAATTGTTGAAAACGTCAAAATTTCTATTTTTCTTAAGTTGGGTTGGTAACGCTGATTGATGGAATAAATATCTGTATTCAATACGTCTTATTACACGTTTTTAGCATCGAATACAAGATCCACAATGATAAGGACATTGAACTCTGAGCAATTTCTCTTATTTTAGGAGGTGTACATGAAACATTTTTTTCAGGTGAATACATTTTGTGTTTTGACAATTTCTAATTGTCAATTCAAGTTTCTATTTTCAAGTGTTATGGTGTTACCAACTGCTACATAACTATTTCCCTACATTGTCAAAATTTAGTGTTTAGTGTCAAAACTTCTTAGTGTTATTATTATTTAAATTAATTAATTAATTTACTTACCACATTTTGTCGTAATAACTCCAATTTATCGCATTTTAACATGGTTACTTCCTGCATAAGTGCTTCATGGGGGCCCGCAGAACTACTCGGTCGTTCCTGACATACGCTACAAGCTTTTGCAGCCGTTTCAGCACTAGACATACTTTCTAAACCAGTATCACTATCAACGTAACCACCAGCTAAATGCTCTAAATCTTCGCTAGTTAAAGAGGAATCATCGGAAGCCTCAGACATTGCAGGGCGACTATGTGCGTGAGCTGTTAGGTCGGGCGAAGAAGCTGTCGATGATGTACTGCTTTTCTTTCCATTTGAAACTATAGAACTTTTTGATAGTGATCTTCCACTCTACACAAAACAAAAAATGATTAAAAATCAATTTAAAATTGAAAATATACGTGAATTTTACTTAAAATGCAATATGCAAAAATATATTTAGAAACTAGCGCTTACTTTGTCCCATATTAAATGCAACGTGTCAATATCATTGGACATTACGGTATAAATAACGGATTAATACAGGGGAGGCAGTGTTCGTTATAGCTCAATAAAAATATATTATCAATGAGTACAGAATAACAACTAAAACTAGACCCTTCCTCAAAAGTTTGCCCCCACGCCGGATGGTGATGGAATTCTAACTATTTTTCCGTAAAAAGACATAGAAGACCTTCTCCCAGTAATAATATTCCTATATATAGCAAGCTACAGCTTTAGCTATATACCTACAGTGTGGAGGAATGTAAAAGTGGTCTTCATACCTAAAGGTGTTAGCCGACCCCAAGGCATACAGACCAATTAGCCTAACTTCATTTCTCCTCAAAGGTATGGAAAAATTAATTGATTAATACCTTAGGAATGGAGTGCTTATCACTAATCCACTCCATTCTAGTCAACATGCTTACCAGAAAGCAAAATCAACAATTACTGCTCTCCATGCTTTGACTAGCACTTTAGAGCAGACAATTGCAAACAAAGAGATAGCCCTATGTGCTTTCATTGACATAGAGGGTGCTTTGATAACACCTCCTATGAACCCATAGAGAATAATATTCTAAACATAAACGATATAGATCCGTCGACAATCAAATAGTGTATAGCCATGTTGAAAAGTCGACAGATCACAGCCAGTCTGGGAGAAGTGCTCTCATCTCTCCTATGGTGCTTGGTAGTTGATGACTTGATAAATATGGCACAATCATAACTCTAGCCCTAGTACTCACCAGCACTTGGTGCAGAAGCTATGAGAGCACCCTCCATTAAAAGCAGAACTATTAACCTCTAAACAGAAGACAAATATATACATAGACAGTATCTATGTGGGAGTATATCACTTTTTTATATGCAAATGTTGTCTAAACTATTTTACTTGAATCCTATGCCTATATGTAACACATATCATTAAAATTGAGTGATTTTTAAACAAATTTTAACATCTCACGATTTTTATGACATGGCTCACGACATTCTATGTGTGTAACCTAGCAAGCCTGGTCTAGTGTTAGTTCTGGTTTTAATTGTTATTCATCATTAGATTGTGCAAAACTCCCCAATGCCTGTACTAAGTACTTAGTAGTAGCCTGTACTAACTATTAAACTATAGTTCGTTTTTTTTCTATAATACTTAAAGGTAAATTGTTAGGGTTTCTGTTGGTATTACCTAGGACCCTTATAAAATTTATGTTGTTTTCTTGATTTTTAGTAACATTAGAATGATTAGTTTTTGTCAAATCTGTAAGTTCCAATTTACACCTAACAAATAGTAACGCTTGTTTTAGTTCTACTCCCAATAAGTTTTTTCTTGCGTTTATTTTACTTTAATTTTACTACTTTTGATTTTTGAATAACAAAAGCTCAAACGTCAGGGTGACATATTTATTTCAAAACATGATAAAACAAAAGTCCCTGTTAATTTTTCCAACTTTACAACAATTTGGCACGTATTATAGAAAAAATAACGAACTTATATATTGCATTTTATGTGGGACATTGTAAATACATTCATATATTGCGATTTATATGAAATTCCCAGTAAATTTTTATATATCTTACAGATGGTGTTGATTCAGAAATGGTTAATTGACTCGATTTTTTCGAAAGTCTTTCATGTCCATTGGTTGTCGATAAATTATTATCAACGCTTTGACTCGTTTTAACACGAAGGGCTTTTCGAACTGTATCGATAAATCTCGATCCGGGGCCGGAATCTCCTTTCGGTGTCCCCGGAACTGGAATATTCCCATTTCCTCCGAGGAATTCTTGCGTTTTCTCTTTTAATTCATCGGTGAGAGATTGGAGAAGCGACGTCCGCGTTCTCAATTCAAGTTTAGCGAATTTTTCAGCTTTATAACAAGCATTTTCGGCGTTTATTAATTTCGTTAGGAGGAATTCTTTAAATTCCGAATTGTGATGAAATATGGCGGGAGTTGGTAAAGTTGGGCCAAAAAATGGGACGTCATCTCGAGCTGTTACGCTTACTTTATATCTAAAAAAAGAAGATAATTAAATAATTTTCATTTTAAATTATTTTATTAATACCTTTTATTTGGCGTATTTGCATCGACAACTTGAACAACAATAAAAGCATGTAAAAAATGCGAAGCAATCATATCCGGTGAAAAAGGAGTGTTTTCCTCTTGAAAAACAATAGCAACAATATCATTTCCAATATGACGTTTTCGTTGTAGTTGTTGCGGGTCGCTTTCTGTGTATGGTAACATGGTGGAGACATGAAACATAATTTCGCGCTCCTTAAACACTTCATAAACAGCTTCATCCCCGGTGTGTCCATTTTGAATGTCCAAACCGCCTCGATAACCCCGGTGATCTTTCAGCTGTATTCGTCGCCCCAATAAATTCAAAAAATCGTCGAAAGCCGGCGTGGTTATATTATTACAAAATAAATCTTCTTCCGTCGTTTGCCCAAATTTTTGGTATAAAACTCCGAATTTAAAGTTTGTTACTAAAACGTGCTCGTCGTAGTTTGCTATTAAATGGGACGCTTTCGGGTACAAAACGGGAACGAAATTGTCAATGTTTAATTGTTCATTTAATAGTTTTGCCATTTTTGATGGGCTCGGGGTTGAGCCTAAACACGAAGACGGAACTATTTCGTGCATCGTGCCAGTTTTTAGCCTTAATAAAATTCTGGTGTGGTCTTGATTTGCTACGTTTTCCGTTTTCACGGAGATTAATGCCGATCCTAATGTTTCATCGTAACCAATTAATGTTGTGTGTTCCTGAAAAATAAAATTAGTTTGGTTTTAATCTCGATTAAAAATCCTTTTAAATGAGTCCAAACACGATAAGGTTTATTTTTATATAAAAAAAGAATTTTTCGAATTTGTCAATTTTTGACATTTATGACATTTTGACATTTAATTCTTAAGAATATTTGTGATAAATTTTACCACAATTAAGAATATTTATGATTTTTTAGTACTTTTTACTCGCAGTAACATATTTATTAACAGTTTAGATCACTTTTTGACATTTGTAACATTTTGACATTTAATTCTTAAGAATATTTGTGATAAATTTTATCACAATTAAGAATATTTATGATTTTTTGGTACTACCTTTTACTCGCAATAACACATTTATTAACAGTTTAGATCATTTTTTTTTAATTTGTCAATTTTTTACATTTATGACATTTTGACATTTAATTCTTAAGAATATTTGTGATAAATTTGATCACAATTAAGAATATTTATGATTTTTTAGTATTTTCTACTCGCAGTAACATATTTATTAACAGTTTAAATCATTTTTTGACATTTGTGACATTTTGACATTTACTTCTTAAGAATATTTGTGATAAATTGTATCACAATTAAGAATATTTATAATTTTTTGGTACTACTTTTTACTCGTAATAACACATTTATTGACAGTTTAGATTTTTTTTTGAATTTGTCAATTTTTGACATTTATTACATTTTGATATTTAATTCTTAACAATATTTGTGATAAATTTAATTACAATTAAGAATATTTATGAGTTTTTAGTATTTTCTACTCGCAAAACATTTATTAACGGTTTAGATACTTTTTTGACATTTGTGACATTTTGACATTTACTTCTTCAGAATATTTGTGATAAACTTTATCACAATTAAGAATATTTATGATTTTTGGTACTACTTTTTACTCGCAATAACACATTTATTAACAATTTAGATCATTTTTTTAATATTTGTCAATTTTTGACATTTCTAACATTTTGACATTTAATTCTTAAAAATAATTGTGATAAATTTTACCACAATTAAGAATATTTATGATTTTTTAATACTTTCTACTCACAATAACATATTTATTAACAGTTTAGATCATTTTTTTCGAATTTGTCATTTTTTGACATTTGTGACACTTTGACATTAATCACAATTTATAATGTCGGAGAAATGTAGCAATACTTCCTACTTTTCTTTTTATAAAATAACACTATTTTGAATTAAATTCGACATTTATACAGTTTGTTGTTGTTATAACTGTCATTTAAATTCGACAATTATATAGTTTCTCGAGGTTGACATTTAACATTTTGACATTTATCTATGTTTTTCAATTATTGGGTTTTCAACCATTACCGTTCGCAACAAACTTGATAAGATGTTTATCAACACTTTAATAAACTTTAGTTCATTTTTGTAGAATCTGTCAATATTTGACATTTCTGACTTTTTGACATTTATCGATATTTCTCAATTTGTGAGAAAATGTATGATTTTTCAATATTACTTCTTGGCAACAACACATTTATCAACGCTTTTCCAAGTAGTATGTTAAAAAAATTTAATACAACCTTAATATTTAAGATAACCTCAAAAATGTCATATTTATAGCATCATACAGCGCCATCTGGTGGAGATATCGAAATTTTTTATTAAAATAATCGTTTTCAAATCACATTTTAAACAAATATTATTCACATACACTTTGCGGAAAAACAATAATTTGAAAACCGTACTATTCAGTGGGAAATTAAAAACGTGTTATTTTAAAAAATGTTATTAATAAAAATTGTTTGTAACAGAATTATACGTAAATGTTGTTGATAAAAAATTTTGATATAATCGATAATTATAAAGATAACCTCAAAAATATCGATTTTTATACCATTATACAGGGTGTGTCAAATGTCTGGAATATAGCAAATAACTTCGCCATTTGTCGTTTTAAAGAAAAATGTTTCAAATATAAATTTCTTTATTAATCGTGGCGCATTTTTTGGCGATATTTGCTTGTTTGTATTGTTTTTTGTTGCGTTGCTATGGCAACAAACACTGTTATTTTCAATGGGATTAAAATAAACATTTCAATTGAAATGTCATTTATTGCCAAACTATTCAGAGGGAAATTTTAAATCAATATACAACTGTTTTTAGCGTAAAACAAATAGAATTAAGATTCCAAAATTGCTGTTAAATTTCAAAAACATTCTTCTCACAAAGCTGGTATTTCCCAAACAACCATAAGGAAATTGCCAGCACCTCATTGGGCTTGCACAAACAGTAATAGGATACCGCTAGCAGAGGATTTTGTCAAAACAGATCATGATTCCAATTGAATCAACATTTTAATTTGAATTTAGTTGGTAAATTCAAGCCATGGAATTTGAATATCAAAAAGAAATTTTTTTGTGAGAGTTAAAAGAAGCTCTTCAGTCGCAATCCACATTTATTAATAGAACAAACCAAACCAAAACGAACCGTATCCACGTTCCTTTCGCAATAACAACACCACCGCGTCCTATCTTTTTATATCTTTATCCTTAGAGAGATTCGCCGAACCACCAACCCTCGTCTCTTCCTCCTCCTACTCCTTTTCAACCAACCACCCACCTCCAACTACTACTACAACTCGTCTTTTTCGACGGACCTACGAAGGCGTAATGCTTCGGTCGCTCGTCGTTCGTACGCCGCTCTCAAAGAGATCGATAACACCGTGACTCCTCATCTCTCTTTCAAAGGAAGATAAACCTACTCCACTATTTCAAATTAAATAAAAAATCAAACATCAGATAAATTTCATATATACGAGTCCCGTGTGAGATAAATCTTTGACGTGAACTCAAAGGAAGGTGACGAAGAGAAAAGTTTTTTGTGTCTTGTCCTCGTCTCAAATAACCTTAACCTAGTTTTAAAACAAGCTTTGCACTTAATACTCAAATGAAAAGAAAAAGAAAGTTAAAGAAATCGTAGAAGAAATACGCAACCAGATCCACATTGATTCATAAAATATTTCGAAAAGTTGCCACCTTGATATTGAAAACGTGCGCACGGAGAGAAATTTGAAAAACCGGTCATTTCCTGCGTCCCGAATAAGGAAAGATAAAGAGCGAATGAGCGAGTTGGTTTGTCGTCGTCGTCGTCGTGGGGCCGTGAGAGCTCGCCGAAGAACCGTACCGTTCGACGTTTCTCTCCGAGACGGTTGTTGTTGGTTGTAGTGTTGGGTTGGGCCCCTTTCGAAGCGTTCTCCTCCGCACGTCGAGAAGGAAACCTAACCCACCAAGAGAACCCAGGCAACGTTAGTTGAGAATCGAGAGAGCCTCGTCGTCTTTTTATTTATTCCTCGCGTTTCTCACAGACGAAAACGATACGCAGCGTACTGTTTTTATTCCAAGTCGCAAGAAAAAACGGTAAAAAATTTCTATCTAAAAAAATTATTTTCGCCAATTTTAAGAGGATCATTATTAATAAGGTTATTGAGAATGATAGAAGCGTCGACAAATGTCTTATTGCCAACAGAAAATGTTAAAAACTTTTTTTAAAAATCGAGAAATATCGATAAACGGTAAAGTGTCAAATGTCAAAAATGACAGCTATAAGATCAAGAAACTCTAAAACTGTCCAATTAATTCAAAATAATCTCATTTTACATGAAAAAATAAAGATGATTTACAAGCATTCTTTCTTATTTCAATTACTAGGTGAAGTTCCCGAAAAAATATTTTACTCTATACTCTATTTTTTAATTAGTTCAATAAAAATACACAACATGGTAATATCTTATGCTAATTGGCGCTACCTACCACTTCCACTAGAACTAACACAAGATCTAGAACTAGAAACATTCGGGTTTAGCCGCACGTCTCTCAAGACGGCTAAACCCGAATGATTCTAGTTCTAGATCTTGTGTTAGTTCTAGTGATCGTGCTAGTGTAAAACTAGAACTAACACTAAACCGAGAACTAGAAACATTCGGGTTTAGCCACACGTCTCTCAAGACGGCTAAACCCGAATGATTCTAGTTCTAAGTCTCGTGTCAGTTCTAGTGATAGTGTAAAACTAGAACTAACACTAGACCGAGAACGAGAAACATTCGTTTTACATTCGTAAACAAAGCGTTTGTCGACCTATGTTTATATGAAGCTTTTGTGCTAATTTTAAAAGATCTATCGACTGTTAAAGTGCTGCTACAAAAACCTGAAACACCCTGTATATAAGAATGTATATACAGGATGAGTTATTAATATCCCGGTCGATAGTTACTAAACCGTTTGAAAAACAAAAAAATATTTTATACAAAAGTTGTTTCACTGATCACTTTCTATTACGTAAAGTTATTTTCACTTGTACAGGGTGTTCCATTTAAGCGTAACGGAGAGTACGTAAATTTATTTAAATGGAACATCCTGTATATTTTATTATATTATGAATACAACTAAATTTGTTCATACAACCATATATTGTACTATTTCGCAACGTTCATAGTTCCTTAGATATTCAATTGTTTTTCCAGAATGTGCCCATTACAGGATTTTTTAAAAACGATTTAAAAACGACATTTTTTTCGATTTTGCCTTGAAACTACGCCAGACAATAGTAAAAGCCAGTAGGTACTATTCAGATGATACTATTCAAAGATATTAGATACACTATACAGGCTATTTATAAAGCTTAGTTACTTTTGATGTTTTTCTTTTGAAGCTTAGTTTGACTTTTTTTATTGTTTAAATATTTTACATTATAAAATATTAGTTAAATAATAAAAGGAAGAACAAAAAAAAAGCGGATAACAATAGACAGAATATAATACTAAGTACAATAACGCATATTTTATTGCACATTATTCTTTAAATTCTAAATATCAGGAAAAGTATTAAAGTTAGATCCATGACATACTTTTCATTAATTAAAGGTAACTTGATGGGTAATTCAACCAGCACACAATATACAGGGTTCCATTTAAAAAACTTATAAAAAGCCATTTCAAAAACATCAAGAGTAACTAAGCTTTATGAACACACTGTATAGCTTATCTAATATCTTTGGATAGTATCATTTACCTACTGGCTTTGACTATTATTTCTTATTTCTTCTGTTTTTAGTCTTTCATAGATAATTGTTGTGTCTTTGGAGAAAGGGATTTTCAAGTCGCTGTCAGCTGTTAATAATCGGTGGTCCATGCTGACTTCTGTTCCATATCTTTGGTACTTATCTTGTTCTATTCCAGTAGCTTTCTTTAGATTTAGACAAATTCCAATTATCTCTTTAAAACATAACAGTGAAAAAAAATTAATGAAACTGATCATTTCCATCGTCCACGATTTCTTTCTCGCCTACTCAAACCGCTATTTCGTCTCGAGTTTTGCATTTATACTCGGTGTGGTCGTATTGCAGGGCGTTAACTCGCATCGAAATCACACCGGTAACGATCCAAAGAAACGGATTATCCTCACGCTACATACACAAAAAAGAAAGAAAAATAATCACACTTTTCCTCCTACTACATCAAGAGAAAGAACATTTGACACGCAGCAAATTAAAAAGACAAAACGTCTTCTTCAAGTCCCCGTTTTGTTTTTTATTTTCTACTCGATCATTTTCCTCTTTTGTTCTTTCCCTCTTCCACTTCACTTCGTTTGCAACTTGTAGAATGGGAAAGCTCCCACACTTAAAACTAGAAGAAGACAAAGAGGTTGGTTGTTAATTAGCCCGAGGAGCAAGAACGCAATTACGAAACGTTCTGCACCGCACAGAAAGACTTAACTCGAACTATTTTCCGTTCGGAAAGAGAGGAGTCCTTCGAGATTGAAGAATATGGAGAGATGAAGGTGAAAAACGTTTCTTGAGTAATAACTTGGTGGTTTAACCTTTACTTTGTTACTATTTCTTCCTATTAAGAGCAAAATAAAGAAATCGATTCCTAAAAAAAACCTTCCTTTGAAAAGAAAATATTATTCTAATGAGTACGTTATAAACACCGCGTTTGTTAGGTGATGCAACGAAACGGGCCGAGAGACTCGTTAATTATCCCAAACGACACATTGTTCGTGTTTCGACAGCTAAACAATTCTCAAAACGGGGGCGGTGAGGGGGGAGCCCCCACGAGTATAATCCAGAGTTTCTCCATTTATTTATCGTGGAAATTGGGTCAGGAAACCTCTATATTTCAAACTTAAAACAACACACGCGCTAAACGTAACTTTTCCAAGACGATTTAAATCCTTTAATTAAATAATCATAAATTATATTAACTTCCTGTTTTTAATCTTAATCGTGTTTGAACTCGTATTAATTCTTTTATGTTTTATATACAGTGTGTTAATTAATTATCGTACCTGACGTCATCATTGCAAGTATGCAACCAATATGACAGTATTGGTTTATTATACGCAATACCTGTGATATTGGTTGCATACTTGCAATGATGATGTGTATGTAATTAAAAAATAAAACTCACCCTGCCCACGAAGAACCTTCTATAACACTTCGCTGTATCGTCAGTTTCAATTTTCGCCCTCCATGAACTATTTGGTACGATATTCCGTCTGTCGTAGTCGCAATCGTGATCGGTGCCATCGATCCAATACCCTTTCGGTGGTATTGCGATCATCGGATACGGCCCAGGTCGCGTTAAAATCTCTTGGAGAAGTCGTCGCGACGCCGTGGCCGGTTGGGGCGAAGCCGGCGGCGTCGGCTGAGATGATGGAATCGATGACGATGATATTTTTACATTGTTGTTTGATAAACGGTCTTCTTTTTCGTTGAGTCTTTGTGACGATGGCGTTTGCTGCAAAAAAAATCAAAAATTTATTTTTCTATGTTACGTAAAGCGTCATCTAATAAAAATATCAATAATTTTTATTAAAATAATCGATTTAAAACGATATTTTAAATAAATATTGTACGAAACGTTTTTCGATTAATTAAATCGATATTAAAACGTCAGTTATTACCATACTATTCAGTGGGAAATGAAATTGATGTCTTTATATTAATATAGCGTGCTTTTCGGAGCAAAATAGCAAGAGTTATTACTGCTGATTTAATTCTGAAGACATTTACATAAAAATATCTTTAATAAAATCAATAATTTTGAAGATAACCTCAAAAATATCAATTTTATATCATTATGCAGCACCTCCTGGTCGAGATATCGAAAATTTTTATTAAAATAATCGATTATAAATCAAATTTTAAATAAATATTATACGAAACAGTTTTCGATCAAATCAATATTACAACGTCAATTATTACCATACTGGTCAGAGGGAAATTATATTTTTATATCGATGTAGCGCGTTTATACAGGTGTCCCGAAACTCAACGTCAAGCGGGCACCGGGTGAGAGGCCAACTCATACCTGTTCTGGTAAAAATAAGAAAAAAGTTTTGTCTTTTAGTTAAGTGGTAATAGACATATTTTTGAAAATGTTAAAAATCGTTTCCGTACATCATATCTTTAGGTATTTCTGTAAGAAATGTTCGTAATATAATAGTGATTTTTTTAATAATGTATTCCTTATGAACCATGCTACTATAGCAGTCACAAATCAAACAATAAAAGTCGTTAGTTTTGCAAAAAAACGTATTAGTTTGATTGAGTTAAGGTTGAAAGAATTTATGTCTATTTAGTCGTTTTGTCGTTGAGTTTTGGGACAGCCTGTATATAGATCAATGGTATTTAGAGCATTGTTGTATGCAACCTCATTTAATGCTTCTAAGCGATTAATCGTGGCCGACCAGACATAACCTGTTAACATTCTTTGACGTAATTTTAGGTATCGTAACAGAAGATGAAATAACATCATTTTCAGAAAAGTTGTGCGAGCTATTTCAATTCTGCACTTAATCTCTTTATCTCAATCTAGTTCTTCCGTGATCCAAGATATATGAATTGGGCAACTCTGTTAATGTTTTGTTGATCGTCGGCGACTGAATCTCCTAAATTTAGACTCAGTGACATTTTTAGACATATTTTTAGACCCACTTCTTGTTCTGTCGCATTTACACAATCCAATAACTCTTGAAGGCTCTGAATGTTGTCGCATAAGTTGACCGTGTTTCATCAGCATATCGAATAGTATTCATCAGTTTACCATTAATCTTCACTCCACTCCAAGGTCATCGTAGATCTCCACCATCCAAAAGCGTCCATGCTGAACTCAATCAAAAGGTTTTTGCATAATCGAAACATACATAGATATCTTTACGTTGAAAAGAGCCTCACTGGTGCCAAGGCATTCCTAAAGTCAAATTGGGTTTTTATCTAGGTTCATTTCGCATCAACTTCTTATTCTTCCGTGTGGTATGCGAAGAAAAACGTTCAATGTGTGCCTCATCAGACTAATCAATGTATTCGTCGCAACTCTGTTTCTTCGAAAGTGAACTTCAGCCATTCCTTGAGCATTTCACCAGTAGAATACAAATTGACCAGCATTAAGGTGGTTTTCGTGGATCATTTACAAGAGTTCTATTAGGATATAGTCTGGTCCAATTGCTTTCTTAGTTTTGGTTGATTTTATAGTGTTCTGATTATAAAATGTTTTGCCTCTAGTCTTTATATTTCAAGAACTTCTCGCTAATTAACATCTATATTAATATCTCTTAGTTCCAACACTCCACTTCTCCTTAGAATTTGTAGACTAAAAAGTTTTCTTTCCATCATTTAATAGAGATAGTTTTCACAGGGAAATCAAAATATTTAAAATTTTCTTTACAAAAGAATTATTTTTCCCAACAAGTTGAATCAATAAACAAGCAAAGTCATGCTTCGAATTGTACAGTTTAATAAGCTAAAAAAAGAGGTTAAAACCCTTAAAAGTTTTCCATAATCCCACTAGAAAACGTGAAAAATCAATGCGAAAACTTACATGCTTATCTCGTTCTCGCATTTTAAGCAAAAGAATCGATACTTCAAACGTTCGCGTGCACTTCAAGTCAAACTCATTTCGAATTTTCTCCTTTAACTCAATGTAGCCGTGTTGAAGAAAAACGATTTCGTGATCGCCTGACGTTCGATTTGACCTACGCTTGATTGATAGATCCTTTTTACTCTTTCCCCATCTAAATATTTAAAAATAGGCCTTTCCATTACACATGCAAAACCATTTCTTATCTGAACCAATAACCTCATAAGATATATTAGATTTTAATGAGACTTAACGAGTTGAGTTGAGTTTGGAGAAGAAGTTGCAAGATCGTTTTTTTTATTATTTTCTTAGGGCACACAACTAAGAAGTAAGAAGAGTCAACATAACTGTGCGACACGTTAACCTCTTTTCCTCTTTCGTCTGGTCGCCGTACACCTTACGTTCTTCCTGTTTCTCTTTCCTTCTTACACGCATTCAATACGATGTGTTGAACGTTTTGAAACGAGACGTTCGCCACCTGTTTATCGGTTTATTGGCATCCGCTACTAACACTATTTTAAATCCTCCTGATGAGTTTAATTGTACGAAATCGGTTACAACAAAATAATCACCTTGGAGATGTGTTAATTAAAAAAACTCGCTTTAGGTGTTAGAAAACGATGTATTTAGGTTATTTAACGCGCTTCGTTTGATTTTCTTATTACCCTAAATTGTTGTCTTCTTGGTTTTTTTTTTTGGAAATAATTGGACTTTTTAGAAAAGAAATTAATTTAATTGCTCTTGGCACGTTTAATGTTCTGTTTTGCGTTAATTGACTTTGCTAAATTGACTTTAACCCGATTTTAATTAAATTCGATCGATGGGCAAGCAGCAGTAAACTGAAATGAGGTCAAGAACAACGTCCTCTCCGGTCAATATCCATTACGCGGGGGGATTCGACCCCCCCATTTTTATTACACACACTACACACCGGAAGCGACCATGACTCATCGACGAACAACCCTCGTGGTGATAACCTCGGAAAAGGTCAATGCGAAATTTTAAAATCAAGTTTCTTCTTATGGTTTAATTAACGCTTTATCAATAATAATGTCGGTAAATCTTGGTTGTGTAAAGTGTTGTTTGAGTCTATGGAAATTGCGAATGGAAACTGGCACGTAAAAGGGGCATTGTCTCTTTACAAGGAGCCACGTTCCCACGTTACGGTGGGTCATTAAAGCCACGGGACCGGAAAGATGCTGCCCAGAAGATTTAGATAAGACCCCGACTGTGTCGTCTTCTTATAAGTAGCAAATTTTTTTTACTTCCAAAAAATGATAAACATAACCTCAACAGGTTGTGTAATCGTTGCCTCTTTTCTTTATAATGTAAATGGGTGTTTTGCTCGGGTTGGGTTGGTGCCAGAAGGTTCCTCGTAAGCTTATTGTTGTCTCCAATCGCCCACCACGGCCGGTTATTGTCTTCACCAACTCTTAAAAAGACCCAGGCGCCGTCGCGCCTTTGGTTTCTACAGAAACGAGTCTCGCGAGAAACGATCCGTTAATCTTTTCGTTTTATTCGGGTTAAAAATCTCCTTCGTAACTAATTTTGCTGTTATTTAACAACTAATTCTGATGCTTATGAAATTTTTTTTTGTAATATTATGTGGTTTCTGGTTGAAATCTTTTTCGCTAGGTTGAAAAGAAAGTCGAAAAAGTCACCTGTTTTTAATTAATTCGTTTTACCGGAGGCGTTTGTAATTCAGAAAGCGAACACGAACGACAAACAGCTTTCACCGGGAGAGAATGAAACATAAGAGTTGTGTTTAGATTGAAAAAAAGATACATAAAAAGTTTGGGTTGATTGACCGATAATGTTATTGATTATTTTCTATTTATTACGCTTTATGTGTATAAATATTTTTTTAAAATTGAGAAAAATCGATTTTATATGAAATTATGAAAGTATCGTAAGCTAAGCCAAGGTCACCTACGGCCAAGATGCTACAACTATGTCCTTAGGACGACGAGGCTTTTCAATTAATACCACACTAACACTCAATAGGAGAACATAGTTATAACTCCTTTACCACAAAGCTAAGTTTAGGCAATCTATGACTTGGTTTGATTAAATCGAGATCGCTTGCGGCCGAGGAGCTACAATTAACACCACATTAATACTAAATAAAATTATAGAGTCTTCAAAGATACCAAAAATACAAAATTTTACTTTCCAAGAACTAGAAAAGACTAACTACTGATCTTCAATACTTATTATGTCCATGCAACGTACACATCGGAATCGTGGACATAGAAAAAAATGGAGCTAAACGAAGATCGAAGCTTTTGAGAAAACCTTGTCCTGGAGGAAAAAATACAGGACAAAAGAGCACGGAGGAAATGACCAATAAGATGGGTAGACAGACTGAGGGAACTGACGGGACAGCTGATACACCACAAGATACAGATGGCGCAAGACGGGGGGAATCGAGAAGAATAACTAATATCACCAAAATCCTCTCAATATTGGAAAAACTGAGAAGGATGAGGAAGAAGACGATTCAAGTATGCAAGAAACGGACACATAAGGGTAAAACGGAGGTTAGTCCAAGATATTTGTGTAGTTAGTGAGGGATAATAAATGCTTAATAGCGCGATATAAGCTGTTTGATAGATATACTTCAATGATAAGTTTGGGATCGATTCTCTTGGATGGTTCTTTGTACTGTTTGAAAGTTATAGTTAAAAGATTAGTTTTTGAAGAAGCAAGAAATGTCTACTTTGCGTATTTGCTAGCATAAGTTATTACTNCGATATAAGCTGTTTGATAGATATACTTCAATGATAAGTTTGGGATCGATTCTCTTGGATGGTTCTTTGTACTGTTTGAAAGTTATAGTTAAAAGCTTAGTTTTTGAAGAAGCAAGAAATGTCTACTTT